GGGCCCCCCCCCCCCCTACATCAAATGTGCCAACTCCACCATCCCCAAATTTTACTATGTACAAAGCTTGAATAAATTTACATTTACACACACAACATAGTACATCTCATCTCACAGCTTACGGACAACTTTATCATAAATAGCGGGGTATGCTCGCAGTACACAATACTTAATATTAATGTACAGATTACATTGTAAATTTATACTGGCCACTGGGTATGTACAATGTTTAAAGTACAAAATTACTTACATGTACATTGCACACTAATTGACTGGTTGTTTTTATACAAACATTTACTGCATTCGGACACGGTAATTTACACTGTTGACTTACTTGTAAATTTTACATAATACACATGTACAGTATTTACATAATCTTATGACTTACAGACGTACCTGAATGCTTTATGTTATAATCACCAATCCCCATTACATGTATCTTTCTCTGTTTCTACAGGGGTTACTTCCTCTACTAGCTAGTGCCACATCACCAAATAACGAAGTTGACGTACTAGAGCCAACTCAGGTAAACTTTGGAGACAAAAATGATAGTTTTAACCTATAGATGCCAGCGTTAATGTTTTTTTTTGTTCTTTCCACCAAAGGACTTACTCGACTTTATGGTTTATCTTGTCTGGTATGACGCAATTATCTAGTATTAGTAAAATCAAATCATTTATTAGATCACATTTTTAGAACATTAATATTTACATAAAGCAGAGCGTTAAAATTATATGTGCGTATTCATATTCAGCCTTTTATTTTTATTATTTCATAAAGCCTTTACCATCAGAGACGGGTTACGCGCTATGTCTCTCAGGTTGCCAAATGTAGCAAAACTAAAAAGTGTTGCATATGCCAACCTGTTTTGACTTAGTTTTGACGGATTAAATCTGAAAAAATAATTTTTTTTTTTACTTTTCATGATAGCTTTTTTCTGCTGTATTAATTTAATTATTTTATTTAATTATTTTATTTCTTGTTTTAACAGGGAATGCCACTCGAAGTTAGTCTTTCCTTCCTTCAACGTCTTCTCAACATGGCGGATGTTTTAGGTATAATGATCATATAATAATAATAGAAAAGAAAAATATAAATATAGTTGCTTTTCAAAAGAGAAAGAACAGACCGATAGATTAAAAAGTTTTCTTTCTGTTTGTCAAAAAGTGTTAAATAGTTGTCAATGTGGCGGATGTTTTGGTATCATGAAAAAAATTTAAATTTGACCGAGAGCAGTTTGGTCGATTAAATAATTATGTTTGACGACAAAAATTTTCAAATAATTTGAAAACGGCGGTCACTCGGTATTTATGTTGGCCGGCGTCTTGGCGAGCCGTGAAGACCTAATAAAATATAAATAATAATGAAATGATGTAAAATTACCTGATGATTATCCGAAATAATAAGCAACACATTTGTATGTCGTACTACTACTTAAACCAACCGATTAAAAAAATTTCAAATATATTTTATACAATTTTGTTCTTAATTTTCTAATTTTCTTGTTCAGTGTTTGCATCAAGTTTAAACTTTGCTGAATTAGAAGCGGAGAAGAATATGTCAAGCGGTAAGTTAAGTTTATTTAGGATGTCAGGGGGTTGGTTCATCGTTTCCTTGAGTTTCATTCAGTTTGGTTCATTTTGAGTTGTTCATTTTAGTTAAGTTTGGTTCAGTTTGGTTTCAGTGTGGTTCAGTTGTGATCAGATTATATTAAGTTTGGTTAAAGGTTCAATTCAGTTCAGCGGCGGGCGTGCTTTGTAACGGTTCGAACTAGCAAGGTTCAGAGAATTGTTTATAATTTAGTGCAGTAAACATACAGGGTTATCCACAGAGGATGAGACTTCAGAAACGACATTACAGAATTTATTACTGTCTATTTGATATTTATCCAACCAGCTAAAGTTTTTTTTTAAAGATGTTCTCATTCATTTTAAGATATTTTATAAACTGTCCTGTAGTTTAGTAAAGTGTTAACTGTCCTGTAGTTTAGTAGAGTATAAACTGTCCTAACTTTATCAGTTATTCAAATGGTATTCCTCCCTTCTCCCCTGGCATTATATGCACAATGCACTTCTATGAAATTGTTCAACTAGTTTGTTGTTTGTTTGTTTGTTTGTTTATTTGCTTTTATTTAAAGTTTAGTAAACTAGGTTTCAAATAGTTGGTTAGAACTGTAGTATGTTGTCTTATTTGGTTTAACAGTTTAGAATTTGAAGTAAAAAATTAACCCCCGACTATATTTCAATAAATCCTTATACTGAATTTTTCTGTTTCATTATTGACTACTTGCTTAAGTGCTCTGCGTTGCCCAGGTTACTCATAGTTACTCCCGCTGTTGACCCGCACTTGGTCTTAAGCTATGATTTAGGCAGAAACACTCGGCGTTGCCCGTGGAATAGAAAAAGCCTATGTCACTCCCGAGGGTACTCATGTGTTACTATAAAAAATGTCAGCCAAATTTGTTTAGCCGTTTGGCAGCTATAGCGAATATGAAAAAGAGGAAATAACTTTTTTTAGCTTTATTATAGCTTTATTATAGGTTTATTATGCAGCTTTATTTATTTTAAGATATAAATTTTCAGGAGGAATACTTCGACAATCTCTTCGACTAGTGAGCACATGTGCAGTTAGAAACTGTCTTGAGTGTAAGGTAAATTAATGGGGGGAGGGGTGGGTGGGTAGTATGCCATTCTTTTTTCTTTTTCCCTCTCCTCATATCCTCATTTTCTTTGTTTAACATTTTTTGTAATTTTGTGTGTAGTGCCTATTATTTAAACAGCCCTTATCGGCTAGATAAGTCCTAACTATGGTATTGTCTGTATGTATATAACATTTCTTAAAAATGTTTTTAATTAGTCAAAATAAAAAGTTAAAGTCAAGTAGATATATTAACCCCTGTCCCATATAAAAATATACACTCCTGGTTCTGCTATTCATGATTTCAATTCTTTTTATTTTTAAATTGAATTTGCTTGACAGAAAGTAAATATCCGTTTTATTTCATCTCGATAGATTTCTCCCATCTTAAAAGAGAATGTGTACTACACTTTTTTATCTCCTCAGGGGCGTACGAGTGGGGGTGGCAGGGCGTGGCAGTGGTCACCCATATAAATAAAAATACTTTAAATCTCACTTTTGCCCTAAAATAAAAAAGCTTTTAACAATACTGCCTTCAGTGTAAATTTATCTTTGATATAATTATTTATAATTATACAATATGTATCGTTTTTATGAAAATATAGATATTTTTTAAGAAACGTTTTCATCTCTATTTTTCACCCATTGAAGCTTACACCACAGTATTAAGAGGAAGTGTCTGATGAGTCCACTTGAGAAAATTACATTACCAATTTATTAACACTTGTTATATGGAAGTTTGTTTATGATTGAATAGTTTACATAGTTAAAAAAGGTAACAATATTTTTTTCAAAAAAGGGGTTTTTAAGGAGGGGGAGGCACAATGTTGCCAAGGGGAAATTTATTTTTTTGCGATCACACAAGCGCAAAAAGTGCCCCCACTACAAAAATCCTCTCGTACGCCCCGTATATCCAATCTAAAATAGAAAGTCTGCTTTTAGAATCAATTTATAACGTTAAAATTCTGAATAAAAATGTCGTCTTCCTTCCTTTTAGAGAGGAAGTAAAGCTGGCACCTTGAATAGAGGTTATTGTCTAATATTTAGGGAGGAAGTAAACCTGGTCCCTTTAATAGAACTAATTGTCTAGTATTTAGGGAGGAAGTAAACCTGGTCCCTTTAACCCCCGGTCCCTTCTGGAGAGCCCTGTAAAGGATCCAGAGAAACTCCTTCAGGATATGGATGTCAACAGGCTGAGAGCTGTTATATACAGGTAACAGGACATGTTAAAGGGATCATTCAGATATTTTGTTATGTTTGAGGTGCCAACTGTTAACAGCAGATTCTAATTTTACCTTTCTGTTGCTCAAAAAAGGAATTTATCTCTTATTTATTTGTGATATTAGCAATTTTAGATAGACTTACAAAATAGCCTAGACTGATAAAATTAAACGGTGATCAATTAAATTGTATTTTTATTTAGTCTTTTTGGGGAGTTTACCACTTTTTGAATACTACACACAAAAAAACGGCATTAGATAAGAATTAAACATTAATTAATCATAATGCCAATGATGCTTAACAATTTGTTAAATTGCTGGATGTTTTTTGGTTGTAATACATACATCTTCCTTTAGGGTCAACTAATATTAGGGAATAAATTTGTCTGAATTGTACAAAAATGTCTAAATATTTCTCTGTTTCCCCTAATTCAGGAATTTAAACTCTAAATCTGCCAAGACTAGAAGTTTTACATGTTTTAAATTAACTATTATGAGGCCATTTGCATTCTTTATGTTTAGCCTAATAAAACATTATTACATTTAAATCCTGTTAACTACACACCATAAACTTAAATACTAATATTTAAACAGAATTCGCAAATTATTTAGTTCTAAGGATTTTTATATTTAAAAGAATAATTGTTAATAATCAAATAATTTTTATTGTTCATTATTTTGTTCTGAAAAACTAAAAAAAAATATTTAGATGATCATTAAAAAGGACTTCAAGTAAAAAATGCTTATTATTTCCTTTATTGTCTATGCCTAGCTGCAAAAATCTGCAAGAAGTCGCTTTCACATGGAAACTGCAGCATGAAAAGCAAGAATGTTTCCATTTATTCCACCAATGTTAACTCTTACCTAATAGTTTTAAAGCTTCAAAATCTTTGAATGGTTCATAGTTTCAGCATAAAAATTTAGAAAAGTTTTATTTGTTAAAAAAATAGTAAATGCAGAAAAAAAGTTCATGACCTGGATCCGTTTCCTTTTTTTCTGGGCAAATCCGGGATCTGCATAAAAACTCAGCATCCTCATCCATTTTATTCTGAAAGATTTTGATAGATTAAATTAGTATTTCAAAGCTCGGTGTTTCGAACATCCATCCCTCACATGTTCCATATGAATCCGCCCCCCCCCCCCCCTTTGAGGATCAGATTAGGATGCATTCGTATCTTGCAAACTTTAATTGAACAACCTGAAACCTTGCAACTTCAGAATCTATTTATTTCCTTCTTCTCCTAGTGTTCAGGAGGTTCTGACAGTATCAAACTAAGATAGTAAAGAGATGGCCTATCCTAGGTGGCTGTTAGTGCGCAGTTGGGCCGTGTCATTGGTCTGTACTTAGACAGTTGGCCACACTAGACTAGTGTCGTAACCAATTGCTACATTAATAGCTGTACCCCTAAAAGACCAAGTTGGGATATTTGTATGATGCAGACCGGAATGAAGTGACATTTAGTCATACAAATTCAAGGGAAAAATTTTTTAAATCGGACCACTTTTACCATTTCGTAATTGTCTAAAAAAATTAATTCTATTGAAATTTCTGAAAAATTCAAGGTCAAACTAAGAACCGTCAGAAATACTTGTTAATAGGAAAAGTACACTTTTTGGAGGTTTTTGAACCTAACTCTGTCAATTTTTTAAAGTTTTGATTTAATCTTTTTAGACATTTACTAAGAAAATGATATATGATATACATGCATATTTCTGTAAATATATCAGACAGCAAAAGTGGTCCAATCTCAAAATTTAGTTTTTTCCTGAATTTTTATGACAAATTTGACTTCATTCCGGTCTGCATCATGCAAATATGGCTATTTTTGACGAAGTCTCAGTCCTGACTTCTACGGAATGATAGTTAACTGCTTATTTGTTTGTTTGTTTATGTATAAAGCCTTTGACTTCAAAATGTTTTTTTCCTATTGTTAAATAAGAAAGCTGAATACAACAGGATGAGGTATCATTCTAGCTTGTCGCACAAAAAATATAGGATAAACGTTTCTTCAGTTAAACAGCAAAAAACTGAAATATGAAATAATTATAACGACTTATCGCAGCTACTGTGCAATGAACGTCTTTCTGTTCCCCAGTTTATGGTCCCACTGCATCATTGACCGTGTTTTAAGCATTTACGGGACACCCACGTCCTACCTCCTCCATTATCTAAACATCACTCTGTTCTATAAATATAAGAACTAATCCAATGTTCCTCTGATGTTATCTTGGTAGATAATGAAGCCTTCTCTATCCTTGGATCAGGTTCAAATTTTCCGGCAAAGTAAATAGAAAGTTTGCAAGAATGTGGGAACTTGTCTTAAATAAGCAGGAGAAGGATATAGAAACCTCCTCAGATTAATCCAGATTTGGTTTCATGGAAACTTTGGAACTGAATTTATCTTGAAGCGAGTGTCGACCTAACTTCAAGTGGCCTTCTGTTCAAAAAAAGCTACATACCTGAATCACAACTGTACTCTCAACAATTTTGTCTGATTAAAAGTTATTCTTTAATTGCTGTTTATCTACTAAAGTAATTTTCGCACATATAGGTAGGAAAATTCATTGATTTCTATATTTTCAAGAATGAACACCAACGATATCTTTCTTACTGTTACTCAAATAGATTCCGGTTTAACGGATACTGGTTTGAATCAGGCAGTTCTTGATGAAGTCTCATACGTAATTATAATCTGAGAAACAGAGTTACGGTTTTTGAGTTGTACACGCTTCAAAATGTGCAAAATGAAAAAGAAATTGATTTGGAAATATAATTTAAGGATTTGAAGAATCCTCTGAACCTCTCCTGAATGTAATCTGTGGCCTTTTAACATCTTTAAAAGAGCCTTAAGATGTTTACTTTTCCTTTGTGCTGTATTGCAGATACTCTTGAGGGGGATCTAGACAGAATCCAATATTTTCCTTTTTTCTATTTCAATAGGAAAGCTCATTAGACAAACTATTAGGAACTTACAAGTCATCTATAAGTAGATTAGTTTTAATAGCAAGCACTTAGCCTAACTTATAGGCTTTGGAGGAAAACTCTTATCCATGTTTTTAGCAGACTTAAATATTTGCTTAGAAATGATTCAATTCTGCTCGTAATAATTTGCCCTCGTTTGTGAATACTATTTTTTTTAACTTCAAAGAAATGTGCAAATCATTGTTTTTAACCAAATTTGTTTGTTCAGGGACGTAGAAGAGACCAAACAGGCTCAGTTCCTAAGCTTAGCGGTAGTGTACTTCATCTCTGTTCTCATGGTGTCCAAGTATCGTGATATCCTGGAGCCCCCGGGGAAGCTGATCAAGTCCAAGTCGGGATCACATCCCGCCAGTGCATCCAGTACTGCTCATAGCTCACAAACCCATCTCTCAGGTAGGTTTTTTTTATCCATTGATCGGAGTTTGAATTTTCAAGTATTTAACATTGACATGACTTAAATCTTGCCTCTAACTCTAATTTATATTCCCTATATCTATGCAACCTGATGGCGTAGACCTTTAATATTTCATATTTTAACTTTTTTATCTATAAAACTTCAAAGTTTAGAATAAAAAAGGTCTGTGTCATCAGGTTGAAAAAATTTAGGGATTTAAAAATTAGTGTTGATGGTGGGTCTGTCTACAAATACTTTGGGGTGATGGAACATCATTACTATTTATCACCAATTATTTATCTTTATTAACACCCAGTAAATTTGCCTCAGAACAATTGGCTGCACCATTCTTTCACCCATTTATTTATTGCACGCTCACAGACAGACAGAGCAGTCACAGTAGTCAGCATGATGCAGGTAGGAAGTGTGCACAATGTGTGCCACGTGGTTCCTGTGCACAGTGCGCACCACGCAGTAACTGTGTCCAGTGTGCACCTCGCACTTATCACAGTGTGGCACCCGGTTATCACCGATATGAGCGGACTCAGCGCGAGTCGGATTATTTTTGTAACTGCGCACAATGCCGCAACTTGGCAACTTCTATGGACATGTGTTGTCAGTGTTGTGCGTGTGTGGCAGCTGTGCCCCAAACCAAACCAGCCAGACAGTACAATGTACGCTCAGTGTCATTGCGCGGGGAGAATCAGGAAACTTTAGAAGTTTGTATAACTAATGATGAAGTAAATGATGATCCTCCTGAAGATCTTGATGATATTGCTCGCGCACATCAAGCAGTCAGTGATTACCACTCGTGTTACCCTGCCCAGCCACCATCTAATCACTGTGCTAACTGCCCACCTCCCTGCAGGAACTTAAATCATTCTCAATAAACTACAATACCCATCCTTATATATCACTGATTCAGATACACAAACCCATCCCCCTTTTTTCTCTAACCATTAAAATTAATTTTGGGTTTCCCATAAATTAACTTCACAAAAAGTTATTTTCCCTAACTAGGTTAAAATAAGTTATTAATATATTGACATGATTTGCTTGTAACAGTGACCCTAACTGTGTGGCTTGTGCCCAGCAATGTCCTCATGTAGTTGATTACCATGGTCCAGATTATCCTCGGGCCGATCATCATCCTAACCGTGGTCCCCGGGGGCCCAAACATCATAGAGGTTAGAGGACATGGTCCTAACTTACAGGCGATGGAAGGTTCAAGTGAATCATTATTTTCCATCTCTAAAAAAACTTGCTTTGTGTTTAGAATAGTTCTGTTTGAATTAGCATGTGCAATGTTTTCTATTTTTGACCTCCTTGCATGAATAGAACCCTTATGAACATTAAAATGTTACGACAACAAATATGAATGATATGTTAAAGATTTAATGAGGCCATGACGTCATCCCTTAATTTACTCTGCATTTAGCCATGATAGCATCTGAAAGTATACATGTATAACTTCAAATTTTATTTTCAACAGACCAAAAACTCAATAGAAATTTGAACTAATGTAAGCTGTTTCCTTTCTTTTGGTTCTAATCTTAATTTTAAATTTGGCCTTTATGAATGAAAGAAACCCATTGTGTCATCAAATAATCTGCAAGATGTATTAAATACAATAATATCTCCAATTCATCCTCTAAAACCGAAGTAATCGCCCCTTCGCCGCCCCCCCCTTCTACAGCTAGAACTATCTTCTCAATTTCTCTTCACCCTTTCATGAACAAATTGAATCTCTCCTTCATCTTGGATTTTAAAATTCTCTCTTGGAAGAGAATGCTCGGAGAAACTTTCTATTCTCTTTATGAAAAATTTGACTTTAATTGGCATGTTTGTCTCCCGTGTTGATTTTTTTTCGACCATTTGAGAATCAAACAAAAAAATCCAAAAAATATTTGTTAAAACCATGCAGGAGAATTGCACAAAAAAGGTACAATTTTGCACCAGACGCCGCTTATCACACTTTTTTATTACTCACCCTGTATATATATATATATACAATATTATTGTTCTCAGAAATATCCTAATAAATGAATTTTAGTCCCAAAATCTTAAGTCCTAGGCAGGGATTTTACTGAACAATCATTTAGTGAGAAAACGATCGAAAAAGACGGTAAATGAACGAAATGGGTCGTTCACGAACGATAAACAAACGAAATGGGTAGTTCAGTTACGATGAACGAAGGAAATTTTAAAAAAATCGAACGTGCCCATCTCTACAATGAAGTCCTTTTAATGTAGGAAAATGTGAATTTCATAATTTTAATAATTAACAATATAAAACTCTATAGTTAGTAGTCAGCTTAGTAGTCTAATCCAAGCTTAATTTTAAATTAAATGAAGGTTTATATTCCAAGTATTTCGTTTAATTTTAAGCATGCATTGCAATGCATGCCACTCCAAGCACTCTCATTCAAAATGCATGCCACGTGTAAAGAATGCTACATGTACAATTATCGTTAAAAATGTTAAAAACAATTCTTTAGAATTAAAATTTTTATTTTTAATTGCTGTATATTTTTTTTTAATTAATTACAAGTTGGAAATCAATTGCTACTTAAAGTTTTTATCAAGGCTACAAATTTATTTTGCGAATAATAACATGTTGATTTGAAATTTTTTTTTAGCTGTTATGTATTTTTTAAGTTATGCAGTTTTTAAAAAATCAAATAATTTTCTACTTCAATGATTTTTTAAATTAAAAAAAGAAAAATTTCTAGTGTTTCTGTTTCTTTCTGCATTTAAATTGGATTCAGGTTTACAGGCTGTAAAGTTTAGTTTCAATAATTTAGAACACATTCTATTCAATAAATATTTTGCAAGATGTAATAAAGTAAAATGAATATTTTTATCTATTCAAAATTTCTTCATTTTAGCTCTTATAGACAACGAGCTAAAAATTAAAAACACTCAAATTTGCCTTAGAACCAGGAGATCACTTTAACATTAATGTGACCAAATCAAATAATTTAACGAGATCAAATCAAATTGATCTGGTTCATAATATAAAATTAATTCATGAAATCATTTCAAATTGATTCATAAAATCAAATCAAATTAATTAATAAAATCAAATCAAATTGATTCATGAAATCAAATCAAATTGATTCTTGAAATCAAAGCAAATTGGTTTATGAAATCAAATCAGAGTGATTTTGATAATGAATTGATCAACTTGATTTCAGGTCCGAAGGTAGATGAAGAGGATGAGGAGGATGGACAGAAGTCTGTAGAAACTAATATTTCTATGGAATCCTCGGGCTCGGCGGTTATGCAGGTTCGAATATTTGAATATAATATATAATATTCATATATAATACAAGAATTTTTCCAATTTATGTTCTGTTGAGATGTTATCGAAAGTCTGATTTAATTTGATTTTTATAGTTTGATTTTAATTATTAACTTCTTATTATCAAAATATGTTATGAATAGAAACATATGACTTTCAATTTTTTTTCAATTGTCTAATTTTTTCAATCTTGATTTAGTGAATTGAGAATGACAATCCTTAGATTGTTAAGATTCATTCATTTTTTGCACATTTATTTATTAAGGGAAAAAACTAAAATTGAAGAATTTTTATTAAAAAAAACTGATAAAAAGATTGGATTTTGATTTTCTATTCACTTTTTTTATAAAATTTAACTTTAAATCCTTAGTTAGTTTTTTTTCGCTAAAATATATAAACAACCAATAGAAAGCTTAATTTTTAACATTTTGATTTTGAACTTATTTTAGATTCCAATTCAAAAAATTTGATTTAAATATTTTTAGTTATTTTTATAAGGAATCCTTTACAAGGTTACTAAACCTAGGCCTGTTGTTTTAGATTTGTTATTTTAATTACAAACTAAATAAAGAGGAAAGAGTTAAACGGTTGCCTCTAACTCTAATTTTCTAAACATTATATCTTTGCTGCCTGATGTTGTAGACCTTGATATTTCAAATTGGTTTGAAGTGCAAAAGTTGTTTGATATCTGAACTTTTACTGTTCAGGAGACAACTGAGGAGGAGATGTTAGAAACTAGAACCCAGGAATCCAACCAGGAAACAGCGACCATGGATGTTTCAGGTTGTTATTATTTCTTTCTTTATTGTCTAGGATCAGTTTTAGCACATTGTACACCTATTACACACAGATTTTTTTTACCCCAAAACAGGGTCAAAAATATAAAAATTATGCCACAAAAAAAAACATTTTAATGTCTAAATAAAAGGCACAAATGATATCTTAACGCTTAAACTCTGTCAAAATGATTAAAATATGCCACTAACATTATATAAATGCATTAAATATGCCACAAATTATGTCTTGTTCAAATTCAGTTCAACTTCTAGGTTTGATAACATAATTGTATAAATTGTAAAAAAAAACTGCCACGAAACGAAAATCTGTCACAAAAGGGAAGCACTACACCCGCCACAAAGTTCCTAGATGAAACCCTGGTTTAGATCAATTTCATTTGGATTCGGATGCATTCTTCAAAAATTGGTTCTAATTTTTCTGAAATAAGTAAATAATACATAAGTTGACACTCAACATAAATGTTTTAAAGCAAAAGTTTTTTTTGTGTTTTGGTTGAAATTTTACCACTCTTGGATCCGGATTCGTGGATTAGCAAATATTTTCGGATCCGGATCTAGGGAGCTAAAATTTTGCTGATCCAATGGTGCCGGATCTGGATTCTAAGCACTAATTTTTTCCTAGGACTTAATTTTATAAAACGGTTGTTGAGCTTTGAAAGTTTAAATCATAGATAAAGATAGATTGCGCAGAAGACGACATTTTTTATCTTGAAAGATATAAATGTACAGAGATGTTTTAAAGATATTCCTATTATATAGATTAATTAGGTCGGTTGTGAACATTGGCTGTTCTTATGTCATTGAGTACTTGTGCTGTACATGAGTTCTGTAAAAAGAAATTTAAGTTAGTTTAGTCCTTCCCATGTCCTTCTTCTTCATTTCTCGTCAATATAATATATTGCTCAGTGAAATAATTTGATATTCTCAAAAAATTCACTCCTGAGTGATTTAATAATTATGAAATCCATTAAAACACCAAACAACCCGGCTTATCATTGAAGTACACTTTAGCCCCTGTACAATTCTTATTGATTTTGTGTACATAAGCTATCTATATTTATTTATTTATCTATGGTTTAAATCCTTTGTTTTGCTGTATAATTAAATTAAGTTTAGAACCATCACAAACTATAATTTAGGGATGAAAGACATCAATCTTCAATAAAAGTATGGAGGAGGGACCCTTTCAAGCTTTAAAATTAATGATACGAAACTTTAATATAAACTGACCTCGCGCCTCAAACTCCTAACTTTTTAATCCCTGTATCTTTGCAATCTGAGGATTTTAAACAATGAATTTGGCAAGATCAAATAGGTCAAGTTTGAAATATCAAAGAATTGCACCTTCAGCTTGCAAAGGTATGAAATCTAGAAATTAAATTTAAAAATTAAATCTAGAAAATTAACGTTAAAATAACTGTTATCTTAACTTCCCATTAATCTCTGATTCACAACGGTACCAGTCTTAAAATCTGTGTCTGATTAAGGTTGAATAAGATAGCCATGTTTATTTCTTTAAACATTATTATTTCCATTTGTGGTATCTCTTCAAGTGACTTGCGCATTTCTCGTGCTTATACAGAGGGGAAGAAATTATCAGATAACAACAATACCTTCCTCATTATTGTGTAAATACTTGGGTAAAGTGTACTTTGGTGAATCAGACATGCCCTTTTTTTTAATGGAGGGTCACTTGAAATTTAAACGAAAATCCCTTTTTTTCCTTTGAGACTAAAGACAAACGACAGATCTAAACAAACATACTTTAGAACACAAATTAAAATTATTATATAAAATCATGAACATTTTTCAGACGGGAATAGCAACAAATCTCTTGAGCCCCGGGGTGAGGATACGGCTGTACATGAACAAGGAGTACACGGGGGAGCCGGTGTACCCTCCCATCCTGTCCCTGTAGTTGACAGCAGAGGGGAGAGAATTCAACAGGTGGCAAATATGTTTTTATTTATTACTAAAAATCATTTGTTCATTAGTTTCCTTTTGACTGTATTTATGAATTAGGCTTCTTTTTCATTCTATTATTTTTTTTTAGACTTATAGCTGATTTAAAGGGAGTGACCGGCAATGTATGGTAGTTGAACTGAGAATGTAGTATTGTGGAGAAATTTTTTAGGAGGATTCAATTAAGACATATAAAACGTTTAAATAATGTAAAATTTCAAAGTCGTCTATTTGGGTGGTTACGTTTTGAGAATAGGTCTCAAATGATTCCTAAACATTTCTCCACAATACTACAGTCTCAGTTCAACAACCATACATAACCGGTTACTCCCGTTAAACAAAGATTGACATGTAACGGCCTATTACAGCGAACATGTTTGCCTGTCTAAGACCATATGAAAGATTTAATAACACATTTAATACGAGCCTCACAACCAGAAGAGGCTTTCTATAATTAGTAATTTTTTAAAGTTTTGTTTTATGTACTTCATTTTTTTTGTATTTTTGTGGAAAGCAGTGCGTCCCTGAAACTCTAATTGATTGATAGAAAAATTATGAAAATATTTGTGATGCTGTCTAATGTCTAGGATATATCTGTTCTGGGAGGAGGAGCTCCTGCTCAATACCAACTAGGACCTGTTGGAGGGAAGAGACCTGAAGACTTGGATATCAACAAGTTCACTCCTAACCGTCCCTTACCAGTACCAACACCAAACAGGTATACTGTACCCACGCCAAACAGGTATACTGTACCAACACCCAACAGGTATACTGTACCCACACCAAACAGGTATGCTGTACCCACCCCAAACACGGATACTGTACCCACACCAAACAGGTATACTGTACCCACACCAAACAGGTATGCTGTACCCACACCAAACAGGTATACTGTACCCACACCAAACAGGTATACTATACCCACACCAAACAGGTATACTATACACACCAAACAGGTATACTATACACACCAAACAGGTATGCTGTACCACACCAACCATGGTATACTGTACCTTCACCAAACAGGTATACTGTACCCACACCAAACAGGTATGTACCCGCATCAAACAAGTATACTGTACCCACACCAAACAGGTATTCTGTACCCACACCAAACAGGTATACTGTACCCACACCAAACAGTTATATTGTACCCACACCAAACAGGTTCACTTTACCCACACCAAACAGGTATAATGTACCCACATCAAACATGTATACTGTAATCACACCAAACATGGTATACTGTACCCTTCTACCTGTACCCTCTCCAAACAGTCTCTGAGTGAGAGTTGAACTAAGTTTAAACTGACTGTGACGTATAAGAATAGCTAATTTGTTTTATTATTTATATTAACAATAGCAACAAAGGGGGAAACCATTTTGTAACCAACTTGTGTTTGGGAAATCGTCTTTTTATTTTGTTTATATCTCTACTTTAAGAATTATATTCCTGAAAATTTATTCAATAAAAGAAGATATACTTCTGCTAGAATTCTTGTATTCAACAAATAGGACTATTTATATTCCTTGCATTCTTTCAAGAATATGTTTTCCTAACAAATGTTTGGTTCAAGGGGATGTTTATGAATTAAAAAGGGGGTTTGGTCCAACAATTAAAATAATTGTGTCGCAAGCTCTTAAACAATCGAAACTAATATTAACCGTGTCAAATCAATTAATCAATTCAAGGTGATTTTTTCTTCAGTATTGTTTTGAATAGTGCTTAGGATCCATTTTAATTGAATGCGAATCCGGATTCTGGATCCGCATTAAAAATGGATCCGGATCCAGGTCATGAACATAATCAATATGATAATCTGAATTTTAAAACAATAAAAGAATATTCACATTTTTCTTATATTTTTTAGCTAATTTTTATGCTATAACTTTTTTATTTTTTAATAACAACAGTGTTCATTTGTGTTCTGAGAGCGTACGTTTTTTCACTGGTTTTGTTTCCTTGGCTATTCCGGGAAACCAAAATGGGATCAAACCTGGTTTCGAATTGATCTAAAGTTGTAAAAGAAATAGCTTGGACAGCATTCATCAAGGTTGTATAATAAGGTTTGTTACTCTCAATGCACTCCAATATACAGAAAATGTCGTCTCCTATATAGATTGACAAATACCCAATATGACGGAACTGATTATAGAGGCGAGCGTAATGTCATCTATCTATCTATCTTAGGAGACGACATTTTCCTTACATTGGAGCACATAGAGAGTAACTAACCTTACTATACTATACAACCTTAGCATTCTGAAATATTGGACCCCTCTTGATGTTTTTGTGCTAAATGACTAAAATGATCCAATTTTTCATGAATGTTTTCTTATTTTGGGACAAAATGTTCCCAAATCATGTCTTGAGAATTACTTTTTCATTAGATTTCATTTTAGAGAAGCACTTCTTACACAGAAACTGGAGCAAGCTCTAGGGTCAGTCTGCCCTCTTCTCAGGTAAAAACAAATGTTTATAAAGGGACGGTTAGTGTATTTTCAAGTGACCCTCCATGCAAAGTTAACAATGCCCGAATCACAAGTAGTAGTACCCTTAAAAACATCTGATAAAGGATGAATTAGATATAAATGTTTATTATTTTGAAATATGATTATTTTTAATTGTGCTTTCTGTACAAAAGTGACTTTTTTTATGAAAAATTGGTTTTTATTATCTTGATTTTGAGGGTCATTCATATTTTAATTTCTTTGCAGGATTGAAAAACTAGTTCTTTCTCAGTAAAGTTCATAACATTTTTTATAATTTTGAATTTTTGTATCAGAGAGATAATGACAGATTTTGCTCCTTTCCTTGCTAAAACTTTGGTTGGATCACATGGACAAGATCTACTCATAGAGGGAAAGGTATTAATATTATTATTATTTTATTTATTCTATTTTCTATTATTGTAATTATCATTGTTAATGTTATTATTATTATTATACTAAGATTGATGTGCTTTTTAGAATGATTCTAATTTAGGACCATATTGTCCGAGTTGCGAATGAAGCTGAGTTTATTCTCAACCGTATGCGTGCTGATGACGTACTCAAGGTTTGTTTGTTTACATTTGGTTACCAACGTACCGTACAATGTTTGTTTACATCATGTTACAAGTTTACTGTATAATTAACAGAATGTGTGTACATCTGGTAAAAAAAAAATTTCATTTTTTTTAAAATTATAATTTTAATGTTCATAATTCTGCTTTTTCTTAAATTTAATTCATTTATTTAATTTATTTTAATAAAAATATTAAATTGACCGTCTATCTGATGTTCAGCATGCTGAGTTCGAAGGCAGCTGTTTATCTAGTCTGTCAGATAGACAAGAGGAGGAGAAGATGTGTGATCATCTCATCTCAGCAGCTAGGTTAGATAGATTAGTATCATCATTATTAGTGTTATCATTATCAGCATTACCAATAAATACCAACAGTTATTAACGTAATTGTCTCTATCAATTTTATCATCTCTAACATTATCGTTATCATCATTACCATCATAATTATCAAAATAATAAAAATATTTTTAGTACAAATTTTTTATTATTATCAACAATTATCATCTTCTCATGTTGTTATTATTACAATTTCAGGAGACGGGATGGAGTGCTAGCAGCTAAACTAGTTGATAAACTCTGCAGTATACTCCATAATCCACACGGAGCTTGGAGTAGTCTTAGCACTCCAGGGAGTAGTCCTACTAGTCTTCAGAGCATTCGTTCAGTACCTAGGTAGTCATTTATTCATTCATTACATAGTCATTCATTCATTCATTACATAGTCATTCATTCATCCATTACATAGTCATTCATTCATTCATTACATAGTCATTTATTCATTCATTAAATAGTCATTTATTCATTCATTAAATAGTCATTCATTCATTCATTACATAGTCATTTATTCATTCACTACATAGTCATTTTTTCATTCATTCCATAGTCATTCATTCATTCATTACATAGTCATTTATTCATTTATTATATAGTTGTTCATTTATTCATTACTTAGTCATTCATTCATTCATTACATAGTCATTTATTCATTCATTGCATAGTTGTGTATTCATTCATTACTTAGTCATTCTTTCAATTATTCTTTCATCATTTCATCTTTTTGTACATTATTCTTTAGAGTTCAGTACCTAGCTAAGTCATTCATGTATTTACTTATTTACCCATTCATTCATTGAACTTTTTAAATTGTCTAATAAGTAAACGCTTAAAGGGAATGAAAGCGTAATTTCAAATGACCTTTCATATAAAGAGGAGCATTCCCAATTCACAAATATACCCTTTAAACCTTTGACTGATTAAGGATGTCGGACATATCTATATTTATCTACTGAAACTCTTTAACTCTTAGTTTGAAAGCTTTATATATTTAAGAAATATCAATAACTACCCTCTAAGAGGGGCAGATAATACAACTTCACTTTTGAATGTTTAAAAACCGCTTTTAACTTAAAACTGTCGATACTTTGAGTTGCAGAAGTAACAGATCAGCTGCGTTTGAGAGGAATTCAAGCGGGTTCCGACATGTTTTAGAGGAATTCAAGCGGGTTCCGACATGTTTTTTAGAGGAATTCAAGCGGGTTCCGACATGTTTTAGAGGAATTCAAGCGGGTTCCGACATGTTTTAGAGGAATTCAAGCGGGTTCCGACATGTTTTTATCGATCAACAGTCAAGTAAAGGTTTCAAGGGTTCCCTTTAAAATCCGGCATTGCCCTCTTAACACGGAGGGTCACTTGACATTACGCTCAGAGTCCCTTTAATACTTAATTATTTTATTTATATTGACTATGATCTACTTTTTAAAGCAATAAATTTTATTCATTCATGAAATTTGTTGCAAGAAAGAGGAACAAAGTTCCATTCATTTGTTCTCAGGAGATTTAAGAAAGTCAATTCTTTCAAACATTTTCATTCTTTTCTTTTTTATTTTTCATTCATGAAAAGGTTAATTCTACTAATTTTCTCGAGAAATGCAATTTTGTTATTGCTAGAAATAATAAAGCCTATATTATTGATAAATTACAGGGGTTCACTTGTGAAAGGCTATTGTGTCCATGTTGTTTAAACACTAGATAATTAGATTTTAAAATTCCAACCTTTCATGTATGTACATCTCTTTCTTCACCTAAACTTAAAAACTTGAATGTTATGTATATTCTGATATACATTATCTCTTTGCAGTATTAAAAATGGGATATGTCTTCCTTCAAACATTTCAATCATTTTAATTATTCTAAATTAAATATTTGTAATGTTTGTTACTGTATTGGTTTGATAAAGCTGAGCAATATATTGTTTATTTTCATGTTTATTTNAAGGAAAAATATTTAAAATTTTAATTATTAATTATTATGATTAATTTTCCCTCACGAGGATTATACTTTTCTATGTGATATTTATATTGTATAAATTTTAATCTTCGTGCAATAAATATTTGATTTGATTTTTATAAAACCTTCTTATATCTATTTTCACCCTTAACTAAGCTTTCTGTGCGTACTGCAGTATTCTGCAGTACTCATACTGGATAAATAGTGGGTTTAGGAAGGGTCTTCAAGTTTTCTATTATTTATTTCTCTAGAATGGTAGAAGAGAAGAAAGGGTCTAGAACCCCTAGTTTACTAATATTTACTACTCTGTAATGGTAGAAGAGAAGGAAGGGCCTAGAACCCCATGTTTGCTAATATTTACTACTCTGGAATAGTAGACGAAAAGAAAGGGCCTAGAACCCTAAGTTTACTAAAATTTACTTCTCTAGGATGGTAGAAGAGAAGTAAGGGCCTAGAACCCCTAGACTACTAATATTTACTACTTTAGGATGGTAGAAGAGAAGAAAGGGCCTAGAACCCCTATGCAGTACTGGAAGCTGGATGTTTGGGAAGATGATGCACGTCGAAGACGACGGTTTGTCAGAAATTCTCTTGGGTCAAGCCATTCAGAAGCCACACTAAAGGTAAGCAAAAGATTACTCTAAAAAATTACTCTTTACTCTTAAAAATCTCTTATAAAAATTATTAGTTAAAATCACATTTGGCCTGAAATAATTGTAATTGTAGATTTAAAAATATATTTTTATTTAATGAATTCCAATCAAAAATGTGAAAACTGTGTACCATTGATAAATTCTATAGAAGCTGATATTGCATAGATTTTCAAATCATGGTTTCAAGAAACATCATAAAAAGTAGCCATCTTGTTCAGGCGCCACTAGAGCATGGGAATCAAGATGACGCAATTCAAAGTGCTGAAGACGACATTCACAGCGCTCTTACACAAACCAGGGGACAGAACCAGGACCTCATAGAGGACGCTGAGCTCCTTGTTGAGGACAGGGAGCTTGATCTTGATCTCCAGGGACCAGTTAATCAGAGTACACCAGCCATACTTGTTAGTCCAGGTACGTTACTGTTTATTTATAGTACACTGTTCTTTTTTTAGAACTCTGTACTGTTTGTAGCGGTACTGTTTAAAGTACAAAGTACTGTTTTCATTACATGACTGTTTATAGTACATTGTAATGATTAGAGTTGTACTGTTTATAGTTGAATATACTGGTTTTATTACAATGTACTGATTATAGTACACTGTAATGTCCGTTTTAATTACACAATAAGTGTAAACGGATATTTATATTAATTTTTTTATTTTAGAAATTTCAACAAATTAATTGATCTAGGACTTGCATTGCCTGGAACAGTTTCTATAACCTCGGCAGAATTGTACTTCGAGGTTAACGAGGATAGTCCGGAGTTTCAGAAAGCGGATCCCACTGTACTCAGGTAAATTGTACAAAATAACTGGTGCGTCTACACAATAAACTGTACAATGTACACAGCACATTGTTCAGGTGTTTATTAAGAAGGATAACTTTTCAATAATCTCTTAATTTCATTTTGTTTTACTCAATAACCTCAGTCTTCATTGTGCAGTATTTTACTCAATTGTCTAATTATTGTACGCTTGTATTATGTTAATATAAACCACTGTTCTGTATGAACTTATGGAATCAGAACCACCCTAATTACATACCATTGTACTCATAAACTCCTGCGATTTTAGTGTTGTATTGTAGTCTTTAATTGGTTTATGTACAGTTTTGTACTACACAACCTCGAAACATGTAAAGTTTTTTTCTTAACTCATTTAATTGGTTTATGTACAGTGTTGTACGACCCAACCTTATTACTTTACAATTTTGGACTCATTTAAGCTTTCCATGTACTGTACATCAAAACCATTTGATCTAAAGATATTTCCAAATTATTAAACTTTGTTGAATTCTAGATATTCTGATTATCTTCACGGTAAATGGTTCTTCAGTGAGATCCGTGCCATTTTCTCTAGAAGGTATTATTATTATTGCAGTTGTTATTATCATCATCATCATTATTATCATCATCATAATCATTATTGTTATTATTATTATTATGAGGATGTTTATTTGTTTTTTTGATTGAATAATAAATTGATTATTATTATCATAATTATCATCATAATCATCAAAATCATCATTATCATCATTATTATTATCATTATTATCATCATTATCATCATCATTATCATCATTATTATTATCATTATTATCATCATTATATCATCATTATCATCATCATTATCATTATTAATCATCATCATTAATTATCATTATTAATATCATTATTATCATCATAATCATCATTATCATCATTATTATTATCATTATTATTTTGCTCTAGATACTTGTTGAATAATACCGGTGTAGAACTATTCCTGGCTTCTAGAACTAGTATTATGTTCGCATTCCCGGATCAGAATACGGTTAAAAAGGTTATTTTTTTTCCATCAATTTTTAGAAAAAAAAAGTTACGTATTCTCAATTTATTTGCAAATGATGATGAAATATTTATATTACTTTACTGCATGCAAAGTTTTAAACAAAATTCCGATAAATAACCCATGGAGTTAGTTTAGTTTTTGAGATTTTAAAATTGTGGTCTGCCATTTTTATATAGAATTGATAAAGGGAAGAAGAAGTAATTTTTGCTTGGTTCAGGTGATTAAAGCACTCCCTAGGGTTGGTGTAGGAATTAAATATGGAATACCACAAACTAGAAGAGCATCAATGATGTCTCCCAGACAGCTGTACAGGTACACAAGGGTTATAGTGTTGTTATACCAGTGCTCTGATATGGTTCATAGTGTACAGGGGTTATTGTGTACGTGCTGTGCACTGTACAAATTGTCGAATTTATTTATAACAAAGCACTGAAACGGCAGATTCAAAGTTTAGAAAAAAATAACTACAATTTCACGAATGAAAACAGAAATATGAATTGAACGTGAAGAATTTGTTCAGCCGCCGCTCTCGGCATCCGAACACCTTTTCCGGTTTCTACATATTTGGTTTGGATCGAACGAAAGTCGTCTTAGACTTTTGGAAGCGATGAAGAATAAGCACTTATTTTGTTAAAATCTTTTTCCACGCAAAAAGTGAATTTAACCATAACTAACAACAATCCCAATCCCTTCATTGTTGAACCTTTTTTTAGAAATTTCAAATCTGTTTTTCAGGGCTTCGAACATGACTCAGAAATGGCAGCGGCGTGAAATATCGAATTTCGAGTATTTGATGTTCTTGAACACGATCGCTGGACGGACCTACAACGATCTTAATCAGGTAATTTGGATTTATCTGATATTTTCATAAAATAAAATTTTCAGTTTTATTCCTGCGTCCTTTTTATGTAATGAATATGGACGCACATCTGTTTTTGGGCCTGAAAAGTTTATTAAGTTTAATGAGCTCCTTAAACTGTTGAAACAAAATAAAACAGTTAAACCGTGTACGCAGTTAATTTGAGTAGCAAATGTTTAAAGGAAAAATATTTACTAAGGGCTTTAAATTCTTTTTTTTCCAAAGCCTCGAAAATTTTAGGAAATTATTGAGAGAAAAAAATTTTAATTTTGAATTATAATTGGTTTGTTTAGTACCCTGTGTTTCCGTGGATAATTACTAATTACGACTGCAGGGAGTTGGATCTTAGTTCTCCAAATAATTACAGGTCATTTTTTTGTTTAGTTACCTTGTAATTTTTTTTTAATTTTTGGATACGTTAGGTCGGAGAGGAGCGCCAACCCCAACCTCACCGAGTGCAGGGTTGTCTTTCAATAATAATAATAATAATAATAATAATAAACAAAAATGTCAAATTAAGAGTTTTATAAAAATGTATATTTTTATCTTTTATATTTGAATTGTCATCCCTAGTTTTTATCCAAAAAAATTATTTATTTATAATAAATTATTTTGTTCAGGGATTTAAGTAAACCCATCGGAGCAATCAATCAATCCAGGCGGGAGTATTTTGAGACAAGGTAATCCAGGCATTCATCCTTACAATCATCCAGGATTCATGATTGCATTCACCCATCCTTACATTCATCCTGGCATTCATGATTGCATTCATTCATGATTGCATTCACCTAGGCATTCATGCTTACATCCATCAAGACAAATCATCCTTACCTTCTTCCAGGCATTCATGTTTCCATTCATCCAGGCATTCATCCTTGCATTCATCCTTACATTCATCCAGGCATCCTGGGATTCATGATTGCGCATTCAACCATCCTTACGTCCATCCAGGCATTCACCCATTTGACATTCATCCAGGCATTCATCCTTACATCATCCTAACATTTATCCTTAGATTCATCCAAAAATACATTTAAACATTTTACTTGAAAACTTATTCATGCATTATGTCTATATTTATCTGGCAAGACATTCATGCAGTCATGATATCATAAAAAGCATTCATTGTAAAATTCAATCTTACATTCAGCTTTATAATCATGGATTGTATTAATTCTGATATGTTTTCAATTAAATATTGCGTAGGTATGAGAGCTGGGAACATGATCAGATCCCTGCATTTCACTACGGTACTCACTACTCTACATCAGCATTCACATTAAACTGGTTAATCAGGATAGAACCATTCACATCATTATTCCTAGCTTTACAGGTGATATAAGAGTAGGAGTAGGAGTAGGAGTAGGAGTGTGGGAGTGTGAGAGTGTGAGAGTGTGAGAGTGTGAGAGTGTGAGAGTGTGAGAGTGTGAGAGTGTGGGAGTGCTGGGAGTAGAATGTTGGAGTGTTGGAGTGGGAAGTGGGAAGAAGGGAGGGGAAGGGAAGTAGGGAGGAGAGAGGAGAAACAAGAATAGTGGGAGTACAGAGTAAAAATAAGAAAAGTAGGAAAAGTAGTAGCAGAAGTAGAGGGTTAGGAGTAGGAAAAATGAGAGTGAATAAGATAAAAAATAAGATTTTTTCGGACAGTTGCATTAAGACACTTAGCTTATAAACTATAAATTTTAAATGATTAAAATATTTGCCTAATTAAATTAATATAGGGCGGAAAATTTGATCATCCGAACCGTCTGTTCTCATCTGTTAAAACTTCATGGTCCAACTGTCAGAGGGATACAAGTGATGTCAAGGTTAGTAGCAAATTTTATTTTAATTTAAAGTTTATTTTTTTTCTCCAGTTTATTTTTATTTTCAATTATCTTGTTTTTATTATTAAGTTTTTTTATTTAAAAAATGGTTTTTTTCGGTTCAAAGTTTTTAAAAATAATCAATTTTTTTAAAAGTTTATTTTTATTTTTAAGTTTTTTTCTTGATTTTTTTCTTCTAGTATTTTTGATTAATTTTCAGGAATTGATCCCTGAGTTCTTCTACTTGAACGAGATGTTCAGTAACTCCAGCAACTACAAGCTGGGGCAGCTGGACGACGGAACCCTTGTCAACGACGTGGAGCTGCCCCCCTGGGCCGCTACACCAGAGGAGTTCGTCAGGATCAATAGACAAGCGTTAGGTAACAGAAATACATTAAAGGGACTGTAAGCGTAATTTCAAGTGACCTTCCATACAAAGATGTCCTTGCCCGATTAACAATTGTACTCTTTAAAGCTTTGTCTGATCAAGTATCAATTATATAGCAATGTTATAAAAACTGAATGTTTTCAATTGAGTTCTCTACAAAAGTGACACGCGCATTTGTACTGCAGGAAAAGATAAAGGAATTTTGAAACATGGTTTAATCAGATAAAGGTTTTAAGGTTATCGTTGTGAATTGGGCATTACCATCATAGCGGGTCAATTGAAATACGCTTACAGTCCCTTTAAACTAAGAGTTCACAATGATACCCTTTAATTAATCCTTTGTCTGATCAAGGATGAATGAATTATCCACAGTTTATTTTCTGAAATTTTAATACTATGAAATTATTAATCAGATAACGATTTAAAAGATACCGTTGTAAATCAAGCATTTCACCCCTTTTTATTAAATGGAGAGTTACTTGAAATATTCTTTTTAATGTTCTACTTTCTTCAAGGGAGCTTTGAAATTCTTTTACAGGGATCTAGATAGTTATCAGATTTCAAGTCTTATAAAAACTTACAAGAAATCTTATGTTTGAAATGTAGAATCTGAGTTTGTGAGCTGCCAACTGCATCAATGGATTGACCTGATATTTGGATATAAGCAGCGAGGACCTGAAGCTGTCAGAGCAACCAATGTGTTCTACTATCTAACATACGAAGGTTGCTTTTTAACTGTTTTATAGCGTTTACTCTTTGCCAATGGTCTTTTTACGTGTCTTGGTAATTATTCTTGACGAGGGTTCGGTCTTGATTTTCAAGGAAAGATGGCCTTTTATTATTGTTTTTTTACTAAATCACATACGATGGTTGTTTTTCAGCAATTATAATTTTCTTCAGTATAATGCGTTCAAAATTTTAATTTAAAACTAAATAATACTTTATGATAAATGAATAGTAATCTGACTTATGAAAAATATTCGTAGCCGCATTCTTTCAGTTGGCGTTGAAAAAAAAACATGTCAATAATTATAAGTGAGGAAATAAGCTTTCGTGCTAAACATGAAGGATTCGATACAGAGCTAAATTACTTTAAAAAAAAGTAATTGGATTTTGATCAGAATTTTCTTTGAAATGTACTGTACTGCTAGGTTGCGTGGATGCTGAGAGTATCCAGGACCCTATAATGAAGGAGGCTGTGTATATATAATATATAAATATATGTACTGTACTGCTAGGTTGTGTGGATGCTGATAGTATCCAGGACCCTGTGATGAAGGAGGCTGTGTATATATAATATATATATTTATGTACTGTACTACTAGGTTGCGTGGATGCTGAGAGTATCCAGGATCCTATGATGAAGGAGGCTGTGTATATATAATATATATATATATATGTACTGTACTGCTAGGTTGTGTGGATGCTGAGAGTATCCAGGACCCTGTGATGAAGGAGGCTGTGTATATATAATATATATATATATGTACTGTACTGCTAGGTTGTGTGGATGCTGATAGTATCCAGGACCCTGTGATGAAAGAGGCTGTGGAGAACCAGATTAAAAGCTTCGGGCAGACTCCAAGTCAACTACTGCTAGAACCTCACCCACCTAGGAGGTAGTTTAATCAATATTTATTTAATTAATTGTTTTGTCATTGCTGAGCGCCGTTATTTTATAATTATTAATTATTAATTATCAATTTAGGCCAAAACATATTAACAAAAATTTGTCTGTTGTTGAAATTTAAAGTGAACCTCCATAGAAAAACCACAATTGAAAATATTTAATTTTCCAAGTTAAAAACATGAATATCTCATCAAAGCTTTAAAGGTGTGCAATGATTACTAAATTGTTATCTCCGCCGTGCAATGATTACTTAATTGTTATTTCCGCCGTGCAATGATTACTTCATTTTTATCTCCTTTATGCAATGATTAATCGATTCACTTCGCCTTCCAATGATTAATTGTTAAACTTTGCCTTCCAATGATCAATTGTTTAACTCCGCCTTTCCAATGATTCATCGAGTAACTCCACCTTCCAATGATTGGTTTGTTTAATTCCGCCTTCCAATGATTAATCATTTAACTCCGCCTTCAAATGATAAATAGTTAAAACTCCGCCTTCCAATGATTAATCGATTAACGCCGCCTTGCAATGATTGATTGTTTAATTCCGCCTTCAAATGATTAATCGTTTAACGCCGCCTTTCAATGATTAATTGACTAACTCTTTACTTCCATTGGTTAATTATTAGCCTCTGAATCCGTGAAAATATAATTTACTTGACTAGCTCCGCGATGCATCTGTCCCCAATGATGTTCAACTCCTCCCCTGATGATGTGTGTATGGTGATGAAGTTCCTCTCCAACTCTCCCATCTGCCATATAACAGCCAATACATTCCCCCAACTACCCCTACCCAGGTCAGCTTGTTTTTTTGCAAATTCAGAATTTTTTATTTTATTTATTTATCTTGAAATTTGTAAAACATAATGGAAATATCTAATACTAGCCTTGTAGGGCGCTTTGCGCCCATCTTCTAAATTAATTGTGAACATGTTCTCTTTGTGTACATCGTAAAACAAAACAAAAATAATTCGCGGATTTTCACAAAAAATTTCGCGGATTTTCAAAATTTTCAAAAATTTAATGACGATCGAATTTTGATGGAGACAAATTTTTGAAATTTTGATCATTCATAAACCTTCCCTGGAGTCCCTAGATGTCCCACAAAAAAATTGGGCCCGATCGGTTCAGCCGTTTTGACGTTTATTGGATACAAACAGACAGACAAGCCAGATTTATATATAGAATAAAATTGTTCATAAAGTTTAGACTTTTTATTACTTATTTAGCTTTAAATAAAGAATTTAGTTGATAATATTGTATGATGCGTTTTAAATTGTGTTTAACTATGATCTCTTCAACTTTGTAATTATTATCATTTTAAGTTTTTAACATTTTATTCCGAAGTGTTCTGACGGTGTCGGCAGCTCATCAGTTTGCGGTCAACCGGTGGAACCCGGCATACACAGGTCCCAACAACGGTCCTGTCGGCGCTAGCACGCCGACCGCCAAACGGTCGGCGGGGTCTAGTGCGCCGGCCAACCCTAGCATGCCAGCTAGCCAACCTAGCATGTCCGCCTCCGGGCAAGGTATTGTTTAGTTGCTTTTTTTGTTGTTCATCGCAGGGTCAGCACAATCAAACAGGATTTTAGTTAGAGTAGCATAACAACTATATCGGCCATTTTAAAAGACGCCTAATTGAAAAATTTTAACGCCAATTTTTTATTTTAACATTTTGATATAATCCTGGTTGATATACTCACAAAATTAATATTATTTAATCAAATTTTTCCAGCTCTATTTTTTATAAACTGTATTTGGCGAATTTAAAAGGTATGTGGAAATCAGTTTATTTTGTATTTAGAATTTGGAATAATAATGTTTGGGATTTAAACTTTTTTTCTCTGTCTGAAGTCTTTAATCTTTTCATTTTTCTGTTAAAATGCTTTTTATTAGTTGTTAAAGGCAGGGGTTAAAAAATACAAAAGTTGCAAAAATGAGCTTTTTTTAGAAAAAAGATTCGCAAAAATCAGAACAAGTCGTGTTTGGATTCTTTTTAAAACGTCTATTGCCAAAACATATTGGTTGAAAAATGTATCTAAGTTAGTTCAATTTTATTTTAAAGGGACTGTCAGCGTAATTTCAAGTGACATTTTTTTAAAGGGACTGTCAGCGTAATTTCAAGTGACCTCTTTTAAAGAGGGACATCTCTGATTCACAACGGTACCCTTTAAACCGTTGCCTGATTATCGAGGATAGAGAACTTGCAATTTTTATATCTTTTAAATACTGTGTAGATAGTCATTACATTGGTGTTTACGCGGTTGACCTCACATTTATTTTTGGAAATCTAGTTTACTACATGTTCAACGCTGTTTTCAGAAATTATTTATATTCTGTCACTTATAAAAAGTAAATGTTATTATTCCTTAAAGATAAAATAGCTTTCAAGCAAAGTGTTCAACAATGCCGCGCTTTCTTGTATATAAAAAAGGAAACGTCTGTCATTCTTTACCAAGAGGAAATTACACTCACAGTCCTTTTAAACTTTTTTCGTCCCCCCCCCCTTTCCCTCTCAATGTTGTACAGCCACTGCACTACATTTATCCCTGCTGTTTTGTTTTATCCTTTTTGTTTGAATGTAATAGTAAAACTAGCATTAATTATCCAGTTGGAATCCTTTTTTATGTTTAAGGTTTGTTTGGGATTTCAATAATGTTCACATTAAGCAAAATGTTGACTAGTGCTTCGGATCTACGGATCTGGATCCTAGGGGCAAAATTCAACCAGAAACTGAAAACAAAAATCGTTTGCTCTCAAACCCCAAATCTGAACTGTTCAGAAAAAGAAATATTATCAAAAATTTCCTGATCTCTGATTTGTTCATCAAGTTTAGGCATAAAAATAACAAAACAAAAAAATTGAAATTTCTTCGTTTGTTTAAAATTAAATGGATTCTAAACACTAATTTTAACTTTGGCAGAAGATATAAGCGGTTTTTTTCAAAAGTTCGTTAACTGCTAATTTTGCTTCGAACAATCTTAGTTTCTCTGTCAGAATCGATATTTTACAATCTTAGTTCCTCTGTCAGAATCTATATTTTACAATCTTAGTTCCTCTGTCAGCATCGATATTTTACAATCTTAGTTCCTCTGTCAGAATATATATTTTACAATCTTAGTTCCTCTGTCAGAATCTATATTTTACCATCTTAGTTCCTCTGTCAGAATCGATATTTTACAATCTTAGTTGCTCTGTCAGCATCGATATTTTACAAACTTAGTTCCTCTGTCAGAATCTATATTTTACCATCTTAGTTCCTCTGTCAGAATCGATATTTTACAATATGTAATTGTTAAAAAATTCTTTGAAGGAAAACCTTAAACTTTTAAAACTTATCAAACTGGTTCTAAACCTTTAATTAATATTCGACGATTGTACAGGGTTAGCCACAAAGTATGAAACTGCAGAGATGACATAACGAAACTAACACTGTCTGTTTTATCATATTTATGATTCCCTGAAACTGTAAACTTCTTTCTTTCTTTTTCAAATCATTAAAGTAGCCGTTTAAAGACTTAATTCTTTATTCAACGCAGAAGACTTAATTTACCCTTGGGATCGTTATATCCTCAGAATTTCCAGTCTTCACATTCTCGTCCTTTGTGGGTAACCCTGTTGTATAAATTCCAAAGCTGAAAATCAGTTGTAGCCAAGGAATCTAATTCTTGGCTATAACTAGGTTTGTGTGTTACCTGCATGTTGTTGTTTTCTGTAGACTAAGGGGGACGCTTTATAAAAAAGCTGTCAAGTTTATTTTGAATTTTATTTATGGTATTATGTGATTTTTATTTAAGTTTATTTGAGTTTTTTTATACGCTTAGTTTTAGCCATTTTGTGGTTTTGTGAAACATCATTAGTAATGTCTTTAGGGTTTATTTCGTTTTTTTAGATAGTGTTAAAAATAAATAAAAAGATCAAATAGGAAGTTTGTAAATTGATAAAAATAGTTTGGTTTTAAAGAAATATTTAGTAATTTACCATCCCTAAAACAATATTTGCTTTGAATAGCGGCGACTCAAGAGAAAGAAAAAATCTCAACTTTTTTAATTTCGAGGATTACACTGATTAACTTAAACTCTGAATAGTCCGGAACTCAAAATTTCACTATTGCACTGATAATCTTCTAAGAATGTTGATAATCGAAAAATATGTTTAATTTTAAAAATTGTATCGCCCTTATTTAGCTCCGACCCAGTCACCGAGCTACGCCGAGAACCTTTCTAATGCGGTCAACCTCCCTCTATCTATGGATCCAGTCCTAGCTGTAGTCACTAATACTACGGGACAAATGGTAAGTATTCCTAAGATTTATTGGCGGAAACTACAGTCGTCGTCGCATATATCAATATGATGAAAACTACTTTCGATTTCAATTTTGAATTATAAGAAGCTTTTAAACAGCATGGATATACATAAAAGTGGAAATAAAGAGAAGCTGTCAATGAAAAAAAAATATCTTTTTTATTATTTGTGAATTCATTCGAAAAAAGTTTGTTAACTTTCAATACTTAAAGGGACCGTTCACTTATTTGGGTAATTTCATGGTAAACTAAACAGCCTATTCATTTTTTAATACGAAAAACGTAAATTGCTTGCTTACTCAAATATCAAAAGTTTTCATAATTATAGTAGATAATAACGAACACATAATGACATTAGACTATGATAAATTTAAATTTTAATGTGCTGCTGTTACTGAAAAAAAAACATGAAATAGTGTCTATAGAGAGGGACCGTCCCTTTCCGCTCAAATTCTGAACGAAAAACCGGTTTTTTCTCCGGGCACAGTTGTCTTTGTAAGCAATCAAACAACAGCGAATAGGGTTACCCTGATATTACCCTGAAATTACCCAAATAAGTGAACGGTCCCTTTTAATAAAAAAGTCGTCTTCATTACTGTAATGAATTGAAGAGATTTAGTACTTCATCTGGCGGGTCATACTATTTGAATGTTTGTCTTTTATAGATTCAAATCCATTGAAAAAATGTATTTCTATAATAATTAATTCTATTTGTATGTTCAGGCAAGACGACATTTAGGAGAGGATTTCTCTCAGAAGATTAGAATGAGTCAAAACTGTTTTGTTGCAACAGTAGACAGCAGGTCAATATTTTCAATCCTGACCTCGATCTTTTTCTGGAAACTAACCATATTTAATACATTGACCTTTACCTTTGTTTAGATACTGACCTTGATCTTTGTTTAGATATTGACCTTGACCTTTGTTTAGATACTGACCTTGATCTTTGTTTAGATATTGACCTTGACATTCGTTTAGATATTAATCTTGACCTTTGTTTTGATATTGACCTTGACCTTTGTTTAGATACTGACCTTGATCTTTGTTTAGATATTGACCTTGACCTTTGTTTAGATACTGACCTTGATCTTTGTTTAGATATTGACCTTGACATTCGTTTAGATATTAATCTTGACCTTTGTTTTGATATTGACCTTGACCTTTGTTTATATATAGGCCTTGACCTTTGTTTAGATATTGGCCTTTACCTTAGTATAGATATTGACCCTGACCTTTGTTTATATATTGACCCTGACCTTTGTATAGATATTGACCCTGACCTTTGTTTAGATATTTATCTTGACCTTTGTTCAGATATTTATCTTGACCTGTGTTTAGATATTAATATTGACCTTTGTTTAGATATTGGCCTTGACCTTTGTTTAGATATTAATCTTGACCTTTGTTTAAATATTTATCTTGACCTTTTTTATATATTGACCTTAACCTTTGTTCAGATATTTATCTTGACCTGTGTTTAGATATTAATATTGACCTTTGTTTAGATATGGCCTTGACCTTTGTTTAGATATTTATCTTGACCTCTCTTTATATATTTGCCTTGACCTTTGTTTAGATATTTTTTTTACCTTCGTTTAGATATTGACCTTGACCTTAGTATAATATTGACCTAAGCTTTGTTTAGATATTTATCTTGACCTTTGTTTAGATATTAACCTTGTCCTTCGTATAGATATTTATCTTGACCTTTGCATAGATATTTATCTTGACCTTTGTTTAGATATTGACCTTGACCTTTGTTTAGATATTAACCTTGACCTTAGTCTAGATATTGACCTTGATCTTTGCTTAGATATTGACCTTGACCTTTGTTTAGATATTGACCTTGTCCTTCGTATAGATATTTATCTTGACCTTTGTTTAGATATTGACTTTGACCTTTGTTTAGATATTGACCTTGACCTTTGTTTAGATATTGACCTTGATCTTTGTTTAGATATTGACCTTGTCCTTCGTATAGATATTTATCTTGACCTTTGTTTAGATATTGACCTTGACCTTTGTTTAGATATTGACCTTGACCTTTGTTTTTATATCTTCCTTGATCTATGTTTAAATATATGCTTTGAAATTTATTTAGATAATTACATTGATTTTTGTGTTTGATTTCGACCTTATCCCTACTTTTGATTGACATTAAATTTGTTTTGTTTTTATCATCATGAAACCTAAGGATTAAATTATTATTGGTTTAGGTTTATAATAGCTGCGGGGTTCTGGGATAATTCATTTAGAATATTCTCTGCAGAAACTGCTAAAATAACACAAATCATATTCGGTCATTACGGAGTGGTCACGTGTTTAGCCAGGTTAGTCACGTGTTAAATTTTATTCCGATTGTTTTAAGTGTTTGATTTTTAAAAATCCTATTTTTTGTGAATAATATATATTTTTATCTATACAGTTTGTTATTTGTGAGCTTTTGCCTTATTTGTGGTGTGTTTTTTATTTTTTAATGTCACGTTTTAAAGTCATGATTCATGAAATGTTTTCAACACTTGTAAATTGTCATGTCTATATATTTTGTAATATTTTGCGTCATGTTTATCTTGTATATTGACATGTGACTAAATTTAGTCAAATAATTCAGATCTAACAAAAGATTCAATCACATGTTTTCAAAGCTGACTGCATGTTTGGTCACATGTTTTTATCTGATGTCAACTTATTCACATTTTTTGGTCACATGTTTTTAAATTAAGTTGTAGCTGGGTCACATGTTTTTTTAAATTAAATCAATTAGAATGTTCACGTGTTTTTAAAAGTGGTGGCAGTTTCGGTGCATGCTTTGAAAATGTAAAAGAAGATAAATCACATGTTTTAATTGTGGTAGCAATTTGATCACATGTTTTAAATGTGGTAGTAATTTATCACATGTTTTAAATGTGGTAACAATTTGATCACATGTTTTAAATGTGGTAGTACTTTGATCACATGTTTTAAATGTGGTAACAATTTGATCACATCTTTTAAATGGGGTAGCAGTTTTATCACATGTTTTAAACGGGGTAGCAGTTTTTAATACCCTTAACTGTAAGATAACTTGCTAAAATAGGAATTATTGCCATGTGTTTAAAAACAATACCTGGATCACATGTAAACAACGAGAGTTTAGGCTAACATCTGTTTTGTTATGATAAGACATGTGAAAGAGCATGGTTGCATGTTTCTAAATTAGACCACATTATTTTTCACGTTGGAGAAAGTGAGACGTTGTTGTTAGATTCGTGTGTATAATTGATTTTATAATAAAAGAAAATTTAATGCATTAAACCTCGTGTTTTGTGAAGGATTGTAAATGTAATTATTTTGATCACATGCTTGAACAGGGATTAGGGACCTCCAGGTCAATAGTACAGACATGTTTTTACATTGCATAAATTTTCATTTTGATCATATTGTACTTAATGAAGGTTTAGCATTAGAATATTTTGAATCACATTTTTAAACATTTGATTCAATTTCAGCTCAGCAACTCAAACATGTTTTATATTGCATAAGCAACTCGGCAATTAACACATGTTTTATATTGCATAAGCAACTCAGCAATTTACACATGTTTTATATTGCATAAGCAACTCAGCAATTCACACATGTTTTATATTGTACTATCTTGGGAACTTACTCAATTTGGAGTTTTTTTAAAGAAAGTCAAAAACATTCCCGTGGTTTGCCTCAATATTTGAAACAAATTAGTAAAGGGTATCCTGAGTTATGATCGGACATACAAAAAAATTCTTAATGATTTTTTTAAAATTTTTTTATTATTATTATTTTATTTTTTAGATCGGAGTGCAACATATCCTCAGACTGCTATATTGTCTCCGGAAGCGAGGTATGTGTCCACTTTTCATTTATCGTTCAAGTATAGACCTATAGGGTGTCCCACGAAACATGACAATAGCAAGACGAATATTAAAGGTCGTCTTTGATCCTGTAGCATTTATTCCCATCTGTAGCATTTATTCCTATCCATAACTTTAGAAGTAATACTCTGGAGTTAATAATTACAAAATACCCCTAGTCCTGGCATTTCCAAAATGTGCTCGCCTTTTTTGTGCTTTTAATATTTCAGATATGAAGAATTTGCTAAATATCTCCGGTAATATTGAATACACAACAAACGGCAGACCACACATTTTGAAAATGTTAGGACTATGAGAATATTGTAGTTATTGTTTCAAGAATCATACATGTGAAAGTAAATTGAAGACTGAATGTCACAAATAAATTCAAACTTCTAAGACGACTTGCTTCTGTCATATTTTGTGGGACACCCTGATTGTTCATTGTACAATGTACGTACAGTGTATTTACGTGTTCATGATTGTAAAGCACTGCTTTAATCATATTATGCACACTACTGCTCTAATTATGTTATGTACAGGGTAGTATAGTACTTCTCTGATTATATTATGCATACAGGACTGACTGTAAACAGTGTACAGTACTGCTCTAATTATGTTATGTACAGGGTTGTATAGTACTTCTCTGATTTTATTATGCATACAGGACTCTAAACAGTGTACAGTACTGCTCTAATTATGTTATGTACAGGGTTGTTTAGTACTTCTCTGAATATATTATGCATACAGGACTGACTAAATAGTGTACAGTACTGCTCTTATTATATTATGCACAGTGCTGCTCTAATTATGTTACTTTTAGGATTGTACAGTACTGCTCTGGCATTGGAATGCTAGAACCCAGAGTATAGTAGGGGAAGGGGAATCACCTACTCCAAGAGCAATTCTGACAGGTTTTTGGTTTAAATAAGTTTTGGGGTCATAGAATAAAAAATTTTGGCATCAAATGTAAACATTTTGTCCCATTTTTGTTTTATTTTGTCAAATCTAAAAAATTCAAACAATTCTAATATAACAACTTGGGGAAAATGTGTTTTTGAAAATGGGACAGGAATGATTTCTTAACAAAATATACCTAAAAAGTTTTTAATATTTTTGTTGTATTTATTTGTTTTTTAATTGAAAATCTTCTTACGTCTTGAATGATTAGGTCATGAGAACACAATAACCTGTGTATCTATATCGGCTGAGTTGGGTTTGGTAGTTTCTGGGTCATTATTCGGTCCCCTTCTTGTACACACCACATTCGGGGACCTACTCCGCTCCCTCAGCGGTCCAGCTGACCTTCATAGCGCAGCGTGCTTGTGGCTGAGCAGGTCAGTAATAGTTCACATCATTTCCTTCTCGTGTGTGCATATCAATAGGGATTGCAACAACCGACATTCTTGACTTTTTAAGTTCAGTTAATACTTGTGAGCCGTGAGGTGAAGTGCATTTTTAATCCAAAGTTTCTGTGGAGTTATCAGAGTTTCAATGTCGTCTTAGATTTTACTTCAGTTCAGATTATTGCATAAACAGATTAGAAACGTATCATGACTTAACTAAAAGATAATTTAATTTTTTAGCAATTTCCAAAAATGTTTGAAAACTATATGTATCTTTTATTTCATAACAAAAAAGAAATAAAAAATAAATTGATTGATATTCAGGGAAGGTGTTGTAATGGCGTCCTACCCTTCCCATCATCTTGCCCTCTACACAATTAATGGGAAGCTGCTCAGATGTGAAATGCATTCAGATAGTATCAATGTAAGTATTATTGTAGCTACAATGGGACCCTTAAAACTGTGGAATAGAATGTATTTTAAGTTTTGAAGTATAATGGGGACCGTTTGCACTGCACAATTGCTGTATTTAAAGTTCACTAATTAAAATCATTAAGTCGTTAAGTCATCTTCCTATTATTAGTCTTTCTGTTTATTGAATGAACAATGTTGGCAACTTTGATCAAATTCAGTGTCCATTCCATTTTATTCGTCAGTGATTTAATTTTTTGAATCTTTTAAATGAATTAAGTTTTATTAGAGTTCTTATAACATGGTTTTTTTAATGTACATAAAAACATATTTTGATTCTCTGTTAGGGGTTTTGTGCGAGTTTACATAATTACACAAATATATTTGGTTTGTATTTTATATTTCTGGATTTAAAAGATTACAAATCTGCTACTCTCTACATCATATTATGTATTTTATATTTCTGGATTTAAAAGATTACAAATCTGCTACTCTCTTCATCATATTATGCACGCCAGCCATCTGAACTCCATACTAAAACAATTGTCTCTGGAAAATTTACATAGATCTCAGTGGCAACTAGAATGTACAAAAAAATCTGTTTACCCTAAAAACAGAATGTTCAAGAAGAAAAAAATACTTTTTTCTTAATATAAAAAAAAATTGTAAAATTTTACAACTGAATCCAAAGCTTTTTAGCAACTAATATATTTATTACCTTAGTATAAAAGTCTATAAAATCTTGAGGTAGATATCCAAACCAGTTCCAGCATCCGTAGGGGTTACTTGCAATAGCATGCACCTTAAAAGATTTATATCGGATACTTTATAAAACCAGTTCCTACGCCTGTAAGGGTTACTTACAACTTAAACAACTTAAAAATGGTTATTATTGAATAAAAGATACTTCTTCAAAACAATTACTGAAGAGGTGTTGGCTCTTGCTGTAATTTTTAGTAATTTTGTCAGCTAGATATAAATGTTTAAAAATTTGGTTTAATTTACTTTAATTAATTTTTTTCTCGCCAAAAGTTCATTGTTTATTAGTATTTTACCTGGGGAAACAACACAATTGTATCATGTTCATCTGCTGCCTCCAATATTCCAGAGTTCTCAATGAAAGCTGTTCCAACCTTTTCCAGGGGGGTGGAATTTAAATATTTTAATTGATTTTTTTAAGGTTTTGGCAAAATTATGAAATAGGACTTGGTTACTTTTTTATTTTTGCTACATTTTCACAAAATGGTATAAGTGTTCTTCACAAATCATTTAATATGTACAATAAAAGAATTTCCTAGCATTCTGGTGGGAAATAATTTTTTCTTGAAAAAATTATTTACCCCTGACCTTTTCTGGACTCATTCCACACCCGTGGAAGTGAATATTTAGACGGCAGGGGAGTTGTTTATCCTCGCATTGTGGGGGCACATACACGTACCCGGACTTGCTCATTCCACAGAGGGCTGGTAGGTTCAGGAAAAATTCACCTTGATCAAACTCCACTAGTTTTCCACTGTATTTGTTGACAACAATCTTGCTTTCCCCATAGAACAAGTTAAACATGGTACTGAAATCAAGCAGATTGAAAGGAATATTGAAGTTTTAATAAATGATCATTTTTACCAAATAGATTCTAGTACAATAGATGGCAACGTAAAATTTGTACAATCTCAGTATAGCTGTACTCTGACGTCACAAGTGTCAATTCAGGTTTCGCATATGACAAAATTATAAATAATAGTGATAGTTTTACAATAAAGTGCTTATCTTACAGTAAAATAAGTGCAATTTTATATTTTCTTTATTTTCTGTTTGTAAAATTTTTTATTTAGTCTTGGAAAACATGTCAACTAATGTGAGAAAATTTTGTTTTCCTTTTTATATTTGACACTTGTGAAGTCGTGTATAATTGGTCTATTTCTCTGTTGCCACCTATTGTACTTGATAATCTATTTCTCTGTTGCCACCTATTGTACTTGATAATCTATTTCTCTGTTGCCACCTATTGTACTTGATAATCTATTTGATATTTACAAGCATGGATTGCTTTGCTTCAGATCAGCTGTTTATTTTTAGCTGTTCACAATGATCCATAGGTTGCAAGGTCTCAGGCAAAAACTTTTTCCTTTTTTAAAACTTTATAGCGCTTTAGAGTTATTTAATGTAACAATTGAACTAGTGTGGTAAAATTAAATATCATTTCGAACTAGTCTTAAAAATTGATGTAACTTTTCAAAGCATTATGGATCTATGAGTGTTGTGTTTAGAAGCAAGCAGAAATTAATCCAGCTACTTTTTACAACAAGTCGGAAATTATCTACTGTTTTAATAATTAAATACCTTATTATCTGCCAATTACAGTTCTCTAAGTACAATTCTGAATTTAAAACTCCACATGGAGTTCCATAATTCAGGGTAGGGATACAGTGCGTTGAGGAAACATTACTCACTAAAAATTCAAATCCTTAAAACAGGTTTCATTTCCAATCTCTCTTTAATAAAAGTGTTCATCAATGATTTAAAATTATTATTTTTTAAGTTAGGCTCATTCCATACTAATGTGACCTGATTGTATTTCCCCGTTGGTTGTAAAATATCCATAGAATTCTTGTATTTTCTCTAGAATCCCAGGATTCACAACCTCATCTTGGCTTCCATGATAAAGAAACACCTTAGCGTTTCTAGATTGAACATTTATTGCAGTTAGACTTTAATTTTTTTTTATATTTTAACCTTAAATTCTCTGTTGCATCAATGCTTCCTGTCAAAGCCAATCCTTCAGTTTCTTAATAAAATTGAAAAGTTATCTAAACTTTTTATTTACATAATGATTATTTACAACTACTTTACAGGTCACTTCACCAAGGGTTCCCAAGACCAATTGGGTCTGTCCTAGTGAACGATTTTTGACCCCCCCCCCCCCCCTCCTATCAATTTTGTACATGACCATTTATTTTTCAGCAAATTTATTATTGTTTATTTTTTTATTATTTAGGGTTAAGTTAGGTTAAGACACTTTCTGGGCCGAGCGCTGCGGCTATGATGGGCTAGGGGGCCGAGCGCTGCGGCCACGGGTTAGGTTAGTTCAGACACTTTCTGGGCCGAGCGCTGCGGCTAGGACAGGCTAGGGGGCCGAGCGCTGCGGCCACGGGTTAGGTTAAGTTAAGACACTTCCTGTCAGACCCATGTACAAAATTGATAGGAGGGGGGGGGGGGGTTCAAAAATCGTTCTCTAGGAATATACCGACCAATTTTTAGTTAAGGCATGGTTAAGTAATATTTTAATCTACCGGAAAAGCTTAGTTGTGCAGTGGCTTTTGAGAAACAAAAACTTTGCAGGGTGAGATGTGATGTGATTTGATTTACTTTAATACCCCAAGGGACTGTTAAGTAACTTAACATCCTGCTGTTGGGAAAATTACAATTTGGTAATGTTGGTCAAACGGCGGTAAAATTGATGAATGATGAGTAGGGTAGATATCAGTGTTAAATAAACCATTTACCTGCTATAAGTAGATTAGTATTAACCAGACTAGGGGCTTCCATACAGCTTAAATAAGATCCAAGCTGGTATGCACATAGATAGGGGACACCAGCAAATAGGCCTACTCCAGACACCTGAAATTTAGTGTCCAAACATCATATTGTCTCATGGTGCAGCTGATTATGTAAATCAAAGATTACATCAATCAATTGATCTAAATTTTGCCTTGACTTTATAATGAAATTTTTAATCCAGTGAAATAAGAGTCCTCAGCAAATATTTTAATCTTAAGTTGAATTTAGAAAAAATCTAAACCTGGTTTGAGAAAGCTACATGAAACTGAGTAGCAAAAGCTGCTCCGGATGAAAGTCCTGACACAGTAATAGAATCTGGTACTATGTTGTAGCTTTCCAGTTTTAGACAGTGTCCTGGAAAATAAATTAAATTATGCTATTTATTGGTAAATTTAAAGAAAATTACCAGTCTTGAGTGATAGTAGAAGTCCAAATATGAAATTTAGAAAATACATTTCAATGTATGTTCTGACGTTATTTGGTAAACTGGGTAAAACGTTTGTTTGCATAATTTTGTTATCTTATTTATGTCAGAAGATTAAAAAATGTAATGGCAAATATTTTAGTTTTATATAATAATTAAATGATAATTAAATAATAATATTTTGTTTAGTGTGTTCTGTTGTCAAGAGATGGAGAGTATGTGGTGACTGCTGGAGAAAAGGGAATAGTTGAGGTGAAGTTTAATTTTTAATTATCCCTCTTCAATATTCATGTGTTCTCACTTTTCAAATCAAATGCGCATCAAATACGTATCCAATGCGTATTAAATGCGTATCAAATGCGTATCAAATGTGTTTCCAATGCGTATCAAATGCGGTTCCAATGCGTATCCAATGCGTAACAAATGCGTATCAAATGCGTATCAAATCCGTTTCCAATGCGTATCATGCGTCACTAATTCTCAAAATTTTTTGCCTCTAAAAGGTTGCTATGCCCTCATAAACTCTTGTTAGCTAATCCTATCCTTCTGTCTATGATTCACAAGGTTTTATTAAAGGGACTGTTAGCCTAATTTTAGATAACTCTTCAAGAAAAGATAACGCCCGATTTAAAACTGTACCCTTGGAGCTTAATCTGGTCAACAATGTGGGGAGACAACTTCGTTTGTCTGAATGTTAATTTCTCCATTGTTTCTTATGAGCAAGAAACTTTAGCAGAGAATCTACAAATGAAAATGAACAGTTAAAAGAAACAGAACATCCATATCTAATTCAGTCTCAGCTACATTTTGCCTAGTCACAATTTGCCTAGTCACATTTTGCCTAGTCACAACTTGTCTAGTTCACTCTTGCCTAGGTAACTTTTTGCATATTTCAAGTTTGCCTAGTAACATTTTGCCTAGGGTAACATTTTACCTAGGTAACACAAGAGCATGTTTTTTGCTATTGAGTGTCTCTGCCCTCTTCCCATCGAAAACATAGGAGAAGTTATTCTTTTCCCTGTAGTTGGGCTTACCCCGAATGGTAAGCCCTGCAGTTTTCATGGGAACCATTTTCAATGTGTCTTTCGATCTGATTGGTTTATAGAAAAATAATTCGCGGATTTTCACAAAAAATTTCGTGGATTTTCAAAATTTTTAAAAATTTAATGACGATCGAATTTTGATTGAGACAAATATTTAAAATTTCAATCATTCATAAACCTTCCCTGGGGTCCCTAGATGTCCCACAAAAAATTTGGGCCCGATCGGTTCAGCCGTTTTGACGTTTATTGGATACAAACAAACAAACAGAGACAGACAAGCCAAATTTATATATAAACTAGCCTTAAATTAATCTAAATTCTAAATCTAAATCTAAATTAATTGTGAACATGTTCTCTTTGTGTACATCGTAAAACAAAGTAAAAATGATTCGCGGATTTTCACAAAAAAAATTCGCGGATTTTCAAAATTTTCAAAAATTAAATGAAGGTCGAATTTTGATGGAGACAAATATTTGAAATTTTGATCATTCATAACCCTTCCCTGTGGGCACGTGATGTCCCACAAAAAATTTGGGCCCGATCGGTTCAGCCGTTTTGACTTTTATTGGATACAAACAAACAGACAGACAAGCCAAATTTATATATAGATTGAACTATTTTTAAAAATTTGCGAAATTTTTGCCAAAAAATTTGCAGATTTTTAAAATTCTCGGATTGTTGAAAAAATTTTTGTGAAAAAATTATTGACTAGGCAAAAAATTCGCTCTATTGTTACTCTAGGCAAAATGTTACTAGGCAAAATGTTACCTAGGCAAACTGTTACCTAGGCAAAATGTGACTAGGCAAGTTGTGACTAGGCAAAATGTGACTAGGCAAATTGTGACTAGGCAAAATGTAGCTGAGCCCTTGAAATAAAGGACGAAGACGACAGTTATTTTAACCGTTTATATTCTAGGTTTGGAGAACCTTCCATCTGAGTCTTCTCTACGCGTTCCCAGGATGTGAATCTAGTATTCGATCTCTTGCTCTTTCCCATGATCAAAAGTAAGGCATTGGATTTTTTAAAACAAATCTGTAAAATTTCTAAACTTAATTCATTTAATTTTTATTTATTTTTTTTGTGCAATTATTAAATGTCTAGAAAACGTCCAAAGTTGGTAAAAATACTACAAGGAAATAACTGAGTCCTCAGTTTACATCCCTGAGAAACTCCATTCATTCATTAATCTATAATCTACACATAATACAATACTTAACATCGGTCTTATATTCATTTTAAAATCTGAACTTTTGAATGAATCTTATTAATCTTGAACGCTTAATCTCGAGATCCACTATGCATTTCTGAATCAAGGCTTGATCGCTCATTTAAAGCTATTCCTGCAGGGTATGACCAATACAGGATAAGGATATCGAAGAGGATTTAAATAAATCCGTAGATCTATTCTACATAAGATGGAAATCAATGCTTGAACCCTCCTAGATCCACAATACAAACATTCTGATAGAAAAAATGTTGTGATTTTCCACCTAATATCGTAAACCTTTGTTACTTCATATGAATTCTGTTGGATCAAATATGTTTACTCCATCAGGTTGCTACAGTAATAACCAGAAAACTCTGGAATAGGAAGTCGAGTTTTAGACTCAAGTTATGACGTTAAATGAATATGAGGCACAGCAATTGTCCAGTGTAAAAGGACCCTTTTTCAATTTTTAAGTGATTTAATAATCGAAATAAAGCTATTGGCTTTTTAACAACATCAAATACACTTCAGTATTTCTATAATGTCGTCTTTCTATCCTACAGTTTTCTAGTATGATAAAAAGATTTACACAATTATAGTTTTCAGTGAGTTATCAGTTTCTTTGATTTGATTTTGACATTCTAATTTTTAATATATTTTTCATAAACTTCGTAAGACAAAAAAATCTGACCATGTTTATTTTAAACCTTTTTCAGGTTTCTGATGGCTGGCCTGGCGACGGGTAGTGTTGTCGTCTTCAATATTGATTTCAATCGTTGGCATCATGAATTCCAGCAAAGATACTGATCAAATCAATTGATCAATTCAGCAGTTCGGCGTCCAACCTACGATCAATTTTGATCAAGTTTATATAAACATGTAATAGTTAAGAGGAAATTTAGGAAGTTAGTTAAAACACTGAAAAGTAAAAATTTGTATTTTTTAAATTCTTGATTTTATCAACAAAAAATACATTGGAGCTTTGGAGCTAAGGCAGGGAACTAAAACTAAGCTAAAAGCTCGGATTTCGAAAAAAAATTAAACGTTTGTTTTTCGCTAAGATATGAATTTTTATTGATTTTGTAAAAAATCTTAGTTTTTCTCGGTTTTACGCATTGTGATTTGTTGTACGTTTAGATTTTTAAAATTACTATGTATTCCATTTAAGCAATTTTGAGTATTATTCCTAGTTTTTAATTAGTATTTTACTGACCTTCCCCTTTTTATTTTTTTGAAATTTATCCCTCATTGCTTTGTATAATTTACATTCCATATTTTGTAAACAATGCATTCCTAGTTTTTAATTATTTTGATTTAATGTACAAGTGTTAAATGTAATATTATAAAGGTTTACTTGTTTAATATGCAATATATCTAGTCTTGGAACTTAGTTTTATTTCAGTCAGGTTTGTGCTCTTAATGTTTCCAGAGGAAGGGGGGACTAATCCCCCAAGCCCCCCCCCCCCCCATAAGCTGCCTCTGAGAAGATGGCCAAAAACCCATTATATGTTCAGAACAGAATCTTATAAGACTAATCGATGGAAAAAATAATGACAAAAACAACTCAACCCGCCTTGAAAAAGACTGATCAAGGTTTGTATCCAAATGGTAATTAAGCCAGTGATGGAGATATCAACATCAAAAAGTGACCATTCCTAGTCAAAAACCTTACAACTTCTTCATTTATTATATTTAATACCAGAAAATGAAAATACGATGTAAAGATTTCTATTCTGTTGATCAAAAGAGAAATTATAACTAAAAAGTCTAACAAGAAAGGTTGGTTGGGTGATAAATTTGAATATCAATAGCATGAGCAGTAAGTATTTCTAATTAATACCTTTAAAAAATCTAAATTCAAGCCATAGTATGAATCACAGACTACACAGACTGCTTATCTTTTTTTCACTGGGTTTTAAGTTGACCCGGCACGAAATGCTACGTTTTTACGATAGGTTTTTCGAGTGCTATCGCACGGCCACTGTTGAACAAAATATCCATTCAGGGGTTAAGTTTTACAACTTTTGAAAAAAATACTCCAATTTTAAACATAAAACATAACGTTTATGAATTCAGTCTTTTTTTGAAGATTTCGTGTTTCGTATCTAAAGGATCCCTAAATATCCCTGAATACAGATGTTTGCTGATTAGTCGTGTACAGTACTTGTACACAATAGAACATGCTGTGGAAAATATCGCATATTTTAGCTGACAATCGATCTCTATAACTCTCTTATCTCTGGTATGCTTAGTTTAAGTAACAGGTACAAAAAAGTCAATAAAAAGAAACTCAAGAACGAAACATTGTCCTAGGATGATGAAGAAACATTTTAAGGAGCTTAAAACTCCTGTAATGCAGAATCTAATGATCAAACTGGAAAATTTTTGTTTTTCTTAAAGAGAACTTTCTGGGTATTCATAACTCAGAAGGGCATGGCTGCTTAGAGACCGTATTAAATGAAAAGCAGATCTAAAAAAACGATAATAACCCTGGATTAAGTTACACAAAGAAATTTTTTTTAAGGCGTTTAGTTTGTTTTATCACTAACGAGTGATAAATAAATATCAAAATCAGATGCAGACATTTAGATTTGTACATTTCAATCATTTTTAGCACTGTGCAGTTTTTTCATAAACACCCTTTATAAACTTATTACTTTCTTTTCCAAATAGGGTTTCCAGTCGTAATTACGTGGAACACTTTCTTTCACTTACGGAGAAGCATTACGCGAAATTTTCGTAATATGAAACTAGTTTTGTGTTTAAAGTGGTGGTGGGGGTCGATCTAATTAACGAACTTTTACGTAAATCAGGGGGGGGGCGCTAAGTATGGGTATTTAAACCTTTTTAGATTTGGAAATAAAAATACTCTTTTTTTCTTAAAAATACTTAATTACAGTTTACAATTAAATAAAAAGTATTTTTTTCTGTTCATTCCCGTGAGATCAGTCATAAAACCTCTGATGTATTTAGATTCTCGTACTTAAAGTAAACTTCTCCAAGGTTCCAAACCTTCTCTAGTACGCTAACTTTTAGATGGTAGAGTTCATGTCTAGGAAGGTTAACATTTTGCTCCTGTAGGCAGGTTTGTAATGAGGTTTTGCTAATTAGGCGTAATTATTGCAACATTTCGCGAAATTACTTTTATAAAAATTACACGAAGTTTCGCTTATTACGCGGAATTGTTACAAAATTTCGCGAAATAACGTTATAGAAATTACGCGAAATTACGTCGAAATCCTACGAAATTACATGGAATGAAAATCATTACGCGTAACTGCACGTAATTTTGCGTAAGTAAATAATCTATTACGTTGGAAACCCTATTTCCAAATATTTAAATTAAGCATTTAAAGGCCACATTATGATTGAAGGCAGAAGACTTAATTTAGACTTGGGATCGTTAAATCTGAAGAATTTCAAGTCGTCGTTACAGTCTCATTCTTTAAGATACAGTTAGAATAACACTTCAGATTTATAAAACGCTGCATCATAAGGACTTTGCAAAGTTTCTTTATCGAATCGGAGGTCTTCGAAAAGTAACGGAAGACTCCGTTGATGAAAGGTAAAAACCGTTAATTTTTAAGTTGTTAAAACGGATTGGCCGTTTTTGAGAAAAAAAACGTTGAAAACGAAACGGATGTGTTAAAAAACGACAACTTTAGTTATTTTTTTCTGGCTAAAATTGCATTAAACTTGGAGATTTATTTTTTAGAGTTTTGGCAAACCGTTGAAGCCGTTAATACTACAAACGATTGTTAACGGCTTGCACCGTTAACGATTTGAAAACCCGTTAATTAAAATTATTTAAATTAATTAAAACAACATCCGTAACCGTATTGCGCCGTTAACGTTTGTTGGAATATTTTTCGTTAACGCCGTTATAAAAATGACATCATTAAATATAACGGTAACTTTAAAAAACGGAAAATATTGTTAAGGTTTTAAACTTTCAGTTCTTATGTTTAACTAACGGCTACCATAGATACCATGGGTTAGGCCAGAATCAACTTTTAATAAACAAATATGCAGTACGCTCTCGGTATAGTTTATGGTCTATAAAATTAGTAAAGGATTAGCGTACATCATCACTCTATACACTTTAATCTCGTTGATTCTGTCAGACGATTTTCAAATAGTCTTTAAGTTCTGATGTTTTTTGGGATACCCTGTAAATTTACAAACATATCTGCAATTTTGTAAGTATTTAGAACATGTGATGTATAAATTGTAATTATTGTTATAATTGTTATTATTGTCATTACACAGTTTTTAGTACAGGATGTCCCATAAAACTGCTATATTTTTTGTCTCCATTTTTTACATAAAAATAAATGTGTCAAATTTCAGTAATAAAATCAAAATTCTTTAAACCTGCATATTAACGAATGAATTCCACGATAATTTCAAAGATCAAGAACACACTTAAAATCTTCACATTTTACTTGGACCAAAAGTATAAAGTATTTGAGCCAAAAACTTTTCTTTTTCGAGAGGGTTCGAGAATATTTTGATGAGATATTAGTACATTAGTACAGATAATTTAACTTTGTAGCAAGTTCATTATGAATTTCACGATGAAGTGAGGAAGAATGATAAAGTACACAATAGTTTCATAAAAAAAAGAAAAAATGAGAAATCAAATGGAGGTTTATTTTGAGGGTGAATAAAGTAGAAGGAAGATCCTGAAGTGTTCAAAGAAAACAATCTGTAACTTAATTATAACTCATTGTCTATGTTTATTGGGACACCCTGTAGGTAGAGTAGACTGTAGTAAAGGTGTTCTGAAACAACTCAAACAATTCAGGTGTTATTTGTTTTTTGTCCCCTGAAAAGGTTAATTCGACATTTATAATTTTTAGTAGAGTTTCAAAAATATTGCTGAGTAGCTGTAAGAACCAGTTAATTGCAAACAAAAATATTTATAAAGATGCTTTAAATGAAAAAATTTGTAAATTTTTTAATTTGGGTGTCTGGTGCCCGTCTTTTGTCCCACTGCACTGAAAAGTGATTAAATCCAATTCTCTTTGGATTATAATTGCAATAGAAAAGATGAAAATTAAAGAAATATGGAGAAATATCTCTGTAGAACCTTGCTACCTATTCTTCTCTATATGTCAGGTAAGTAAAGGGAAATTAGTATTACTCAAATTAGAAAACTTGTAATTAAGAAGGAAATTAGTATTACTCAAATTAGAAAAATCGTAATTAAGAAGGAAATTATTATTACTCAAATTAGAAAAATCGTTATTAAGAAGGAAATTAGTATTACTCAAATTAGAAGAGTGATTAAGTATTTGGAAGAGATTGTGTCGTTATTCTAGCTTATAAAGTGTTTAATTCTGTCGTTATTCTAGCTGGTAAATTGTTTAATTCTGTCGTTATTCTAGCTTGTAAAGTGTTTAATTCTGTCGTTATTCTAGCTGGTAAAGTGTTTAATTCTGTCCTTATTCTAGCTTGTAAAGTGTTTCATTCTGTCGTTATTCTAGCTTGTAAAGTGTTTAATTGTGTCCTTATTCTAGCTGGTAAAGTGTTTAATTCTGTCCTTATTCTAGCTTATAAAGTGTTTAATTCTACCCTTATTCTAGCTTGTAAAATGTTTAATTCTACCCTTATTCTAGCTGGTAAAGTGTTTAATTCTGTCCTTATTCTAGCTGGTAAAGTGTTTAATTCTGTCCTTATTCTACCTGGTAAAGTGTTTAATTCTGTCCTTATTCTAGCTGGTAAAGTGTTTCATTCTGTCGTTATTCTAGCTGGTAAAGTGTTTAATTCTGTCGTTATTCTAGCTGGTAAAATGTTTAATTCTGTCGTTATTCTAGCTTATAAAGTGTTTAATTCTACCCTTATTCTAGTTTGTATAAAGTGTTTCATTCTGTCGTTATTCTAGCTGGTAAAGTGTTTTATTCTGTCCTTATTCTAGCTTGTAAAATGTTTAATTCTGTCCTTATTCTAGCTTGTAAAGTGTTTAATTCTGTCGTTATTCTAGCTTGTAAAGTGTTTAATTGTGTCCTTATTCTAGCTGGTAAAGTGTTTAATTCTACCCTTATTCTAGCTTGTAAAATGTTTAATTCTGTCCTTATTCTATCTTGTAAAGTGTTTAATTCTGTCGTTATTCTATCTTGTAAAGTGTTTAATTCTGTCGTTATTCTAGCTTGAAAATGTTTAATTCTGTCCTTATTCTATCTTGTAAAGTGTTTAATTCTGACTAATTGTTTCCAACATTTAAAACTGTATTCTGTAAAAGTTTGCTTTTATTAAACTTTGCAATATTTTAATCCTATAAAAAAACATTAAGGAAAACCGTACCAGAACGATTGCTCTAAATTCTAAAACCATATTTTTCTCACAGAGTCAACATTTTGCTTCGTTGTAAGAAAGGCAAATGTTTAGAAAAAACAATTGTTGAAGTTTTTCAACTTCTTAGATTTTTGTTAAAAACTATCAAAAGTCCCAAAATCTTAAGTTAAAAAAATGATATAACGTTCTATACTTTTTAGGGTCTGTATACGATGGTTGTTGCTAATCTATACATGGACAAGGTCTGTCAAGTGAATTTAAATATTTCTCAAGAAATCTGTAATAATCTCAGTCAGTATAAGGTTAGTATACAGGGACAGCTTCAACTCAAAATAAAGCACAATTTCCGCAAGTTTCAGAATTGACCTGTCGTTTACATGATTTAATCAAAAGAAGGGAGGGGGGGGGATCGTCCAATATGCTAGATTATAAGCTTTAAATGGGAGAATTAGATTTCTAGGAGGTAATTCACAATGCACCTTGCCTCATCCATTTTTGTATGCCCCACCCTGACAAATGGCGCGTAAAGATGTAATTATTACTTTAAATCCATTCTTATTTCAGTTCTTCAAGTCTGTCAAAAATGGTTTCTTTTGGAAATATATTTAGGAAATAGAAATAGAGGTCCAAAAAGAAGTTTCTGTTTTACGAGGATACAGTTCCCTATTACAGGTAAAAGGGTTGACCTCCTCATCAGCGTAGAATTAATATTTCATCTCTAAACACAAACATAATGCGTTCAAGCTATTTACGTACGTACAATGTACATATTTAGTTTATATACTGCAGTTTAACACAGAACTTTACAGACATTAAAAAATGTCGTCCTGGTAATTTTTCAAAGGATTTCAAGCTTTTAATCCTAGATCTCATTTGTTGTAAAAGTAAATAATTAGCAATAAAATATGCAGTAACAGTTTTATAAAGCTCAGAAGATTATTCAATTTAAAAACTAAATATCTGCAGGACTCAATTATGAGAAGGTTTGGAAAACGACGTTTTAAAAACTCTTTCGGTCTCTCCAAAGTTCTGCACAATTTATTATAATACAAATGGCGCTAAGGTTTTGTAATTTTTACCTCTAAAAATGTGAAGCCCCAAGGTTAAAACTTTTGTGTTGTTAATCCCGAAATCAAGCAGTTGTTAAAACAAATTTTAAATATAAGGAAGACGATTGTACCGACTCAAATGCCGATGTTTATTCTCAAGATGTGTGTATACACAGGATCCATTTCCGCAATGAAGCACACCATACATGTAACCCTCGCTCCTCACCCCTCTACACCTCCCGGTATTCAGTCAGCCGAAAACACCCGAGATGATCACAACTCAGTCTCAGAGAGCTACCCTGGCTCCTGCATGTTGTTAATATAGATACTTGAGCAGCAGCAGACGATGCCTACATCCAGCCCATCAAGATGTTCCAAGAGTTCTAACGCTCCTCCACATGAGGATAATCTCAACTCTAAAGAGTTTACTAATCGAACCTGGAAGTTTTGTTGGGGATTATATATCCTACGAGAGCCTGGAGAGAGCAGAAACCTGTTGTTACAGTTCTAGTTGATCTGCACTACCAACATGAAGTTCTACATAGCTCACATGAAGTTGCTACTGATGTTTGTCAATTTATAGTTTCTTTATCAATTTTTAACAAACCAATTTTAACCCCACTTGGGAAACTATTTCATAACTTTTGTTTTATTAAATAAATGTTAGAAATATCCATTTCTTTTATTTTATCATATTGACTTTTAAAGTCAACAGCAGTATAATCCAAAGGAAGTTAATTTCTCTAGGAATTAATAATAGTCAAAACTAAAAGATTGATTAATTATCATGAAATGAAGTATTTGTCACAGTGAATATGGAGATCAAGTGTATGTAGATTAGCGATATTTCACACAAAAATTTCGATTTCTGGATATTTTTATGATTTGAATATATTTTAATTGTCTGTTTGGATCATAGATAAAGATAGATTGCGCATAAGACGACATTTTTCCTCTTGAAAGATATAAATGTACAGAGACGTTTTAAAGATATTCCTATTATATAGATTACCTAGGTCGGTTGTAAACATTTGCTGTTCTTATGTCATTGAGTACTTGTGGTGTACATGAGTTCTGTAGAGAGAAATTTAAGTTAGTTTAGTCCTTCTCATGTCCTTCTTCAGTTCTCGTCAATATGATATATTGGTCAGTGAAATATTGTTGTTCAAATAGTTTCATTCCCGGAGATATTTTACACTCTATTATGAAATCCATTAAAACACCAAACCACCCCTCTTATCATTATAGTACACTTTGACCCCTAGAAGTATGAGTTCGCGGACTGTACAATTCTTGGTGATTTTGCGTACATAAGCTATCTATGTTTATTTATTTATCTATGATTTGGATCCGATAAATGTCAAAACGACTAAACCAATTTTAGGAGAGTTACGCTCCAAAGCCGATATAAACAGAAAAAGTCCGCTTAAAATGTCGTCTTACAGTCTAGTGTTCATTGATTGATTGATATTATCTAGGCGGCCCCTGGAATACTGTTTGCTTTGTTTGCTGGGCCCTGGTCAGACACCCATGGCAGGTTAGCTAAACAAATTTGTTTTCCTCAGCTTAAAGTGACAATCGGCGTAATTTCAAGTGATCCGTCGATTCACAGGACACCATTTAAACCTAAGAAAGTTTATCTCAAGAAAAGATGAATTATTTCAATTTCCTTCCTTGTTTCTGTTACATAAATCCACAAGTCCACTTTAAAAGGATCTAACCTGTAAATAACCAATTTTCTCAAACAAAGATCTGGTACCGTTGTGAATGGGGATCTATCTAAATGGGAGGTCACTTGAAATTGGTTTCCCACGAAACATGACAGTTGGTGAAAACTTTAAAATGTCTTCTTCCATAGTTTGTAAAGTTGTTTGAACCCCAAGAGAATGATATAACATTTTCATGCCAGCCATATTATAATAATATTGGTTTCAAAGTAAAATATATTTGAGTAAAAGATCTTTAAGCCTAAATAAACGGCAAAAAGTCAATAATATATAATACAGTATATGGAAGACGAAATTCAAAACTATTCACAAATTGTCATGTTTCGTGGGACACCCTATACACCCTGTACGTTGAACGTGTGTAAGAGTTTAAAAAGTCCGCCGAGGTTTGTCGTCTTCCATCAACAAATACTGCAAAGCACGTGAGCAGAGAATGCAAAATAATTGCGCAAGTTATTCAAATTACTAGGCAATCAAAGTAATAAACTCAAAAAATCTTTGAATGAAAATAAAATTCTATTGTTTTTAGGAAATATCTAATTGTCTGTTCCTGTTTTGGATATATTATCAACAATACTGTTTTTATAATAAATGTAATATGGTTTAAAGAGTTTACAGCAGAATATCTTCTTCTGGAAGTTCTACAGGTATGTATAGGAATTAACAGACTAATCAAAGGGAATGACCGGCTATGTAAATTCAGGGTTTACAGATCTTTAAAAAGTTTAATATGTCTCAAATGAATCCGAAAGAAGAATTCCACAACACTGCATACTCAGTTCAACTACCTTACATAGCCGGTCACTCCATTAAAAGAATAAAATTTTAAAGAGAGTGTAGACGTTATTTTAAGTAAACTTCTATTTAAATAAAGATGGGCATACCAGATTCACAACAATATCCTTTAAAGGGAGTGGCCGGCTAGACATGTAGTTGAGTTGAGAGTGCAAAATTATATAGACAAATTTTTAGAATTCATTTGATACCATAATATATATAAAGTAAAATTGCTGAATAAATTGCAAAATCGATCTTTGAAATCCTCCCAGATGGTCCATTTTTATTTTTTGATTAGATTTTTAAACGTTATTAAAAGTTACTTTTTTATGTTCTGCAGGACTGCACTGGTGGATTTGTCTGTTTCTTCTTGGGTTGTTATTCGTATATCTCTGATGTCTCATCTTCACAAACAAGAACAAAAAGGCTCGCATTTTTTGATGGACTGTCTCCTATTGGATTGTATATAGGTTCACAAAACACTAATTTTAAATATAACAAAAACAAACCAAAACCAAAATGATTTAAAATATTAGAAATTTTCGAAAACAAATAGTTGGGGTTTAGAAACATGTCACCTTTGAAGCAGCTCTTGGAAAATGGAACAGATTACAGAGATGAAAGTTTTCACCTAATTCACCTAATTCACCTAGTTGCAGCTAGGGCTGGGCACGTTCCATCTTTATCTAGCTGTTTCGTTTTCGTTCCAACAATTAAAAAATAAAAATTTCAGTAAGTAATTTTGAAGGTAAAAACGAAACGTTCGTTCTGTTAATGGCATTTTCCGTTTTTTAAAATTACTGTTAGTGAACGACCTCAATTTTATTAACGGCGTTAACGGAAAATTTTCAACAATCGTTAACGGTTCTAGCAGTTAAGGGTACCGTTATTATAAAATTAACGACGTGAAGTGCCAAAAAAATTAGTTAATGGTTAAACAAATTGTTAACGGCACAGCCGTTAACGGTATATTACAGTATTTCGTTAACGGTTTATAAACATATAAGACGACATTAAAAAACATCAAAACGCGTAAAACATTTCATGCAATTTTAATCATAAAATAACGAAATTTACCGTTTTTAACATTTTAGTTAACGTTTTTAACTGTTAATTTTGTTTCAAGAACGGCTAATCCGTTTCGTTAACAATTTAAAAGTTAATGGTTTTTGCCGTTAACGGAGTCTTCCGATAATTTTCTAAAACCTCCGTTTCGTTAATGGAACTTTGGCCAGCTCTAGTTGCAGCCCTAGACAATGGACAATGTACATTCGGAAATGCATCGCTCTTCTTTTTATCTTCAGTGAAAAAGAAGTATTGGGTAAAATTATATATGTGGAATTATGCATGATATTCTGCATGCTTTGGTTCACAGTAATGAGTCACGAGCTGAGTATTGATTTTTTAGATCTACATAAATATATGAATATTTAGGTTTAGCAGTATCAGGACCCATAAAAGTCAATTTTGGTTACATTGCTAATTTTGTGTCGGCCATAATATTTGCTTTGGCTGCCATGTTTTGGGCACTTTTCTTTCTTAAGGTATTTAATTATTTAATAAAATACAACATTAATTTGAAAATATTAGGCTTTTTCGTTTCTTAACACATTCATGCATATTTTGCTTATTAAAATACAGTTTTACCCACAAAAAATGGTACTGTAAAGACGACCTAAAACCCCTTAAAATATGACAATTTCTAGGTTGAATTAAGTCTTCTGCCTTGAATATAGTCTTTCACTAGCTTATTACATGATTTTGCAAAGACAAAAGTAAGTTTATAGTTGCATGGAATCATAACAGTATAAATTCCGTAGAGTCGTCTCTAAAGCCTCATCATTTGTGGGTAACCCTGTAAGTCAAATGGGTATGTATGTATTTGTGTACAAAGAAAATAATAAAGTTATATACCTTCGTCTGGGGAAAAGTGACGGAGATTTTCTTGTTGTTTTTTGCCAGAAAATTGATCATTTTCAATTGGGGTTTAAATTCTAAGATTGTATCTTTCTTTGTTGTTACTCCGATGTAAAGGGTACCCTTGTGATGCAGTTCTTGACACTACGTTTACAGTCCCTTTAAGAAAGAAGGTTTATGTAAACTAGGATTTCCACGTTCCATCGGAGGAGATAATAGAGTCGGAGGAGATGAAAGAGATGGAGGTATTGAATGGAAACAGGGTTTCGAAGGAAATGGAGGAAGAAAAAAGAGAATCAGCTGATTTAAATCTGAATATTAAAGCTGTCAAAGGTAGAGAAGCGCCATTAATTTGTAAAATAAAATTTTGTTTTTGTTTTAAAAGACTAGATTAATGATAAATATTTGCTATCCCATTGAATTCGTTATTTTTAAGGTTGACATTAAAAAAAAAATTTTAATATCTCAAATAAACACCGAACTTCAAATATATTATATATATATTTTTTGTATCAGTAAACCTTGGTAAAATTTCAGGGCGTTCGAAGTCTAAGGTTTGTGCACTATTTGATCTAAAACATGTTAAAGATGGATTCTCAGCAATGTTCAAAAAACGAGCAGGAAAATTCAGAAAGTGAGTTTTAAGGGTTTTACATAACACTATTAAATCAAAGAGGATAATACTAATATACTCTTATCATATTTAGAATGATATATTGTAGATGTTCTTACATATAAAATGCGCCAAAATATTGAGATCACAACATTTTTGCGGATTTGTAAAAAGAAGATGACAAAATAATTTGTGGAGATTGTATTTCATGGCAAAATTGATTTTAATTGAAGTCATCGGGTCTTACAGAAATAAACATAATACTTGATTGAATTCATTTATTGAAGCATCCAAATCATAGAAAATGTTGTTTAAAACTTATTTCATAAAAAAACAAAACATTATTGTAGAGCATATCTAATTAAATAAGATTAACTTTCGATTATAAATACTAAAAAATAATTCCGTATTTGTTGAATAATTTCAAGTGTAATATAAATTTTATTTCAGAGTTGAAACTTGGTTCGAAATGGTTCGAAATAAAAAAAATTAACATTACTTCTTAACAGAATTTTTATTAGTCTCCAATATTTATGGCGTAACGCATTTATGACGGGAAATATTGAATATTCAAAACATTCTTCAGGTTCAAAAAACGAAAGCAAATACTTTAATATTATAACCTAAATGTTTTAATTCTTTCATTGAACATTTTAAACAAAAAAGTTATAGTCTAGCTATAGTTAGGTAGTTATTTTTGAACATCGAAAGAAGATTTTAATTCTTACAACATTTTTAAACAGATTTAAAGCAAATTAAAGTTTTGCCATGCTAGCTTCAACGTCATATTTATTGGAACAATTAATGCGGAACCATTACATGTTGGAAAATATTTTTCCGGAAACAGTTTTTGAAAATGCTTGAAATTTAGATATTTACTTCTTCTTGTTCTCTGCTTTCTTATGCAAAGTTTCTGCTATTATGGAAGAGGTAATAAATCAATTAAACAGACAGGGTTACACACAAAGGAAGATACTGCAAAGACGACCGTAAACTCTTAAAATATGATAATCCCAAGGTTAGATTAAGTCTTTCGCCTTATATTTATTAATCTAATGGTTAATTTAATTGATTTGGTAAAGAAACGAACAAGTTTAAAGTTGCTGGGAATCGTGAATAAGTATAAGTTCCGTACAATCGTCTCTGAAGTCTCATCCTTTGTGGTTAACCCTGTACATTAAAGGGACTGTAGATGGGATTTATTTAAAGAGTCATATGGCCGATTTACATTTAGCCCTTTGTCCTTGTTTTTCTACCTAAACTTGTTTATTGTCAATTGCAGTTTCTCTTTATATACGGTGGTAGGCGATTATATCAATATTATAAAGACGACTTTCGATTTCAATTTTGATTTATATCAAGCTTTAAACAGCTTAAATACATAAAACATGGAAACCAAGAGAAGGTGTCAATTAAAAAATCTTCTCTAAAATTACTTGTCTAAAAAAGCTTGTTAACAATTAAAACTTAAATAAAAAAGTCGTCTTCATTATATTGATATTAACGCCTACCACCGAATATGATTTGTGAATTTGTGCACCAAGACAAGAAATTAAATTGCCAGAATTATCCAGTTTTTAAAATAGAGAAGAACTATATCTACCTCATTGTTTATCAGATAAAGGTTTATAAGGTACCATTGTGAATTGAACTTGCTTCTGTGCACAAATGGGATCTTTAAATTCTTTTCATTCATTTTTATGTTTTTGTCAGGATGCCTGTTGTTACGGTTAAAATATTTAAGACTTGATTGAAAAAAGCTGATATGACGTGAACGATATATTTTTCAAATAGAATTTATACGAACTGGTCCAAGTCTTTTAATATTTTAATCAATTTTTCGATTTAAAAAAAATTCTGTTCAATTTTCAATCAAAAACTGGAAAAAGAAGTCTTAACAAATATAAGTTCCATGGTATTTCTATTTAAAAAATAGTATTTGTCTATTAATCATATTTTTAAATGATAATCATTAGTTTTGATTGACGACAACATGATTTGTTTTTTTCTAGGCTCCTCTGATTATCTCTACTACAGACGACAGTTTAACTGGAACACAAATGAGGAATGAAAAATAATTTTTCAAATTATAAACACAATACAGATAGCACAATGAAGCCTTTAGCACCGATCAAAGATGTTGGTTGTCCAATGTTGATTTTTCGGGGCAACTTTGGACCAACGAAGAAGATAACATGATGTATTATGGTTCACTGGGTACAGGACGGTCAAAAGGCGGGTCGGTGTTATTTTTTTGTTATTTCAGAAACAGATCTAAAGTCAACATGATTGAAAAGACCTGAAAAATAAATTTAGTGTCACATTTCAACATTAGTCAAAACCAAAAATTTAATTTCTAACATTTTTCCAATCTTTTTTTTTACCATTTTTTAAACCTCCCGAACCATAAAGTCAGCGGTAGATTATTTTTTTAATGAGCTGGCCTTGAAAATTTAGCTGTGAGCATGCATTAAGCTATTTTTCAATTATTGATTATTAGTGTGATGATACTTTGCATTATTGAACTCACTTGAACTAGTTTTTTTTATACATTCCTAAATAAGTTTTTCTAATGATTCAGTTCAGCATGTATAAATGTTTCCAAGGATTATGGGGCTCGGTTGGTATGTTTGTTGTTATACCAGTTCTATCCCGGACATTCCACCTTCATGATACTACAATAGGTTAACATTCATATAATATAATATTATTATTATTATTTTTAATTAAAACAAGGATACCAAAGTTTGGGTTAAAGGGAATGTACGTGAAATTTCAAGTGACCTTCCATGCAGAGATGTCAATGTCCGATTTAGAACGGTACCCTAGAAACTTTAATCTGATCAAATGAAAAAAAGATAAAAGAAACAAAAACATAGAAATCTTACAAACTTGATCAAGCAACGCTTTCGAGGCCGGATATTGTCGTAAATCGGGCATTGCCATCTTTTCATGGAGGGTAAAATAAAACAGAAATTATTTCTAAAATATTTTGTTAAAATGAAATAAATAAATTAGGTGTGATTGCTACTATTGCAATGATTGTTCAACTTATTGTAGTTTGTTTTACCCCGCCAGGTAATTATACAATGAGACCCAGTAAACTATGAAATAGGAAGACGACTGTTAAATTCAAGTTATGATTTTAAACAGCTCAATGAACATGATAGATATGTGTTAGGAACTATAATATTCAGGAACCAAATTGTGTACTGTTCTCTGTGGGAGGAATGTAAACAAACCCAGTGCATCCACAGAAGTTGAAGGGAAAGGACTAAAGCTCTGATGTGATATTACATTCCAACAAAAAACAAGTTAAAGGGACTGTAAAGGAAAAATGAAAGGGCTGAAAGCTAATCACTTTAGCTCTTAATCGCGACCCATGAAAGTTTTATCTGATGTTCCTGTCTCGAGAAATTGATTTAAAACTGTGTTAAAATTATACAAAAATTCATATATGTAAAATTGTGAAAATCTGAACGTTAAATCACGTGACCAGAACTATCACCAATGGCAGAGCAGTATACTGGTCACGTGTCTCCGCCTGTATCACGTGACCACTTTACTGCACTGCCATTGGTGGAATTTCTGGGCAAGTAATACGGACTTATAAATAATATTATGAATTAAATCTATTAAAAAAAGAAATAACAATATAAAATTAGAATTGGAGTAAACGTAAGTTACAATTAGCTTTCTCTGGGATATCATCGTTTTCAGATTGGTTGCATATTTGCTGAATTTGATCTTTTTAAACCCACTACTTTTATACAAAATTGTATTTGTATATATATTAATTTTCGTATAAAGTTATATATCAATTTCTCGAGATAGGAACATCAGCTATAACTTTCATGGGTCGCGATCGAGAGCTAAAGTGATTAGTTTTCAGCCTATACCCCCTTTCATTTTTCCTTTACAGTCCCTTTAATATATCAAATTAGAGCGTATCCTTTTGGCTTTCTTGTCAATATGGAAAATACAATAGCAATATATTCTTATTCTAACTCTTGGGCCATTTTCCCTAAAAAATGATGCGTTGCCCCTGAATACTTGGTTTTGATCTCCGCTCACTGCAGTACACAGATTTGTCGCATCATATATGGCGGTTCCTGGTCTATATATTTCTTGGATTTTTGCGTGGGAGCGTTCACATTTGGTACACCGAAACTTAAAAATTTTGAAATTAATTTTATTTAAATATTTTTTCAGATTACGAATGGATGGTCTATCTTACTGCAGCAATATCTCTGCTAAGGAAAAACATAATAATTAAAAAAAATTAATTAAGAAAATCTTTATTTCAACAAATTTAAATTTAAAAAACTTAATATTATTACTTAAGGCAACTATCTTGACACTTGTTCTATTTGACTGTCATATTTGGTGAAGCTTTGAAAAACGATTTTGAAAAATCTGTAAAAAGGATCATTTTTCAAAATTTTATAATAAATATCAATACAGAAACAAAAACTAAAACGATATTCGTGTAAAATTATTATTTTATTTTGAATAGTCCTGGAATAACTACTTTATGCAGGTAGAATTCAAATTAACTATATCACGCACCCCTGACCCTTTAGTAAAAGTAAATTCAACCTAAAGTCTGACCGCGTCAACCTTGTTGTACCGGCTAGTCCTATTGAGTGTCTGTCCGGACGATACAGTACAAACTGAGACCGAAAAGGTTGACCCGACTCGGAAATTCAAATGTACTACGGCTGCCCGTAATATTTGCGCAAACAAATTTCTCTTATTTCTCTATTATAATATTTATTTATATGATATAATATATAGAAATGTTGGACATTAAAAAACTTTCTCTCGTGCTCCTGATCAAAAATCCTTTTGAATTCTTTTAAATTCTTAATTTAATTGGCGTTACAACACTTCTGTTAGTGTCATTTTTGGTAGAGACACTCTTGCTATAAAATTAAGCTATAGGCAAAAGCTTTCACTTTTTGAATTTCAAACAACTTATTTTTTAGATCGCTAATCACTAAATGCATCGAACCTACAGAAGTAGGGAAGGTTTTCAGTATATTAGGTGCACTTCAGGTAAAATGTTTTTTTTTCCTAAAACATTCGCTCGATGGTAGTTTTCTCTTTTACCTTATTTAGCGGTTTGAGTCGCATCTATTAAAACCAAAATAAACAAGATTTGTAGAATTTATCTCGCTATAATTGTTACTTTTTGATCTAGTTTTTTCCATAAAATTAATAATTGATTTACCAGAAAAATAATTTTCCTCGGAATTGTTAAGATTGACATCATGCAAATGCAGAAAAAGGAGATTTTAACTAAAGAAAGTGACACTCACTCCTGTATGCCGAGCCCATTAGCGCTTGATCCAATCAGGGTTTACTCATGTGTTTGTTGTCTATTCTGAACCAATAGAAATAGTATGGTGGTAACATCTATCTTTCTATCTATCTCATTATCCAATCAGAATTATGAATCCTTCAATCGGTGCTATCAGTAAATGGAAATATTTACTTATACTGAAACTATTGTGCACTGTTTACTGGCTACAAGCTCTTATTTTATATCTTTGCAATCTATAAATGTCCCTTATATTGATATTGATATTGATATTGATATTGATATTGATATTGACATTGATATTGATATTGATCAAACATATGAGTTCTGCAAGATCAAGGAGTCAAAACTTGTTTTGAAGATATATAGGAATTGAGAGTTTGAGGCAAGTAATCAGTGTAAATAGGACGCTGATTACTAAAGAATTTATTAAACTGTTAGGGTTCTGTGCATGTATTTTCTGGACCCGGTTATGGATATTTATACAAGATGTCAGTAGACATTTTTCCAGGTAGTTATGTACAGTAGTCCCTAGAAAAATATAGAAAAGAAAGACGACCAGAAATTGTTTAAGATAATTTAGTCATATGCATAGTGCACACATCCATGGTGTCCAATGTCCATGTGTGTTAATTTCAACTAAGTTTGTGTAGGAAAAAGAATCTAAAAAAATTTAACTGGACACCGTCCCTAAATTCGAATTTTGTATTCCCTTATCTTTTCAACCTGATACTGTAGTGTAAACCTTGATATGAGTTATGTTAGGTCAAATATCAAAGGTTTATATCATATGGTTGGAAAAAATGTAGAGATTTAAAAATTATATAGGGTTAGTAACGGTTTTCAGCTTATTTCTAAAATCAATTTTTTTTAAATTATTCCAAAAAATTCCAGGTCTGTATCTTTTATGCACTGCTTCTGTTTATCCAGGTATATAGCTGCTGTTATCCGATTTTTTTTATTGAAAAATTTAAAATTTTCAAAAGAATCGAAAACAATAAAATTTAGTTCTGATACTTTTGCTGCTTATCCTTCATAACGGATTAAAACAGAGAGGGTCTGCCCCTCAAAACAGNTGACTTCAAATAGAAGAAACCGAATGCTCAGTTTAAAAATGATTATCATGAACAGTATTATTAAGTTTAAAAATTATTATCATGAACAGTATTATAAAGTTTAAAAATGATTATCATGAACAGTATTATCAAGTTTAAAAATGATTATCATGAACAGTATTATTAACAGTGTTATTAAGTTTTAAAATGATTATCATGAACAGTATAAAAAAGTTTAAAAATGATTATCATGAACAGTATAAAAAAGTTTAAAAATGATTATCATGAACAGTATTATTAAGTTTAACAACGCCATTTCAGACATGTTAAATCTTCCAAAGGAGCGTCCACAGTTAAAAAGGCTGGATTTTTTTTTATTATTTGTTAGAGGCAAATTATTTCAAATTTACATTTAAACATTATTCCCTTTGCGCCCTGTTAGGTCCAATCGGTTCAGCCAAATATATGAAAACAAAATTAACACTGGATTAGGAAAAAAATAAAATAGGATTTAAATATGAATACATGGTTTTTATTCGATATAACTTCTAGATAAAATTTAGAAGAGGTATCCAAGAAAAGAAGAATAACAGAGATAGAATCAAAGCAATGATAGTATAGTAGAACAATCTCTCAAATTTAAGGTTTTTATTCGATATAACTTCTAGATAAAATTTAGAAGAGGTATCCAGAAAAGAAGAATAACAGATTTAGAAACAAAGCAATGATGGTATAGTAGAACAATCTCTCAAATTTAAGGTTTTTATTCGATATAACTTCTAGATAAAATTTAGAAGAGGTATCCAAGAAAAGAAGAATAACAGAGTTAGAAACAAAGCAATGATGGTGTAGAAGAACAATCTCTCAAATTTAGGGAATAGTTTCTGTAAATTCAAGAGTGGAGTGTCTGATTTACAACGAAATATTTATCTGATCAATAATGTGAAAGATATCGACATTTAATGTTGACAATTTCCTCCATTGTTTCTCTGGCAAAAATACACAAGTCAATGGCAAAGCGATTTTATTAATCGTTTCCATTTTTTGTTGAGCCCTTTTTTATAATGTGCATGTCAGATTTTTTTGGCTGTTTAGAAAATAATTCAACTAATCAGTTAATATTTGTAAAAAAGGGAAAGCCGACATTTGTTGAACCTCTTAAAATTTACTCTTTAAACTTTAAATATGTAAAAACTCCGAGAGGAGGTTTGTTTTTTGTGCTTCCTTCAATATCACTTTTATTTTTAAATATATATTTTGAAATATATTTCTCAAAGAACATTAATTATAATATTTTAATATTTAAAGCATGTATTCAACGTTCATCAGTCAGTTAATAAACTTATTACAGTTTAAAAAATATGTTAAGTATAAAATAAAATTTAAAACCGGTTCTTTTGTTTTATTATTCTTGGTATACTTTCGATTTTATTATTCATATATAAATGAAACAGATTTAAAACCGATTTAATAATGATGTAAATCTACCTTTTATCTTCCTTTAAAGTACCTTTAAACATTCTCTTCCGACGATACCAAGAATTAGAAAAAAACCTGTCTGGATTGTGCTCCTATTTCAAAATACCTCGAAATTTAAAAAAATCTAAATTTTACTAATCTCGTACAGTCGATATTAATATAAATGTTCTTACTCGAAAAAATCCTCGAAATTCGCTATGAATCCAGAGGCCGAATTTAAAGAATTGGTTTCACTCAAAATTGTATTCAATGTTTCAAGATTTAAGCCGGTGCTTAATTGAAACCGGTTTTTGGCGGCTTTAAGACGCGACTCAAATTTATTAAATTCGAACACTGTTATCTGATTTCACACTTGACAAAGAGTTTTAAACATTAAGACATCTCTGAGCGAAAAGAAATAAAAAATTTGTCTTTTTTAATAGGTGAGGATTTCAGAAGATTTTAAGAAATCACCAAATCAGTATCCTGAAGAATGCATAGCATGAAACATAATGTTGATACAATAAAACTTTAAATCATGTTTTAATACTTATTTTCTTATAAATATATATAAATATCTGGTGTACCCTATTGTACCTAAAGTAAGATTAAGATGGATTGTAGTGCGGCTGCCAACCATCAGTTATTTTACTGGGTCACAGGGAATTATCATACAGACATTGTCATAAAGATAATTAGAAATATAACCTACCGGGTTACCCACAAAGGATGAGACTTCAGAGACGACTGTGAGGAACTTATACTGTCTGTTTCCTTATATTTATGATTCCCTGCAAATTTAAAGGGAGTGTTCGCGAAAAATGAAACGGGGTATAGGCTTAATGCGATAAAAAAGCGCTTTTGATCGCTACTAATCTTACTTCTATCTGTTGCATCTATAAAGAGAAAATTGTTAAAAACGACTAATACCGAAGAACGTAGTGTCCATACAAATTCAGAAAGATGCAACATACGACTTAGACCTTAAAAAAATCTATTTAATTTCAAACAAATCATTCAGATATTACAACCTATGTCATCGATTATCTTTCGCCACATTTTCATATAGTTGATTTTTCATAATAAAGATTAAAATAACGTTTACATTTCTTAAGAACAGTTAATACATATATAGATAGATAGATAGACAGATAGACAGACAGACACATTAGTATTTAGATAGATAGAGAGATAGACAGACCAGCAGACAGACGCATTAGTAGATAGATAGATAGATAGACAGACAAACAAACAGACACATTAATAGATAGACAGACAAACAGACAGACAGACATATTAGTAGATAGATAAATAGATGGATAGATAGAAAGAAGACAAGGGTAAGAGTGCCAAATAATGTTTTACACTGCATTATTTTTCCATCTATCATTTGTTTAACATTACTCTCTTGGGGCGCCAGCCTGCAGCCTACACTGTATTTTTTATTCTTTCCATATTGTCAGAAATCCCAAAAAAACATGCAGCATAAAGTATTAAGACCAGGAAATTGGAGAGTCCCATTTTATATCTCGAGCAACAAAGACGATTTCGAACTTCTCACTCAATTTCCATGTTTATTGGGACAAACTGTATATAAAACTTCTTTTACGGTTTTTAGACATCTACAATATGTTACAATATATTACAATATATTACAATATATTACAATATAGTACAATATATTACAATATATTACAATATATTACAATATAGTACAGTATATTAAAATATATTACAATATATTACAGTATATTACAATATATTACAATATATTACAGTATATTACAATATATTACAATACTAGCTAAACTGAACTGTCTCTATAAAAACCAATTTCGAAGCCAGGTTAAGTTAACATTTCCCCCATCAAAATTTGAGGCAAATCGGTCAAGGGGATAACGAGCTATGATCGGATAAACGCAGCGGTTCAGATTAGGGTTTCCATTTCACATTTTTCGCTCGCTAAAAAGGTGAAAACTTTTCGAAAAAACGAATATTTCGCAAAAAAGGGGAATTTTTCAAACCTTCTCGAAAAAAATACACAAACCTGGAGTCGGGGGTGTGGTTGGGGTGAATAAATTACACCCATAAGATCACATCCCTAGAGATTAATGTACTGTAGAATGTAGATGTTTATTGTTTATTTTGTAAAATATGTGAGACACCCTGTAGATGTTTATTTAGTTAATATATAAGTCACCCTGTAAATGAACGGCAAGAAAGAAGAATATTGCAAAAACGTTGAGCGGAAGTGTTAGTTTTACACCGGAAATTGGGAGATATTTGCAAACACTCTTCTCCTTTTCTTAACAACAATCTTAAAATAACAATGGTGATGATAAACGGTGTTTCCTGTACAACTTTAAGTACCTTCATAGCACCTTATTTTAATATTTAGTATTTTTTTCAGTGAAATTCCCCACCCTTTTCTAATTTGCTGACTCGTAGCACTGCTCTGGTGCAAATACCCGTATCAGCGCTCGCCCCAGATCACGTCAAAACTTGACCCTATACTGCTAAACTACACTTGGGTAAAGGAGCATAAACTTGACCCTATACTGCTAATTTACATTGGGGAAAAGGAGTGTCAAAACTTGACCCTACACTGCTAAACTACACTGGGGAAAAGGAGCGTCAAAACTTGACCCTACATCGATAAACTACACTGGGGAAAAGGAGTGTCAAAACTTGACCCTACACTGCTAAACTACACTGGGGAAAAGGAGCGTCAAAACTTGACCCTACACTGCTAAACTACACTGGAAAAAGGAGCGTCAAAACTTGACCCTACATCGATAAACTACACTGGGGAAAAGGAGTGTCAAAACTTGATCCTACACTGCTAAACTACATTTGGGAAAAGGAGCAGCAAAACTTGATCCTACACTGCTAAACTACACTGGGGAAAAGGAGCTTCAGAACTGGGGAAACCTTTTGTAAGTGGTCTGAAGGAAACGTACATTTAGGAAGTTGGCGTTTTAAGGGACTTACAATGGGATCCATAGTTTCTAGAGTTCCATTCCTGATTCATACTGTTATATCTTCGTCTGAGGAACAATGACTAAGATAGTCTTAATTTTTTCGCTGAAAATCTATAAAACTATCTTGCAGATTCATGCGGCTGATACAAAAACAAAATTGACAGAGTTCAATACGTTTTAGGTTTACACAATCCAGAGATGATTTGAAGGATGTGCGAGGATTGGAAGTCTTAAGCTGTAAAAATCCCCAGAAGTATTTGTCGAAATGTCTTCTTTTTTACCTAAAAACAACAATATCTTCCTCATTGTTTCTTAAATGAAGGGATTGTAATTCAGTTATACAACTCTTCAATTACGTTGGCAGTACTTTAAAGAATTTTGGAATCTGTCAATCCTTTTAGGAAAATGTCATTGGCATTTGGGAAGGTATAATAACACCGAAATCGAAACTTACTCTTGTAAAATATAATAACTTGACAAAAAGTTCATTCTGTCCATGCATTTTGTAATTTTGAAATATGACTATAATGACTATAAAGTTGAAAATGTAAAAAAAAACATTAAAAATAAACAAATCTATATTGAATTCAAAGAGAACTAAAATTTTAAAATATAAAAATAAAAAATCTATTCGAAAAAATGACTAGATAATAAAGCACAATTATAAATAAAAAAGTTTCAACAAATTTTCAACTTGAACAAGGAAAAAAAATTTAAAACGACTGAACATTTGAGATAAATTGTTAGTTGATAAATAAACAAATATATATTTTATATAGATACCATATAATTGCATTGAATGCATTCTACACCTACATGTTTGAATCGATTGATTGCGCACTAGAACTTCATAAAATTTTACATTTTTTTCAAGCGCATAGAAGACGATAAAATAGTTTTTTGTTTGTTGGAACCCTGTAATATTTCAGGAGACATAAGTTTCAAAACTAACATTTGGCCCATTTTTAACACTGAGTGATGGAAACGGGCCGAATGTTAGTTTTGGAACTAATTTCCGCTGTATTTGTGCTGGGTTGGGGGGCAGTGGTACGAATAAACTAGCAGTTTTGTAGCTTCATCATTTTCGGATTTTATTAAAACATTTTGCCAGAAATTTTGCAAATAGACGATTATTAACTTTTTTTTTTAGAGGAACTTTTCAGCTTCCCCCTCCGGTTCCTCGTCTATGGTCGGAGTCCTTGAGTGTGAAGATTGTGGGAGAAGTGTTCTTAGTTCTCCAATCACAGGTTTAGAAGTGTCGTCTTCATCTGAATCCGTTAACTCCCCTCGGCTTGAACCTCCTTCCCGACCAACATCCTCCAAACTACAGGCTGCAGCCTCCAAACCAGATGCTGCGGCCTCCAAACTTTGTCTGGAGGCTGCCAGCTTGTTATCACTTTTACTGAGTTTGATTCCTGTAGTCTGCGCTGCGGATTGGAAGCTGTATCCGTATTTGGCTTGCAGCGCTAGCAGCGCATTTTCGGAGGTGCACTTCTGTGGACCGTACCGGGGCTCAACCAGGTTAGTTAAACTACCGTACTGTCCAGTAGAACCCCCTGCCCGGCCCACCGGCTGGACTGATGCTGGGTAAACACCTGATCAAACCCCATTGATCAAAAATCATTTTAAAAACATGATTTATTCAAAAATGATTTTAGATTATTACTAAAAATCTCTCTATAAATTGTTGTGTTTGCAAGAAACCATTGCGAAGAAAAAACATAAAATTGCAAGAAAAATTGAAATATTTTGAAATAGAAATTTAAAATGAGAAATGGCTAAATTAATGGAGTTGAATCCGAAATTTGTGGAAAATTGTCCTTTTATGAAAGTGAGTTCAGTTGCTCAATAAAAATAGAATTATTTCTGTTTTGATTGCGAGTTGGATTTTTTCTTTCTTTTTCTTTTTCTTTTAATAGAATAAAAAACGGAAAATATGAAAGGCGTTTATAAATCTAAAAGATGGAACGAATGATACAAGAAAGATTGTCTAGTGTATAGGAAAGAATGTCTAGTGTTCAAGACAGAATGTCTAGTGTAAAGGAAAAACTGTCTAGTGTAAAGGAAAGAATGTCTAGTGTATAGGAAAGAATGTCTAGTGTATAGAAAAGAATGTCTAGTGTAAAGGAACAACTGTCTAGTGTATAGGAAAGAATGTCTAGTGTATAGGAAAGAATGTCTAGTGTATAGGAAAGAATGTCTAGTGTATAAGAAAGATTGTCTAGTGTATAGGAAAGATTGTCTAGTGTATAGAAAAGAATGTCTAGTGTTTAGGAAAGCATGTCTAGTGTAAAGGAAAGCATGTCTAGTGTATAGGAAATAATGTCTAGTGTATAGGAAAGCATGTCTAGTGTAAAGGAAAGAATGTCTAGTGTAAAGGAAAGAATGTCTAGTGTAAAGGAAAGAATGTCTAGTGTATAGGAAAGAATGTCTAGTGTATAGGAAAGAATGTCTGGTGTATAGGAAAGATTGTCTAGGAAATTCTGCCTAATATCGAATTCTGTGTGAGTGTAGCCTCAGAGTTTGTTTGATACATAAATGTATCTTGGGATCCAGGGATCCAGGGATACAGGGATACAGGGATCAAGGGATAGCTATCAATATTCAAGGCAGGAATCAGGTCAAAATGTAAACTAAGACATAAGTGGGGGGGGGGGCAAAAGAACAAAAAGCAGAATAGATTTAAATGTGTAGAAAGGATTTCTATTTTGGTAAAATATATATAATTTAGAAGTCTAGAGAGTTAGAAACTAATCTCATAAAACCAGTGGAAATGGGAGAATTGAACATTGTTTCCATCAGATTAAAATCTAACCAACTTTTGGAACAGAAAATAATGTTTCAATGTTGGAATTGTTAAGTTCAAAGTGCTCAGTAAATTGTCAGCGTCATTGATCACTGATCATTAATCAATGATGGTTTTCCTAAAGAAATTCGTCTGTTTCTTTCTTGTGAAGTGTATCGGGGGTTCGGGGAGGAAAGATGTGGTGAGTGGGCCCCTAACTTGAGATAATTAGGACGGGTAGGATCGACCGTAATTTCAACTCCTTCCACCAATAATTCCGGCCCGCATACACTGACCGCGGATTGATCGCCGACGACATTGTCAGATATATTTGAGGATTTCTGGACTTCTGATTGGTTGTTAACAATCCTGGGTGGGTCAGTATTTGTGCACGTGACTCCAGGGATAGATTCTAAAAATACAGAAACATTTTAAAAATATTCAAAAATGGCGGGAAAATTCAATTTATTTTGGAGGATTTCTGACCTAGAGTTGGACTTGGAAGCTCGTCTTCATCTGGGATACTGGATAGAGGGTTGGATATACCATGTGATCCTGCCGGATGATGGTGAATAGGATGAGTTGTTACAAGGTTTCCCTGCTCCTCATCCTCCTCATGACTAGACTCCGTCAGTTTAGCGTACAAGGTCCGGTATCTGACAGAGCAAAGTATTAAGTTTAAGTGACCCTCCATGCAAAGATGACAATGCCCCATTTACAACGGTATCCTTGAACCTTATCGTGATAACAAATGAGGAAGATAACGCTGGTTTTCTTACTTAAAGTTGTTTATTTCTGTAAATTACTCCATTGCTTCTCATAAGTAAGGAATGCAGAAGTCACTCTCGCAGAGTAACCGCAAATGAAAATAAACAATTTACAGAAACTAAAACATGGATATCTAATTCATAGTGAGACAAAGTATTTAAGTGTACAGTTGTAAATCGGGCATTGCCATCCTTGCAATTAACTCTCCTTATTACTAATTTGAGCTTGTGCATCTGCATATTGACATTTTTGACATAAAATATTGAGAAATTTTGTTTACATAATAAATCCGAAACATCAAAGTAAAAGTAAACTATTGGCTCTAGGCTAATGGAGTCTAATGGACTGGAATGGGCAATATTTCTCGGCAGAAAACAGTTCAATCCAATCCATGCAGAATCCATACATTAAGTTTTTCAATTTATTTTTATGTTGTTACTTTTGTTAACAGATTTTTGCAACTAAAAATTTAATTTGATTGGGGAACTAGATAGAACCATTGAAATCATGAAATGTTTTTTTATCCTGGTTTAAAATTTTTAAGTTGAGTTGGTTGAGTTTAAACGAGCAAGTTTAGTTTGCAGGCAAAACTTGGTTCCCAAGCTAGTATGCACCTACAGGGCTGTATATTTTCTAGATAAATAATTTTCTTCCACCCCTGTTCCACCCCCTTTCCACCCCCTTTTCACCCCCTTCCACCCCACTTTTGCATACCATCTTTTCCCCAGAAGTTTTAAATGTGTGCGTGGAACGCATTTTTTTTTTTTGGGGGGGGGGGTTTATTTGCTGAATTGGGAAAATAAATGTTTTTTATGGAAATATTAATGAATATTTGGGGTAAAGTATCACAAACGATAGAAAAGGAGACTTTTGATGTACAATTTTTCATTTCCCCCCCCCCCAAATCATCTAAATCATATTCTCCCCCTTCCTTTAAAGGGAGTGTTCGCGAAAATTGAAAAGGGGGTGCTTACGACAAAAAAATAAGCGCTTTTGATCGCTTCTAATCTTACTTCTATATGTTGCGTCTATAAGGAGAAAATTGTTAAAAACGACTCATAAGGGAGAACGTAGAGTCCAAACAAATTCAGAATGTTGCAACTTGGACCGTAAAAAAATAAATTTAATTTCAAACAAATCTTTCAGGTATTACAAACAGTAATCATCGATAAAAACCCCCTTTCATTTTTCGCAAACACTCCCTTTAAACAAAAAAAGTTGTATACCTGGAATACTGGGCCATATCATGAACTGGGCATCCTGTATCTCCAGGTCTTCCATCCTGATTATTATTATCATTATTATTATTATTATTATTATTATTATTATTATTATTATTATTATTATTACTATTATTATTATTATTACTATTATTATTATTATTATTATTATTATTATTATTGTTATTATTATTATTATTATTATAATAGATAGATAGATAGATAGATAGATAGATAGATAGATAGATAGATAGATAGATAGATAGATAGATAGATAGATAGATAGATAGATAGATATGTCGATTGATGGGATAGATTATGATCATAACCTCGGTTTCGCCTCGATGACCTTGATTTTGACCCCTACATTAACTATGATCAGATACCCTGACCATAAGCAAGATATTGGCCAAGATTTTTATCTCGAGCTTGACCAAGATCTTGTCCTCGACTTTGACTAAGAATATTTCCAAAATCTTGACCTCCATATAAACCATTTACATGACCTCAACCTTTACAACAAGAATTATATGTTATGATCATAACCCAGGTTTCACCGCAATATCCTTGACTTTGACCTCTATGTTATCCTTGACCAATGACCCTGACCAAGCCTTGACCTCAATATGAACTAAGAATGACCTCAACCTGAACTCTACTGACCTGATCTGTCGCTGTATCCTGACCCTGCTCTACCGAGAGAATTTCCGATATCGCTCGACACACTTGATCTCGACATTCTCCATGTATTGGTCGACTGGGTCGAGTTGCTGCCGGCACTGTCGTTCCTGCTGGAGGACAGGTTGGAGTCCTGGCTCGGCTTCCGGGTCACGGTCCAGGAGTTACGGCGTCGAGGTCTCTCCAGGAACCTGAGCATTAAATATTAAACATTTTTAACTGATACAAAGAAAAAATAAGATTATCAAGGAAAAACGCCTAAATTTGAGAACCTACAAAATGGTTGCTTAAAAAAATGTACAGAGTGGCATTAAACAACGGGATTATCGTCTTTTAGAAATGTCTGAAAAATGTGTTCCGAAGTGTAATTAATAATGTTTAAATGGGTCTTTAAACTATGAATAATTTTCAACATTCCATTCAAATCTATATTTCAGAGAAGAATTATAAATATGCAGAAATTATAAATGGTTTTTATTTCAAATTAATTCTCAAAAATTGTCAAAAATTTACCCATTAGACCAGGATTCCTGCAACCTATCTTCTTAAGTCAAATCTATTTTAATGATTTTTTGTTTCTTAAACAATATCAGTTAATCTATCTATCTATCTATCTATCTATCTATCTATCTATCTATCTATCTATCTATCTATCTATCTATCTATCTATCTATCTATCTATCGATCGATCGATCGATCGATCGATCGATCTATCTATCTATCTATCTATCTATCTATCTATCTATGTATCTATCTATCTATCTATATATCTATCTATCTATCTATCTATCTATCTATCTATCTATCGATCTATCTATCTATCTATATATCTACCTGAGAGGAACACAATGACCCTGCTTCCATGACCCTGATCGACTGCTGCTAAAGTTCTCGCTTGAAACACTGGTGTTCCTTTTCGTCTTGTTTTGTTTTTCTTGTATCTCTGCAATCTAGAAATAACATTATCTTGAATAACAAAATAAGATATCTACGGTGGTAGGTGATTATATCAATGTAATGAAGACGACTTTTGATTTTATATTTAAGCATGGATACACAAAAACATGGAAACAGAGAGAAGTTGTCAAGTAAAAAGCTCCTCTTTAATTGCTTGTAAACTTGTAATTCGAAAAAAGCTTGTTAACAATTAAAACTTAATAAAAGTCGTCTTCATTATATTGCTATAATCTCCAACCACCGTGTATATTCTTAAAGAATATGAAAGAAGAAAAAAAACTTATAGGACCCAACTGCAATTAATAAAACTTATAGGACCCAACTGCAATTAAAAAAACTTATAGGACCCAACTGCAATTAAAAAAACTTATAGGACCGAACTGCAATTAAAAAAACTTATAGGACCCAACTGCAATTAATAAAAATTATTTCAGAAATGATTTTTAGTCATAAGCATAGTCTGAACCTAATGAGAAATGGATCTGAGAAATGGATCTGAGAAATGGATCTGAGAAATGGATCTGAGAAATAAGAGATTTAATCTGAAATCTTAATTGATTCCGTTATACACAGGGACAATTATTTGGAGCTGTGGGCCGCACAACAAGATATGTGGATCGGGTGTACTAAAGTGTGGCTCAAACAAGAAAATAAGAAGATATGTGGTTCGAGTGTACTAAAGTGTGGCTCAAACAAGAAAATAAGAAGATATGTGGTTCGGGTGTACTAAAGTGTGGCTCAAACAAGAAAAAAAGAAGATATGTGGTTCGGGTGTAGTAAAATGTGGCTCAAACAAGAAAATAGGAAGATATGTGGTTCGGGTGTAGTAAAGTGTGGCTCAAACAAGAAAATAAGAAGATACTTGGTTCGGGTGTAGTAGTTAGGACGAGAAAAAAAGAAGACTGTGGTAAAATTTATAAAATTAAAATTAGAAATATAATATTTAAAAATAATCATACCTGATAGTTCCACTCATTCTGGGAGTTCAATTCTGGAGATTCTTTTATTCCGCAGAGCAGAGATTTTAGTTTGTTCAGCGGCCAGCGAGGGGTCAACTTATTCACCTAGAAACAAATAGAATTAAATAAACAATTTAACAAATAATTAAAAAAATACTGTTAACAAAATTCTAACTTTTTGTGGATCAGACTCCAGAGAGTCATAATATTGGGGACAAAAATTCAGGGAGCAAAGTTTTTTGGATCAGAATACAGGGATCCATAATATTGTGGATCAGAATCTAGAGAACCCATAATATTGTGGATCAGAATCCAGGGATCCATAATATTGTGGATCAGAATCCAGGGATCCATGATATTGTGGATCAGAATCTAGGGATCCATAATATTGTGGATCAGAATCTAGGGATCCATAATATTATGGATTAGAATCCAGGAAGCCATATTTTTGTGGATCAGAATCTAGGGATCCATAATATTGTGGATCAGAATCCAGGAAGCCATATTTTTGTGGATCAGAATCCAGGAAGCCATATTTTTGTGGATCAGAATCTAGGGATCCATAATATTGTGGATTTATTGGATCCTGAGCAAATTTTTCAATCTTTTTTTTGTTAAAAGACAAATAATTAGATTTGAGATTAAAACAAGTTTATCTGCAGACAGAAGAGACATTAAATGAAGCCATGAGATAGATAGATAAACAAACATTAAAAGATAGATAGATATAGAAGTTAGACGAACATTAATAGATAGATAGATAGATATAGATATATAGAATTGGATAAAGTATTCTCCAAGTCTAGTGCCCCCCCCCCCCTCCTCCCAATTTTATTGGGAAAGTCGAGAGAAATTCTAAAGGATGTCCACAAATAACAAACCCTTGCCAGCAAAAGGGAGTTATCGTGAACTTAAAAAGGGGGTACAGGGAGGTATCTCAAAATCTATGAATGGCGTACATAATAATTTAAAACAATAACTTGAGTCTTACGGTCATCTTTCTAATTCACAGTTTACGGGTCGATCATTTCGGATAGTAGTGGTAGTGGTAAGGCCCCTGGGTAAAATTTTGGCCAGAGTTTTTGTGCACAAAAAATATAAATTTAAAAAAACTCAGATTACTGGCCGCAGTGCTCGGTCCAGATAAAATCTCAACCTAACCTAACCCACAATACAGATAAAAAACGTGGTTTATAGCTTAATAAATGTATGGATAGTGTTTATTAGGGCCTGGAACTGATCACGTGACCTAATGGTTAGCTTTGAGAGTTAGGGGGGTTACGTTACCACTACTCTACTACAACGATTGACCCTACATACAGTTCCACTGTATGAATACAACACACGCACATATATCTATATATATATATATATATATATATATATATTGTGTGTTANTAATGGAGCAGGGTTGGGATATATAATGGAGCAGGGTTGGGATATATAATGGAGCAGGGTTGGGATATATAATGGAAATATAATTTACTTTTTTGGTTGTGCAGCTGCAGTGTTGAGAATTCTTGGAGTGATTTCCGCTTCCGGAACCGCTGTTCAAACTGTCCGTATTGGCCGGGGTCTGTCTGTTACTAAAATTACTGCTGTGACGACAGCGCCCGATCCCACGTGTCACGCGCGATTCTTCGATCGCTTTGCAGATCATGACGCAATCCTTCTTAAACTGTTTGGTCAGGATCGCGTAGAGGAAAGGGTTACAAAACAATGCCAAAAGAAATTAAGTCTTTGTCACAAAATCTCAGATTTTATAATCTCCATATCTTTGCAATCTAATGTCATAGACCTGTCACATTTCAAACTATGAATTCTGTTATATCAAATAGTCTAAGTTTAAAATATTTTTGGTTACACCCTCAGATTGCGAAGATATAGTAATTAGAAAATTTAGATTTTTGAAAAAAAATCATTTTCTTTTTAATATTTGAAAACAAATTCTATTTTACTGCTAAAAGATAGTTTTTATCATGACGGGAATTATTTATTGTTTTTTATCAATACTGATACAGTCATGCCAAAAACAAAAGTTATTTTGGTAGATGGGTTTAGCTTTAAAAAAATAAACAATCTCTTCAACCTTTACAAACAATGTTTGTTTGAATTTATGCTAATAATTTTGTTGTAATCTCGAACTGTAAACTATTCCAACCGAAAAAGCTGGAATAATATTATTCACAAAGGAAAAACAAAAACAACGCTTCCCTTGTAGTGGAGAATATAATTTGAGAATATTTGGGGGAATATTAATTTAAGATGGACGTTGTTTTTTAAAGACATGAACTTATGCTGTATTAAATTTTAAAGGCTTTTTCCAGCTTATTTCGTTAAAAAAATCTTTTACTCAAAAATAATTTACTTTAAAATAATTTTCACAATAATATGACTGCTATGTGATATTTTTTTATTGTCCTTAGTGTCAAACAACTAAACAAATTATGAAAGACGACATTCTACAATATTCACCTACGGTCATGTTTCGTGGGACACACTGTAGGTGATTAAAAACAAAATTTATACACTTGTACCTGTGACCCCCTGATTGCGCAGTACATCTTGAGGTAGCAGCCCATAAGAATTGAGAAAGCCACGCCGTTAATCAGCAGAAGAAAGATGACGTAACCTAGACTGAGAGCTCCCTCTGTCTCGAACGGAAGACAAATCGCAAATTTTCTATAGTCGGATACTCCAATGAGTGGGAGGGATGCGAGGAGGATGGAGAAACTCCAGGCTCCAACCATGATATACGCGGCATGTTTTAAACTCAGGCGCTTATTAAGATGCATAGCGTGGGTGATGGCGTAGTTTCGCTCAAGGGTGATGACAGCTAATGTGAAAACACTGAAAATAAAATAACATCAAGGGCCCGGGGCCGCAAATCAAATAATTCGGAAAAAATGGTCTTAAGACTAAAATAAAACAATTTTTAAAACTTTGGGTCTAACTTTGAACAGTTGTCATAAAGAATCAAGACTAAGCTGTAAAGTGTAAGCTGCAGAACCAAATAATGGTTTAAAGAAAAGGAAGTTGAATTACCTAAGTTCTGAGCTAAGAACTCCGAAAAAGCCTGCAACTTGACATGCTGATGACAGCTGCCATTGTATTGCGTATTTTCTGAATTCACCAAGAGTAGATGCATCAAGCACAGCCAGAAACCCTAAACAAAGCTTTTTATAAAACTTTAAAAAAATTAAAGTCGAGATTTAAAATTGTTCTGAAATTTAAAATTGCACTGAAATAAGATTAGAATTTGAAAAGATGATTCTAAATTGACATTTTTCCGTTTTTTCCAATTTCAAATCTGCAAATTCGAGTTAGAGCCAGAAAACCGGTTTTACCATTTTACTTAAATTAAATGATATTTTATTCAAAAAGTTAAGAAATGTGTGTGACCGACGGTAAGACAGGCTGAACGTACATGATCACTTAACAATTATTTTAAAAAAAGAAACAATTAAAATATTGTAAAAATGTTCATATATCTGATGTGTCAGGATAGAAGCCTGTGTACTGTAAGTAATGGAGCAAAAACTAAAAGATAAAACTATGTAAGGAAGGGTTACGGGGGAGGGAGTTAGGATGGGGTGATATGGGAGGGGGGGGGGGGGTGGTTAAAATGCAAATACTGTTTATAGTTCTGAATATTTGAGCAAAAAGTGAAGCGATAGCGCAGATATAGAGAAGATAAATAGATAGACAGTAGGAAGGATAGATAGATACAATGAAAGGTAGATGGATAGAAGGATAGCTAGATAGAGATATAGAGGGAATGATGATAAAAGGAAGGATAGATAGAAGAAAGGAAGATTAGAAGAATAGATAGATAGAAGAAAGGAAGAATAGAAAAAAGGATATATAGAAGAAACGAAGAATTGTAGAAAGGATAGATAAAATAAATAAAGAATGGAAGAAAGAATGTATAGAAGAAAGGAAGAATGGAAGAATGGATATATAGAAGAAAGGAAGAATGTAAGAAAGGAAGAATGGAAGAAAGGAAGAATGAAAGAATGGAATATAAGAAGAATGGAAGAAAGAAGAAACTAGACAGTAAACATAGAAGAAATTATACAATATGTAATATAGTAGACATTAGACAATATGCACTTTAAGATTAGACAGTTTTCAATATAGTAGACATTAGACAGTTTGTAATATAGTAGAAATTAGGCAATATGTTCTTTACGATTAGACAGCATTCAATGTAGTAGACATTAGACAGTTTGTAATATAGTAGACATTAGACAGTTTGTAATATAGTAGACATTAGACAGTTTGTAATATAGTAGACATTAGACAATATGCACTTTAAGATGAGACAGTTTTCAATATAGTAGACATTAGACAGTTTGTAATATAGTAGAATCTAGACAATATGTTCTTTACGATTAGACAGCATTCAATGTAGTAGACATTAGACAGTTTGTAATATAGTAGACATTAGACAATATGCAATTTAAGATGAGACAGTATTCAATAAAGTAGACATTAGACAGTTTTTAATATAGTATACATTAGACAATATGCACTTTAAGATGAGACAGTATTCAATATAGTAGACATTAGACAGTTTGTAATATAGTAGACATTAGACAATATGCAATTTAAGATGAGACAGTATTCAATAAAGTAGACATTAGACAATATACACTTTAAGATTAGACAGTAGTCAATATAGTAGACATTAGACAGTTTGTAACATAGTATAAATTAGACAATATGCACTTTAAGATGAGACAGTATTCAATATAGTAGACATTAGACAGTTTGTAATATAGTAGACATTAGACAATATGCACTTTAAGATGAGACAGTATTCAATATAGTAGACATTAGACAGTTTGTAATATAGTAGACATTAGACAATATGCACTTTAAGATGAGACAGTATTCAATATAGTAGACATTAGACAGTTTGTAATATAGTAGACATTAGACAGCTTGTAATATAGTATAAATTAGACAATATACACTTTAAGATTAGACAGTAGTCAATATAGTAGACATTAGATAGTTTGTAACATAGTATAAATTAGACAATATGCACTTTAAGATGAGACAGTATTCAATAAAGTATACATTAGACAGCGTGTAATATAGTAGACATTAGACAGTTTCTAATATAGTACACATTAGACAGTTTGTAATATAGTAGACATTAGACAATATGCACTTATGTAGAAACTAGACAGTATTCAAAATAGTAATCATCAGACAGTTTGTAATATAGAAGACAGGATACAATATTGATACGTTAATATACAGTGAAACCCTTAATAAAGAATACATCGAAAGAATTCATCAAATGTCGTATTCCTCACTTTCTGATAATGGAATGTTGCAGATATTTAATTTTTTAATTAAATGATTATATGGAACTCTTTAAAACTGTTCCCGCATATTCATGGCTATTTTTTATTTTCGCAATTACTGAGATTTACGTAATAAAGTATAAAACTCATTGAAAAATTTTCAAGACGACATTTGATAAATTCTTCCGATGTATTCGATATTAAGGGTTTCACTGGAATAGACATTTTTACTTTTCAATTGACGGAAGACGGTCTGTAATCAAGAAAATAGTAGACTTGCAGACAGAAATAGAATAAAATGTCTGGAAATATATATATATGATATATATACTGTATTATATATTCTGTTTGTATACAAAATATACAATATAGACTATTTACTTTTTCGATCATATATATATTATTATTATTCCTTTCAATATATAAGCATCTCTCAGTCTATATGTACAGTATTAAAATATATATATAAGTATATGTATTATGTATTATGTACGTCTTTATATCTGAATGAATGAGTAAATTTCATATTACAATATCACACGTTTTTAACAATAACTCCTCATATTGAAAACAAAAATGTTTTGAGTTTCTCATTCTTGTAAAATAAAAGTAATTTGAGCTACGAGGTCGTACAAGTAATGTAACATATAAAACTAACTGCCTATGTATGTAACAGTCTATGTATGTAACTGTCTATGTATGTAACTGTCTATGTATATGACTGTCTATGTATGTAACTGTCTATGTATGTAACTGTCTATTTATATGACTGTCAATGTATGTAACTGTCTATGTACATAACTTTCTATGTTTATAACTGTCTATGTAAGTACCTGTCTATGTATGTATCTGTGTATGTTGTTGTATTTATTAATAAATTTATGTATCTATCTATGTATGTAACTGTCTATGTATGTAACTGTCTATTTAAGTATATGTCTTTGTATACAACTGTCAATGTATATAACTTTCTATGTATGTACCTACCTATGTAAGTATCTATCTATGTATATAAATGGCTATATACATATATACGTATTTATCTATGTATATATCTGTCTATGTATCTGTATGTTGTTGTATTTATCAATAAATGTATCCATGAATCAGATGGACAGTTTCTATAGAAAGTAAAGAAAGTGGTCCACTGTGCTTTATACAGACAGAAAGACCAGATATTGACTTCTTTAGGCAGGAGAATAAAAATGACAGGGGGAGGGANGGGGAGGGGAATTTACAAAAAAAGAGTAAATGGTCTGAAAGAAGATAATAAGAGAAAGAGGAATGTTAGAAAGCTAGAATTTATAAAGAATTGTAGTTTTAGTTGAAAAATGTAAATGGTTGGAGCATGCAGGAGCTACAAAACTGTAAATGGGTAGAGCAGGAGCCAAGAGATGTAAATGGGTTGAGCAGGAGCTACAAAACTGTAAATGGGTTGAGCAGGAGCTACAAAAATGTAAATGGGTTGAGCAGGAGCCACAAAGATGTGAATGTGTTGAGCAGGAGCTACAAAACTGTAAAAGGGTTGAGCAGGAGCTTCAAAAATGTAAATGGGTTGAGCAGGAGCTACAAAAATGTAAATGGTTGGAGCAGGAGCTATAAAAATGTAAATGGTCGGAGCAGGACCTATAAAAATGTAAATGGGTTGAGCAGGAGTTATAAAAATCTAAATGGGTTGAGCAGGAGCTATAAAAATGTAAATGGGTTGAGCAGGAGCTACAAAAATGTTAAAGTCACATCCAAGTCGAGCATGTCTTGAAAATTGATGCACATTTTTCAAAGCTCTTTGGATCAACCTCCATAGAAGGGGCTTATTCATTTGGTGTAATGTCCAGATTTAGCGTCTATAGGCTGTATGTATACCAAAAACCTTTCATGGAACTGTAGCATGGCGTGCCGGGACACTATAGTCCTGCTTAGCCTATCCAGGTAGAGCTTAGGAACAGTCTGTGTAAGTCTGTGATGTATACTGTACAAGGGGCGGAAACGTCATGTGTGTGTGTCTGTACCAAAAGAGTGTGTGTAAGGTTACCGTACCAAAGGTGTGAACTGAATGGTTTATACAGTACGAATGAATCTCGGTATTTGTACAGTCTAGGAGAGTACATTTGTTTATTGTTAATTGTTTACTTAAAAATAAGTTTAAAATGCATGTTATATATTATTTACATATCTAAGTCAACACTATAAAGCCAAATTTTCATGCAAAGAATATAACTTGATTAAAGTTTACAATAAATATAGACGTTATTCAAGCTTAATTATAATTGACAACATTGTTCTGCAATTTCCTTGACTGTAATCATGTTGTGTGTCTGTACCAAAAGAGAGTGTGTAAGGTTACCGTACTGGTCTGCAAAGCAGTGCGACTGACTTTCTCATGCCAGACCAGCGCCATTTCCTTTCCCTTTATTCCTATTCCCTGATACTGTACTGTACACAACTTGCTCTGGCTGCTTAAAAATCGCGCCAGTACATCAAATAAACTGGAGCTTCCAGTGTTGTTGCACAGAAAGTAAATTATAATTAGCTCTTACCAAGATACAACCCCATACAGAAGTCCGCTGCGGCCAAATTTGCTACCAAAAATCTAAAATAAAAATCATTTATGTTGCAAAATACGTTTATGTAAGCTAAAATCTGAGTGATCAGTGGTTAGAACTTTTTAATTAGATAGCTACTTAACGTCAGTACTTTTAAAGTGCCCTACAAAACAGCTGACTATTTTCGCGATTTCTCCATGGCTTTTAAATGGTAGGACCTTTAATGATATCCAAATTGAATGCGTCGGAGAACAAAAAAAAAGATAGATTAGAGCTTAATACGAAAACAATGCTGAAGTTCTGACTACGGACTATTTCTAAATATGGCAGATTACCTGGGGACATCCATCTTGGATCTACTGAGCACGAGTACAAAGACGACACATCCGTTTCCTAGGAGGGCCAATAGAAACACAATCCACACTCCTGGAAAATAAAATTTAAAATAATATTTTTTTATTAACAGAAAAATAATAAATCTTGAAACATTTTCTTGCCCTGTAAATTGATTGGTTCAATCTAATATGGTTTGCTTTGAGGCCTGAAACAATAGTTTTCCATCAAAAATGTCTGCACGGTCAATCTTTACAGGATAAAACTAAAGAACACTTTTATTTAATCTCTGGTCAGATTAAGAGAGAATAAGATATAGCGGAGCTTCAGTTTCAAAAGTATATGAGTAACTCTATAATCAGAAGTCAGGACGTTTATGCTGTAAATACAAGAGAAATATGCAAAAAGAGTTTCGCCCTACTATCCTTACTCTACAAGGTAAGAGTTTATATTGCGTATATTCTTGAGAACTGTTGTGTATTATGGAATTATTTTTAACCATAGCACAGGATAAGGTCCTAGAAAGGGTTCAGAAGGTGTCACTAAAAGTTATTCTAAGACCAGTATATATGTTAATTATCAATCTGCTCTATCCGTCCTGGAACTCGAAACCTTTTTGCTAAAAAATGCCTGAAATCTCAAAGGCACTTTGCTCCATTCCCTGTAAAACCAGTCACTAACAACCACCAGCTACGGAACGTTGAACTATTTTCTGTAAACTATGCTAGAACTGAGAAATACAGAAAATCTGCTATTCCTTATATGCTGAGAAAATTAAACTTCCTATGATATAACCTTATCTTAGTTTGTGATATAGCCCATGATATATTCAATAATATTCCTATGAGAATGTTAATCATATTATAATATGTATTATGATCTTGATTTATCTCTAATAAATCTTACTTACTTAAATACGTACTTAATTACTTACTTAGATCTCCAGCTTACGCAGATCTACGGAATACTTCCTCTTCTATATCCCGCGATGGTCATTATACCCTTCAGAGAAAACTTTAATTGAAGGATCATGATGGAAGATCCTCAAATGTAAGAGGTGGCGAAGACAAGAAGGAATGGGGGGAGGGGTAGGCCTATAGCAGAAAGGCAGAGATGGTCCCCTGTTTTTTCCCCAACCCTGAGTTTGATGTTGTTAGCCAACTATACCAACTAAACCAAGTAAAGATATAGTAATAGATGTACTACTGTACAATCTCTACATACAACGAAACCATAAAGAAAGGGTTAACAGTCACCCTCCCCCAACCTCAACACAATAAAAATATGTCGATTCTTGTATCTAATACAATACAAATAAACTACACCAGAAGCCCAAAATGTAATCAGAAAAAACTACATATGTAGCCCATATTGTAATCAGAAAAACTACAAACGTACTCCACAATGTAATAGAATAAATTACATCAGTAGCCCATAATGTAATAGAATAAATTACATCAGTAGCCCATAATGTATCAGAAAAAGCTACATCAGTGGCCCATAATGTAATCAGAAAAAACTACATCAGTAGCCCATAATGTAGAATAAATTACATCAGTAGCCCATAATGTAATCAGAAAAAGCTACATCAGTGGCCCATAATGTAATCAGAAAAAACTACATCAGTAGCCCATAATGTAATCAGAAAAACTGCATAAGTAGCCCATATTGTAATCAGAAAAACTACACCAGTAGCCCATATTGTAATCAGAAAAAACTACACAAGTAGCCCATATTGTAATAAGAAAAACTACACCAGAAGCCCATAATGTAATCAGAAAAAACTACATCAGTAGCCCATATTGTAATCAGAAAAAAACTACATAAGTAGCCCATAATGTAATCAGAAAAACTACACCAGTATCCCATAATGTAATCAGAAAAACCTACATCAGTAGCCCATATTGCAATCAGAAAAACCTACATAAGTAGCCCATATTGTAATCAGAAAAAACTACTAAAGTAGCCCATAAAGTAATCAGAAAAAACTACATAAGTATAGCCCAAAATGTAATCAGAAAAAAATTACATCAGTAGCCCATTATGTAACCAGAAAAAATTACATCAGTAGCCCATAATGTAATCAGAAAAAATTACATCAGTAGCCCATAATGTAATAAAAAAAACTACATCAGTAGCCCATAATGTAATCAGAAAAAATTACACCAGTATAGCCCATAATGTAATCAGAAAGAATTACATCAGTATAGCCCATAATTAATCAGAAAAAATTACACCAGTATAGCCCATAATGTAATCAGAAAAAATTACATCAGTAGCCCATATTGTAATCAGAAAAAAACTACATCAGTAGCCCATATTGCAATCAGAAAAACCTACATAAGTAGCCCATATTGTAATCAGAAAAAAACTACTTAAGTAGCCCATATTGTAATCAGAAAAAAACTACTTAAGTAGCCCATAATGTAATCAGAAAAAATTACATCAGTAGCCCATAATGTAATCAGAAAGAATTACATCAGTATAGCCCATAATGTAATCAGAAAAAATTACACCAGTATAGCCCATAATGTAATCAGAAAAAATTACATCAGTAGCCCATAATGTAATCAGAAAAAGGTACATCAGTAGCCCATAATGTAATCAGAAAAAATGACACCAGTATTGCCCATATTTTAATCAGAAAAGTTTGACGAAAAAATGTAATGTATAAGTATAAGAAAAATCTTTCACGTGAAGAATAGAAATAAATAAATTTGTATTCAAGTCACGTAAAAGTTTAAAAGTTCAAGCTTGAAAGAGAATTAAAGTAAAAGTAAAAATAAGAATACAAAGTTCAGGAATAAATTTTAAATAATATTATTTATCTATTTGATAAGTTTTCCTTCCAAAAATATAGACTATGTTCCCTTCTTATTATTCCCTGAACATATTAAATTAAAGGGACTGTAAGCAAAATTCCTACTGCAGGAAAACATATTAAATTAGAATCAGAATTAAGCACTTTTTAAACCTGGAAAAACAAAAATATCTTCCATATTATTGATCAGATAAAGGTTTTAAGGGTACCATTGTGAATCGGGCATTGCCATCTTAGCATAGAGGGTTACTTGAAATTGTGCTTACTGTCCCGTTAACATATAAATAAAAGATAAGATGAAAACAAGAAGTGTAGTTTAGTCGGAAAATAGATAGATAGATATATTAATACATATGGATCTATATATCAATAGATAGATAGATATATTAATACATCTATAGATCTTTATATCAATAGATAGATAGATATATTAATACATATAGATCTATTTATCAATAGATAGATAGATATATTAATACAATTAGATCTATATATCAATAGATAGATAGATATATTAATACATATACATCTATATATCAATAGATAGATAGATATATTAATACATATATAGATCTATATATCAATAGATAGATAGATATATTAATACATCTATAGATCTATATATCAATAGATAGATAGATATATTAATACATATAGATCTATATATCAATAGATAGATAGATATATTAATACATATAGATCTATATATCAATAGATAGATAGATATATTAATACATCTATAGATCTATATATCAATAGATAGATAGATTATTAATTCTTCTAAACCACATTCTTCTAAAAATCAATAATTTTAACTGTGCATTTCTATGCAGCAGATACAAGAATGGAAAAATCTCTGTAGATTTTTTAAAAATCGAGGCCCGAGTTTCACTTGTTTCAACATCAGTTTTCAAATTTTAAAGTTTCTTGTGGTTAAACACAGAGGCATATTCAGGGGGGGGGGAGGGCTTTAATTTGGACTGGTGTAAATAAGTTTTTAACGGGATTCAATGAAAATTGTTCCAAACCAAAAAACCAGCTTTTTTGCGAAATAAAGAATGTTTACCACATCGTAGGGACCACCAGTCAAACAGATCATTACAGGGTAGGAAGGGCCCAGGAGCAGGGTAGCAATCAATACCCTCCTGAAAATATATTATTACAAAGCTTTATTCACACACAAAGACATAAAGACATATAATAGATATTAGAGGTGTAGTTTAAAGGAATTGAGTTTTTGCAACAAACTCTGATTTACAAATCCCTGTATTTCTTAAACCCATTTTCAAAGACCTTCAATTTTGCAAACTAAGAATTTTGTAAGATCAAATAATCTAAGTTTGAAATATTGAAGGTGTACACCATCAGGTTGTAAAGATATAAGTATACAGTTGTCGGCGTTCACATCACTACACGGCTCTTATTTTTAAATTTTGATTTATAACAAGCTTTATTTAAATTACAAGTTTACAAGTAAACAAAGAGAAAGTGTAATTTGACAGCTTCTCTTTGTTTCCATGCTTATGTGTATCAATGCTGTTTAGAAATCAGAAATTGAAATGAAAGGTCGTCTACAGGTGCGCAACTAGGGGGGGGACAGGGGGGCCAGGCCCCCCCTTGCCTGATTAAGGGGGGGGGCATGCCCCTCCCTTAAGAAGTCTTACCCCCCCTGTAGGGGGGGGGGCAAGAAATGACGAAGTCCACCCTATTTCTTGTTTCATTTTATATCAGATGTGTTGACTTATAACTGAATATCCGGTTGGTAAGGTTAGTTTTTTATTGTTTAAGTATAACACACATTTTTCTTGCCCCCCCCTAAAAATGTTTAGGGGGGGGCCAAAAAAATTTTCGCGCTTCGCGCGACATAATTCCTCCTAGTCCCCCTCTAACCAAATGTCTAGTTGCGCGCCTGGTCGTCTTTATTATATTGATATATACCAGGACGACTGTATATGCATAGTATATGTATATATTATAATACAATTTTAAGATATCAAAAAATGATATCACTCGACAATATATAACGAACCTGAGGTTTAAAGAAACTGATTGAGTTTTCATCATAATCTGCTACATCCGGGTATCCCATATTACTGACAAAGTTCTCCCACAAATCCAGACTAAGATCCTTCCCTGGAACTGCACTTAAGTTCCCTGTAACAAAAATCAAAGTAGAGTAGTGCTGGGCACTATTTACTCTTTTACAATAATTGTTTATTGGTTCGTTAACCAAACCTTCTTTTTTTAAAAGGGAATTTTAAACGAGAAATTGTTTTTGGTTTTTAAATAGTTATGAGGGAATTAGCCACAAGACTAAACCATGCCATTGGGACTTAAAACAAGGCTTAAGTTTTTGGGGACATGTTTTCCTCAGAGTCTAACCTACAAATCAGCAAATCACCGCGGGTCTTTTATTTTAACGTTTAAAATGAGGCCTTTGGCCAGTGTATGGTATAGATAACGAAATGTTTTTTTTAAAAAAAGCTTTGAACGATGTTCAGACCTATGTAAAAAGTTGAGACAGAAACTGAAATTTATTGCCAGCCATTTCTCTTGTTAAGTAACAAGGCACTTTATTTTATACAAAACAACTCATACAAATAGAAATAAATGCAGAGAAATAGATAAAGAATATACAAATGTCGGAGCTCGGAAATTTATGCGTCTGGAAGAAAATCCGGGAAAAGTTTTGGCAATTCTCACCTGACGTCCAGGATATTGATTGATTGTTGATTTTCGCGTTGTGGAAATCCTCCGGATAGTAGATTTGTTCAGTTAGATCTGTGAAATCTGCGTACTCTGGAGAGAACAAAAGTATAAGAAAGATTTAACGACTTTTAATCGGAATACGGCTTCACAAGGAAAATCAAATTAGCATTTTATCAGATGTTTCTGTAAAAATTAATTTCCTAAACCCTCCAGTTGAAAACCGGTTTTTGGCTGGTGGAACTGGTTGATTCTGGGTTAACTTGCTTGTAAGCATGAATTTAGTCGCTTCATAGAAACATCGGATAGAAATAAAAATACGAAGGCAATATCTATGACAGTTTTATCTATTTTATCATACGTTGATTTTTTTGTCTACTTGCCTGGGACAAGTTGACTGTAGGTAGATGGTAGAAACTGGCAGCAATGATAAGCATAGCTGGGTCGTACCAACCGAATACTTGGGAACAACTAAATAACATTTTTTTTCAGAGCTGGGAATTTTTGTGTTAGATACTCTTAATCTCGATCGCTTGATCTCGATATCCACTGAGGGCAATTTTAATTTGAGAATCTATAAACAAAACGACACCTTTCAATATCTGAATTATTTCTCAACTGATCAACCCCTGACTGGGTACAACTATCTTGCATGATATCGAATAAAGAATAAATGAATCTGCAGATTAACAAAAGATTGAGATCAAGATCGAGATTTTGATTTCCACAATACAAGAGTTCCCAACTTCTGAGAATTATGATTATTGTTTAATATATTTTTACATTTATTTTAGCACAGGATAAAACTGTCTCATACAAAACAAGATTGCAAAAGTTTATTTCTGCAAAAGTATAAATTTACACAGGCTCCTAATACAAAACTAGATAAAGGATTGGGATTAGCCTAGTTTTTAAGCTACTCTTTGCACGCAGATAATCCTGGGAGGAGGGAGCTTAAATCTTAATAAAAACATTAATCCCAGTTTCTAATCAGTTTAAAATCAAACTTAAACCCAAGATTAACTTTATAAAATTCTAGTTTCTAAAAACTAACCTTAAAACTAAAAATTAAACTTAAACCCAAGATTAACTTTACTTAAATTCAAATAAGTTCTACTTTCTAAGAAAACTAAAACCAAGATTATTCATAGATTCTTAAAACATAACTTAAGATTTGTTAGAAGTTAAAATCTAGATTAATAAGTTAAGCTTGTATCTAAAATTAACTTGGTTTACTTCAAAGAGGAGTTAAGTCTTAAAAACTTATATTAAAGGGACTGTAAACGTATTTTAAACTGGCATGTCCGATTATCAGCGGTAACCTTAAAAAGTTTTGTCTGATAAAGAATGAATGAAAAATTCATAATTTCTTTTAAATATTTGATTATTTTCAATTGTGGTTTTTTTAAGTGACTTGCGGATATATTGTTACAGTAACAAAGGAGGATATTGTCAGATAAACGACGACATCCCCACATTGTTGATCAGAATAAAGGTTTACAAGATAACGTTTTGAATCGGGCCTTCCCCTCTTTAATGAAGCATAACTTGAAACTACAGCAACATCCCTTTATTGGCAAATTTAAGATTGAAAATCATTAATCATCAGTCAACATTAAATATAAATATAACACAATGGCTGACCCAGTTTCTGAAAGTTTAATTCAAAACCAAGATTAAAACAAGATTCAGCTCCTAGATTATATTTAAACTTTATATACTTTTCAACAAATTGTTCTCATTTAAGAGATAAGAAATATTTAGACTTCTCTTGTTTCACAATAATGTGATTTTTAGTTAAATATCCATGGACTTAAAAAAATATGTTTGAGTGTGTGAGTGTACGTAAAGTACAATACAAGTTCAATGTACAACAATACCCTTTATCTGATCTTTAATAAGGAAGATATGGTCGTTTTTCTAGCTTCAGTGTTTGATTAATTCTGACAATTTACGCTTTTGTCTCTGAAGTAGCAAGTCACTTTAGCTAGTCATAACAAACCAAAGAAGATAATGGATATCTCATGAATTCTATATCAGACAAAACTTTTTATAGTATCGGTGTCAGTCCATAAATGAATATTCACTTAAAATTCCATCTACAGTCCCTGTCATGTCTACTTTAGTTAAGATTTAATAAATTTCATAATTAAAGTTTAAAAAGATAAAAATAAAAAAATGCTCGTAAAGTGAATATTTATCTGTCTACGTAATTTATAGAAAACATGCAAACATATTAATATTTTCCCTAAAAATATTCAACTTTATCTGAAATTGATGGATTTCTTGATTATTTTTCACTTTTTATCAAATTTTTAATCCGAATATTAATATTTGCTGATAACGTTCCAGACGGTTCAATTCATCCTGTCCTATCCTGTCCTATCCTGTCCTATCCTGTCCTATCCTGTCCTATCCTGTCCTATCCTGTCCTATCCTGTCCTATCCTGTCCTATCCTGTCCTATCCTGTCCTATCCTGTCCTATCCTGTCCTATCCTGTCCTATCCTGTCCTATCCTGTCCTATCCTGTCCTATCCTGTCCTATCCTGTCCTATCCTGTCCTATCCTGTCCTATCCTGTCCTATCCTGTCCTATCCTGTCCTATCCTGTCCTATCCTGTCCTATCCTGTCCTATCCTGTCCTATCCTGTCCTATCCTGTCCTATCCTGTCCTATCCTGTCCTATCCTGTCCTATCCTGTCCTATCCTGTCCTATCCTGTCCTATCCTGTCCTATCCTGTCCTATCCTGTCCTATCCTGTCCTATCCTGTCCTATCCTGTCCTATCCTGTCCTATCCTGTCCTATCCTGTCCTATCCTGTCCTATCCTGTCCTATCCTGTCCTATCCTGTCCTATCCTGTCCTATCCTGTCCTATCCTGTCNCATTCTACTCCAATCCCATGCATCCTCTGGGTAAAAAGTTAAATGCCGAAAGAAAAATGACTTACAAATCCTTCAGATTCTTGAAGGAGAGAAACGTTTTCTCGTGAATCTCGCTGATATTATTCTTTTCCAAGTTCCTGAAATAAAATAAAATAAAATAAAAATAAAATAAAATAAGAATAGAAATGGAGCATGAAACCGAATTGAACACAAATAGCGGAAGAACACTCACCTCAATTTATAATTTTCTAGCCCTTATATCTTTACAACCTTTTATAACAACAAAATATTTTTATTTTCCGTTAAGATATTTGATTTTAATGTACGGAAATATGGTTACATTTATAATTAATTAGCAGTTAAAATATATTCTATGTAAAGTTAAAATTGGAAAGTAAAGCCAACATATAACTGCTTGAAATCAGCGACGCGTTAATCGACCGGTTCGATGCATCTAAGTCATATTACAACCTGATGTAGACTTTCAAAATGTGTATTCTGTTAGATATGAGTTTTAAATATCTAAGGTTTACACCATCAGGATGTAAAGATATAAAGTTTAGAAAATGATTGTTGAGATGAGTAATCAGTTTTTATCAAAGAAAAATACAAAGAAAATTAATTAGGGGGAAATTTCGAAAAAAAAACTTTTTAAAATGTAAAATATCCAAATTCTGTGATTTTGCAACTATTATACAGTTTAGTTGAAAATACAAATGAACATAAAGAGAAATAACATTTTAAAGTATAATTTTGTTCCAGCTTAAAGGGACTGATAGCGTAGTTTAAATGACCTTCCATACCAGATTCACAATGGTACCCTTTAAACCTTTGAGTGATTATCGCTTTATAAAGTGTATTTATCTCCTAACTGTTGTGCAAAATAACATTTAAAAATGATAATATTCCTGAAATATAAAACAGCAAAGAAAGAATTCAACAAACATGAAAAAGGAAAAGTTTGTCATCCTGACTTTTACAGAGTTTAAAGACGACCCTTCCTTGTGAATCATTAGATGGAAGTTTACTTGAAATTACGTTTACAGTCCCTTTATATTTAAATATATATTTGCATACAGTCCCTTTATATTTAAATATATATTTGCATACAGTCCCTTTATATTTAAATATATATTTGCATACAGGGTCTGGAGGTTGCTTAGGCCGAAGAACACGTCCTCGGTCAGGTTGGTCAACTCATTCCGGTCCAATAACAGGTCCTAGATAGGTAGATAGATAGATAGATAGATAGATGGATAGATAGAAAGATAGATAGATAGATAGATAGATAGATAGATAGATAGATAGATAGATAGATAGATAGATAGATAGATAGATAGATAGATAGATAGATAGATAGAATATTAGCGTCCGAGCCACATGTTAGCGTTCGGGCCAAGGAATATCCCAGGAACCCCAAATCTTCATTTAAAGTATTTAATTGTATGGTATTTTGAAGTCTTGTTTGGTAGGTTCTAGTTCTCCGAATCTGTGTGATACTTCGTTTGTTCGTTTGTTCAGAGATTTGTGTAGTTTCAGATGACGAGGGGGTTGAGGTCTGTGGAGATGTTTGTTGTTAACAGGATGCTCAGACAGATGGGAGGATGCAAGGTATTGTTTGGAGATATTTTTGCTGTGTATTTCAAGAAGGAGTACTTTGGTTTCAATGTGTAGGTGGTCTGCATTTGTCATGAGTAGAGATCCAGTGGCAATTCTCAAGGCTCTATTTCTACAGGGGGCTCGGACGAGAAATCTACGAAATGTTGTTCGCCTTCCCTCCCTCGATAGGTCCTACGCAATCCAGTAATTGACTACGTAATATAATCCAAAAAGCAGGAAATATACTTTTTCCAACCTTTTCTCTGATCAATGATAAAGCACGGGGATATAAATTAAGAATAATTCGTAAAAAAGTAATAAAAAGGAAGATATATATATATATATAAAGAAATGTGAGGGGAGAGGGGGGGGAAGGGAGTAGAAGGGTAAAAGAATATTCAAATTGATTTTCAAATGGAAAAGGTTACACGCGCTGCACCTTTTGTTTTGAATTGTGTCAAAGTTTTGAGATGTTTGGTGCGTATTAGAGTTTGTTTGAGTGTATGTGTGAGTGTGTAAGATGGGTGTTTGTGTGATAAATTAACCGATGATAGGTTTTGACAGTTCTGTCTGCCAGTCTGTCTGTCTGTCTGTGTTTTAGTTCTAAAAGAAAGTCAAAACATATATTTGAAAGATTTATCAAAAGCTCAAAATGTTTTTTCTTTAAATTTAAAAAAATCAATTTATGAAAGTACAAGGCCGGGATTCTAGTTGTAGTAAATGGTAGCCCTAGCTCTAGAAATCTGTAAGAATCTAGAAACCTGTAAGAATCTAGAAATCTGTAAGAATCTAGAAATCTGTAAGAATCTAGAAATCTGTATGAATCTAGAAATCTGTAAGAATCTAGAAATTAGCTCTCCGTAGAGAGTATAGAGTTTGAGAGAGTTGTATCTGTATTGATACTTACTTGAGAATACAGAGAGAGTTGTATCTGGATTGATACATACTTGAGAATACAGAGAGATTTGTATCTGGATTGATACAAACTTGAGAATACATAGAGAGTTGTATCTGGATTGAGACATACTTGAGAATACAGAGAGAGTTGTATCTGGATTGAGACATACATGAGAATACAGAGAGAGTTGTATCTGGATTGATACATACTTGAGAATACAGAGAGAGTTGTATCTGGATTGATACATACTTGAGAATACAGAGAGAGTTGTATCTGGATTGATACATACTTTAGAATACAGAGGGTTGCATCTGGATTAATACATACTTGAGAATACAGAGAGAGTTGTATCTGGATTGATGCATACTTGAGAATACAGAGGGTTGCATCTGGATTGATACTTACTTGAGAATACAGAGGGTTGTATCTGGATTGATATAGACTTAAGAGAACTATTCTAATAAATAAGGCATTTATTAGAAGTTTTGTGCAAAACCTAGTAGTTTTATACAGAACCTAGAAGTTTTGTATAGAACCTAGAAGTTTTGTATAGAACCTAGAAGTTTTATTCAAACCTAGAAGTTTATTACAGAACCCAGAAGTTTATTACAGAACCTAGAAGTTTTGTACACAACCTTGAAGTTTGTAAAGAACTTGGACAGAACCTAGAAGTCTTCTAAAGAACATAGAAATTTTATGCAGAACCTAGAAATTTGTGTACAGAAATTAGATATCTAACCTTTACGTCTTACATAATTTATAAGAATACATGTATTAAAATATAAAGTATGAAAAAAACACACAAATTAAATTTATTGAATGAGACAGGAGCAGGGGGGATCGGAAGTCCATGGGAGGGGAGGGGGGTAGGAAGAGAAAGTGGAGGGGGGATAAACAATAACATGATCCCCCTGCCAAGTTTACCCTACTTCTAACTAATAGATTAACACTAATAGACTAGTAAAGAAATACAGTTTTTTCAGCCAGACAATCCTCTCTAGTATTACAGACTACAATAATNGTTCTCTCCAAATAGTTATCTCACATTTTTTTCTTTATTTTATTTTTTGAATCTCTTTTCCTAAACGTAAGGGCCATCAATATTTAAATTCATGTTAAGCTTTTTTTCAAATTACATGTTATGCAAAGGAAACATTCCAATCTGAAAATTGTCTTTTCCCATTAGGGGGGATTTCTGCGTGATGAACATAAAGCTTCATTATGAACTTTCTAGTTACAAAACATATGTATTATATTCAAGGCGAATTTCTCCAATGAATCTATATTTATACATTGCTTGTCTTGGTGTTTGTTTGTTTGTATCCAATAAACGTCAAAACGGATAAACCGATCCGGCCCAAATTTTTTGAGGGACCTCACATGACCCCGGGGAAGGTTAATGCATGGACAGAATAAAAAAATTGCCTAAAAATTTTTTTAAATCCACGAAAAAAATCTAGTTTTGTATATGAATGTAACTATATAGATGCTGGTCAACTACAAAGGATGATACTTAAACGACGAACCCAAACTCTTTCAATGAATGAATTGGAGCCCTACTCGTTTGAGCTTTCTTTCTTTTCATCTAGTTTAATTTACCAAGCCAAGTAATAACACTTCTATCTATCTATTTATCTATCTATCTATCTATCTATCTATCTATCTATCTATCTATCTATCTATCTATCTATATATCTATCTATCTATCTATCTATATATCTATCTATCTATCTATCTATCTATCTATCTATCTATCTATCTATCTATCTATCTATATATCTATCCTCTGTATATCTATTTGTCTCTCTTTTTATCTCTATTTATATCTATTTATTGATATATCTATAGATATATCTACAATTTAATTTGGCGAACCATTTATCAATTATATTTGCTTCATGTTCTTTTTCATTGATTTTATTTTTGATAAAACAGTTTCAAAATATCATTCACTTCATAGATGCTAAACCTAACAGTATATCATCTACAATACAGTAGCTAAACCTAACAATATATCCTCTACAGTACAGTAGCTAAACCTAACAATATATCCTCCACAATACAGTAGCTAAACCTAACAGTATATTCTCCACAATACAGTAGCTAAACCTAACAATATATCCTCCACAATACAGTAGCTAAACCTAACAGTATATCCTCCACAATACAGTAGCTAAACCTAACAGTATATCCTCCACAATACAGCAGCTAAACCTAACAGTATATTCTCCACAATACAGTAGCTAAACCTAACAATATATCCTCCACAATACAGTAGCTAAACCGAACAGTATCCCACATCGTTTGTTTACTCTCACAAAATCACTTTAAGAAAAATTAATTTATGTAATTATCTGTTAGTTTTAATGGAAATTAAATGTATGAAAACATTTTCAATAAAAAACAGAAAAGATTGAAAAATCAAAATATTTGAAAAAATTAAAAGAACTTACAATTGTCTAAGCAGAGAACAGTTTGTGAGGTTTGGGATAAAGTTGATCCGATTGCTTCGCATTCGTCTAAACATTCAAATATTATTCATCTAAACATTCCAATATTATTCATCTAAACATTTAAATATTATTCATCTAAACATTCAAATATTATTCATCTAAACATTCAAATATTTTTAGTCCTTGTAATGTCCTTATGATTTCGTTTTAAACGTTGTATATTTAGATATAAAAACAATTCTTTTTATTTTTCTTCTAAAGCTGGATAAACAAATATATTCCAAAATGCAATATTAAGAGTTAATGGACATGAACCTATGTTATAATTTATAGAAACTAAATAATTAAGTAAAGATATTTTATTAAAGGGACTGTATGTTTAATTTCAGCTTGTCCGATTTACAAAGGTACCATTTAAACCTTAGTCTGATCAAGGATGTAGTATTTATCCTTATTCTAAGATCTAAACACTAGTTTGGGAACTCAGCGCTGCCCAGGTAACTAAGAGTTACTCCCGCCGTTTACCCGCATTTAAACGATTTTACCGAGAAACTAAATATTCGATATTAAAGTCGACACATTAAACTTAGAATCTTGAAACCAAGCTAAGAACATTCCCGAGTTTCCCCAATCCAAATTTGAGGCAAATCAGTCCAGAGGTTCCATAGTATTGATCGGACAAACAAACATGCAGACACACAAAAAGAGATTACAACTTTAAATACATAAGATTCAGTTCAAAGAGACTTGATTGTACACTCCCATGGTTTCCAATCACTAAATTTTCAGGTAGAAAAGTAAGAATATCTACGTCAGACAGAGGTTAAAGGGTAAATAGACCACTCTGCAACTGAAGGATACTCTGGAAATACACTATATTCCCTTTAATTCCCTAATAGACCATTTAGTTAATATCGATTATTCGCTTCAAACTCACATATTCTAATCCCTATATCTGTGCAACCTGATGTTTTGAACTTTGAACTATTCTAGACCTGATTTCTGATAAAATTAAACGGTTCACGGGTTCCAAAGTGTACACCGCTGTTTATAGGCACGCACTTCTGCCTCTTTAGTAGAAATAAATTCAAGCTATATGAAGCATAAAGTCTGACCACGTCAACCTTGTTGAACCGGCTAGTACTGCCCATAGAACTAGGTACAGTACAAACTGGGACCGGAAAGGTTGCCCGGCTCGGAAATTCAAATGTACTACGGTTGCCCGTGTATGGATTACAAAATAATTTAGCGGCGTGTGTTCAGTTTGTTAGGTTTATTTCTATTTTTATTAAGGAATGAAAACTTACAGTGTGTGTAGGGATGGAGCGAGAGAGCAGAGATTTTCCGGAATAGAATCGATATTTGCTCGATCAAGGTGAATCAACTCAAGGTTAGGGGTACCCGTTAAATTTGGAAACCTACAGTATCATAATGATAATAATAAATTACTGTAATTTCTTGAGCCTGGGTAAGTTTATGAAAGCATCCTGATGGTAGAAATGAATTGGATTTCCAGCTAACTCAAGCTGTTCTAACTTACTGAAATAAAAAAAGGATGTACAGTGTACACTGTATGTGCCAAAAAAAGTACAGTGTACACTGTATGTGCAAAAAATATGTACAGTGTACACTGTATGTGCAAAAAAATATGTACAGTGTACACTGTATGTGCGGTTAGACTAAGAGTAAGGTTCATTTATGTCAAATTTATGTATTCTGTGGCCGAATTTAAAGAAATTGAGTGGCGGTTTAAATTTAAACCGCGGCTTAAATATGGTTGGTTCCACTTAAAATTGTATCAAATGTGTCAAGATTTAAGCCGGCGCTTAATTTAAAACGGGTTTTGGCGGATTTAAACCGCGGCTCAAATTCTTTAAATTCCATCTCTGTACAGTTTTACTGAAGATTTAAAGAAATTAAATATAGAAATAAAAAGTTAAGAATTTTATTGAGTTACAATAAACGTTTAAAAATAAATAGAAATTTTGGTAAACATTTTTTTATTAGTTTTATGTTAATAAAAGAGATAAAAAATCTTTTTTTCTTCAATTTAGTTTTTTAGTGTTAACAATTTAGAATTTACAATTTTTAATTTAGAAATAAATTCAAAAATGTATTTTAAAAACGTTGTTACTAACCTACAGTACTGTAGAATGTTCTCTTCTATTCTCTCAATCAGATTCTTTGCCAGAGTTCTGCAAAAAAAACATGAATTTGTGTTTTTTAAGTGTTTAATTGCCAACAAATATATTTAAAATATTACTAGTTAGAAACCAAGCTTTGCTTAGAAATTCAAATTTTCTCTTTGAGGTGAACCCACTAAACTTTTAACCCTCCTGATGTTAACAAATATTTCAGGGTTTTAATGAATCTCCTGAAAAATTGAGGCAAATCGGTCAAGAGGTTCATTAGTTATTATCTGACATACAAACAACAGAGATTACTACTTTATAAATATAGATTTAAGAATTCAAGAGAATAAAATGTTTTAAATAAATCGACACCATTTTCAGATTTTTCATTGATTTATCGACAATTTTAAGTGATGTACAATGTACAATGTACAAAAGAGTACATATTTTTTTGTGATACGATTACACGGAAGCAAAAGAAATATGAAAATTGAAAAATGAAAACTACTGCCGTCCGAACGGTCGACAATAGCAAATCCGACTTATCACGCTTGTGCGAAATCCGTCTCTCCAATAGTATTATTCATTGGTAAAAACAAACATTAAGAAATATCTGAAAGATCTTAAACCATTTTCATCCAAAAAACTGACTTTAATAATCATATCATTCTTTTTGTATAATTACAAGAAGTGATTAAGAATATACTTACATTTTCTCTAGGTTTATAAGTGCTCTTAGAGCTGGTGGGAGCTCAGTCAAGTAGTTTCTATTCAGTTCTCTAGAAATAATTATTCATTAATTCAAGGACTTTGTGAGGAATGATAATTGTAATATTAAGAACCGAATTCCAAGGACGTAGGAAAAAGAATGGTATGCCATAATTGTAAAGCTTGAATCTTATGTTGGGACTGCTCATTGCAATATAATGATTGAGAATACAAGAACTTATTAAAGGACATAATTTATAATAATTGTATAGCTGGAGATCTAGTTGGGACTGCTCATTCAATATAATGATTGAGAATACAAGAACTTATTAAAGGACATGCTTTATAATAATTGTATAGCTGGAGATCTAGTTGGGACTGCTCATTGCAATATAATGATTGAGAATACAAGAACTTATTAAAGGACATGCTTTATAATAATTGGAGATGGAGATCTTGGTTGGGACTGCTCATTGCAATATAATGATTGAGAATACAAGAATTTATTAAAGGACATGCTTTATAAAAATTGTATAGCTGGAGATCTAGTTAGGACTGCTCATTGTAATATAATGATTGAGAATACAAGAACTTATTAAAGGGCATGCTTTATAATAATTGTATAGCTGGAGATCTAGTTGGGACTACTCATTGCAATATAATGATTGATAATATTCGAGAAATTGTAATGGAGTATATATTGACTACAGGGACTGTTTAATGCAATATAAAGATTGAGAATACAGGGACTAAGTATAAGGCATGCTATGTATGATTACAAGGACTAAAAATTGGGACTGCTCATAGTGAAAAAGGATTTAGAATACAAAAACACTTGCGATATATATTTGATATTCATTTTATTCATTAAGATATCAGTGAAACATGACAAACATAAAGTTTTTTTTCAAACAAAACGAAATCAAAAATTAAAAACTTTTTTTTTAAGCAAGTGTTTTAAATTTTTTTTTGTGAAGTCATAAAGTTTTCTCCAAACAAAACCAAATCGAATTAAAAAACATATATTCAAGCAAAGTATTTTGGAACTTTTTTTGTGAAGTCATAAAGACTTTAAGGTAATCTTCAGAACATGATAATGATATAAATAGTAATTAGAGTTAATTACTATGCAGTCCATACATCCAAGTTTTACTTGGGTTACTAATATATTACATAAAAGTAAAGAAAAATAATGATATTACTTTTTACCTCCCATTTAGGGCATGATCCCCCCCCCTTCCCCCTGATTGTAAAGAATACATAGAGGATACTCTAAAATTAGATTATTTGTAACCCATATATTTTCTTTTGGAGGCAAAGTATTTTTGTGGAAAAGTCTTCTGGGAGTTTCAAGCCTTGTTTTTCTATCTTTCTTAAATTAAAAAGTTGACAATAGTTAGACAACTAGACAACCTAATAAGTAAATAACTAGACAAATAGACAACTAGATAGTAGATAACTAGACAATTAGACAATAATTTAGCAAGAAAACCAGACAACTAGAAAACTAGAAAACTAGAAAACTAGAAAACTAGAAAACTAGAAAACTAGAAAACTAGAAAACTTAATATTTTAAGGGACTGTAAGCGTAATATGTTTAAGGGACTGTAAGCGTAATTTCAAGTGACCTATCCATTGATAGAGTGGTATGTCCGATTCACAACTGTGAAAATGTACAAGGGTACCCTAAAAGCTTTGTCAGATCAAGTACAAACTAGATATCCGTGTTTTAAGTTTTAATAAACTTTCTTTTGAAATAATAGAGAAATTATTAAAATTAAGCATTTTTCAAATTATTGATTAGCTGAAGGCTTCAATGGTACCGTTGTGATAGGGGATTGTGACATATTGTCCTTTTTAAATGGAGGGTCACTTAAATCCACACTAATTAACTTTTTTAACATTGGTAAACAAATTACAATTAGAAGGGAAAATAATATGTTCAATCACAACTTATTTTGCCCCCCCCCTCTCATAATTCCTCCCCATGTTTATCTTTATTGAATAGATTCGATAAAAATGGTATATTAAAAAAATGTTTTCATGCATCTACAATTACAAACCTAAAATCTTGTTCCTAATATAAAGTAACAAATTAAATCATTAAAAAATATCACAAAAAGAGAATAATTTAGATCAATTCAACTTGCAGACAAACTAAAACAAAACATTAAGGAAAGCAACAAAAAAAACACTACTTTTTGATCAACTTACAGAATGAGTATATTTTGAGTATGGATAAACACTGACTCCTGTATGGAAGTCAGCTGATTTTCCTCAAGTACTCTAAAACAACAAAGTCATTTTCGCGGGCTTTTTCTGTTTCGCGGGTTTCTTTCTCTGACATGTACTGTACACTCAGTGTACAGTACATGTCAGTGTTGGAATGGTGTGAACTGTACGCATGTTTTATTTTACATTGATTTTTTTTATCGTATAAAAGCTTTGAATATTTTATCTACTATTCTAAGCAAATCAATACAAGAAGGTTGGGTTTAAAAACTATTTTAGAAAAAATTGAACATGAAACAAAGTATTTAAGCATTGTTTGAATATGTTTTAATAGATGATTATGACATCAAAATCAAATGTTTGAAAAAAAACCTTAAACTCGTTTTCATGAATTGCAGTGTGCAATGGTTAATTTGCGTAATTTCTTCATTCATGTTAATATAGAAACTGCAGCAGATAATTTTCTGCTGACATCAAGCAATAAAATTAGATAAACACTTTTAAATGAATATTTACAGCTTTCAAGTTTTTTGTAACTTATTTGTTTTGAGGCAAACTTTCATAATAAATACAACAAAAGTTTTTTTCTACAGGGTGGCCTGTACAGACATTCAGGGTGATTATTATAAAATGTTATATACTTTTACACAAAAGAACTGAACACATGTTTCAAACTCAAAATGTTTTTTTTATATCTTTGCCATGTGATGTCGGAGACCTTTCATTCTTCAAACAATGATTATAACAAAAAGCCAGAGTTAGAAATATCTAAGGTTTGCACCATCATGTTGCACAGATTTAGATATTGTAAAAAAAGAATTTTTGTCGAGAAATCATTTCCTTTAGTTTAACTTATGGAAATGTAATTTAAGAAACGTGTTGGTCTCATTCAAAAAAATATTTAGAGAATTTGTGTAAATCGTATAATATGTTTTGATGTTTAGACATTGTTTTGCTGTTGATGCTAGATGTTGTAAAAAATGTGGAAATTTAGCTTGAAAAGATTTATAGTGCGATGTAAAGTATATGCAGGGAATAAACAGTTACTTACAGAATTTGTAGATTCTTCAGATTCCTGAATCCGCCTTCACTTATACTAGATATTCGGTTATATCCAAGATTCCTAAATTAAGAAAATTTTAACTTTCCTGTTTATAGTTTTAGATTTTAACTGTTGCTTTGAAATTTGGCCATTAAAATCATTTTCAAATATTGGCGGATTTTTTTGTTAGATTTGGCGCATTTCAACTATTTTACAGTATTTTATTTTTCCAATTTTGATGGTTTATAAACCTTCCCTGGGATCATGGGAGGTCCCACAAGAAATTTGGGCCCGATCGGTTCAGCCGGTTTGACGTTTATTGGATGCAAACCGACAGACAAACAGATAGACAGACAAGAAATACAAATAATATACACAAATATTCGTGATAATTTTCGTATTCATATGTTTTTTGATTCTACACGTTTTGTAAAAATCAAACTTTTTTATTTCGATTTCGAATTTATGGAAGCATGAAATTCAAAGAAAAATATATCGGATGAATAATTTTTTGGCTGTTTTATGATGTGTATTGCGGGTAAGTGCAAAATTCTGCTTCAAAGTTTATTTACTTTCCAAAAAGGTTGAAATTCTGGAAACATTTTCACCCTTGGGTTTATTTACGGAGATTGAAGTAGCGAGATTCATTTTAAGGTTTGAAAATGCTTAGAAAAATAAATAAATAAGTTTGTATGTCAGAGCAACACATTTTCATCTATATTAAAGAGGAATGCTGTAACTCTTCAGATTTAAAGAGACTGTGTACGATATTTCAGGTGGTTCTCCAATTCACAAAAATTCACCCTTTAAAAATCTGAATGAGATATCTATGTCAGACTAGCTATTAACTATTTTCAATCGTGGGGTTTCTTTGATTTGCGGATTTATACTGCAGAAAAATCGAAGAAAATTGTCAGAAATTAACACTCAAGATATAAAAACCTTCCTCATTGTGAATCCATAAAAATTTAAATTAGGTTGACAGCCCTTAAAAACGAATAATTTGACGAAAATCCGTGAAAAAAACTTACAAAATGGTGAGTTTTGAATTTCCCGCGAAGACGCCATCTTGGATTAAAGTTAGAAGATTGTTCTCTAGATCCAGGTTCAATAATTCAGGAAACTGTTGAAGATCTTCACTTTTCATCTCGGAAATCTGGTTTCCACCGAGATTCCTAAAAAAGCAGTTGTTGGGAGCTACAGTGGGATACACAAAACGGTGGAATAGGAAGACATCAATTAAGCAATCTTCTTTGTATTTGATGTTCTTAAAAAGTTACGAAAAGCTTGAATTTATGAAATACATATTTGCTGTGTTTCAATTGTTAATTGGACTTTTTTGAATCATAACTTTAGTCTTATACTGTAATTTTGTATCTTTTCTTAAAACAAAAATGAAAGATTATCAACATTCTAAAATTAGAATTGCGATCTACAAACATAAAAAAGAAAAGAGTAAAAATACCAGAAAGAACTTACAGTGTCTGCAAACGTTTTCCAACTTTTGGTAATTTCGGGATTTTGGCCAGTTGATTCTTCTTCAGTATTCTGAAAGCAAAAAAATAATGAAAAAAAATAATAACGATGCTCATGATAATAATATCAATATTAATAACAATGATAATAATAACCGATAATGGTAAAAAAATAACAATATTATTGTTATGATGATAAAGTTATAAGAAAGTTTATGAATGATAATAAGTATAATAACTTAATAACATTAGAAATAATGATATTCATAGTGATAAGTCAATAAATATGGATAATGATTAACTTGTAAAAATGATGAGTTTGTTAAAATGATTAGTTTGTAAAAATGATCAACTTGACTTAAAATTCGCTCAATTAATGTTTCTAAAAATTAAACTTACAATTTTTGAAGATTTGAAAATGGTAATAAATCGTTTTCGTTCAGCTCCTCAAGATTATTCTCAGACAAATCCCTGAAAAAATTTAAATAATTTTTTGTCTAAAATTCTGTTAGATTTCAACTCTACTGCTTGCTGCTGTAAGACGAACATATTTTTAGCGTTTCACATTTTTCTAAACCTATGATTGCCTGAATATTGAGGGGGGGGGGTTATCAGGG